TTTTACCTCTGCGTGCTAGTTATATCTTATTAAATGTATGATTAATTGCATATAACGACAAAATAAACCCAAAAAGTATATAGAACTTGCTCGAGGCGATGAAGAAAAGGTAGAGAAATGAGGAACAAAGAACCTTGCTCAGAATTTAGACTTCAAACAGAGTTTGAACTCCACAAGCAAAGCCCTCCAAAATAAAAGGCCAAAAAGCATCACTTGCAGGACCATACATGCATACATACATACATAATCAACTCTTTTTGTGGAAAACATGAGGTTTGGTTAAAGCCCAACAGCATTATTCCTTAAGTCGAATAAAAAGCTTGCTTATTGCCATCACGTCCCTGTTAGACTAGCTCGTTTCGGTTTCGGTTTTGGTTCCTCTAAATGGCTTTAACTCACACTAGATCTTTATGAAATTATAGGGACTAAACGTTATAATTTGAAATTACAGGACTAAAATTAAAATTGAATTAAACTATGAGAATGAATAATGTTATTAATTCTAATATTTAAATGAATGAAGTTTTTGGTTGTTCATATGATTTGTTTTATATGCAAATGATGCTATGCTTTTTCGAGTATTCTTAATTGATTGATTCTTTTGCAAGAGAGCTGGCCTGCCTTTGTGTTATTTTAAAGTTTAAACACTTTAAAAGGAACTCACATCAAACTAATTAAGTGCCTTCTCTGACGCAGTTTTCACACCATCACTTGGCACCCAAGGCCTATCACAAAGCCTTTAATGAAACACCCTTTAATTTTGTGTGCTTTGTTCAATAAGTGCTGCTTGTCAACAAAGAAAGGCATCTGAGCTTAAAATATTATATATCCCACAGAAATTAAAGATGTATGTATGTTAATTAGCCGAATTAAAATATGCATCCTTCACTACTCCCTAGGGGGAAAAAACAATTAATGGCATTCGCAAAGAAACTGACAAAGAGGAGTTTTCTTGCTTATCATGTGGCGTTTCGTTATTGTATGAAAGCAGTCAAAAAAATTCTAATTAAATACACTTTAAATTCCGTGGAAAAGTATTAACACGGCAGAAATTTATAAAGAAAAGAAAAACTGGGGACATCATAACAAAAAGTTACGCACTTCATTATGTTGGATAACGTAACCTAGAACAATTACGACAATTTCACTGTGCATAAAGATAATAACTGAGGTCATTGTCATTCATTCAATCATTCAGTTCTTAGTAAAGAGTCGATTTTTACTACTAACTCCCGTCATTAATATAAGAGTTAGTTTGACATTTAATTTGATCCTAAATATAAAACCCCAATCCATCTTATCTTTTGTATTTATATTTTTTTTTCCAAATTAGTCATTGCAGTAGTTGTACATGTTAAAAATTCAATCAAATGATAGTTCTGACTAACACACATGATTAATAGACATATTTGAGGAAAGATAACACCTTACAAATAACTAACTTAACAAACTTTCTTAATTTATTTAAATTAGTCAACTAACTCTTATATTAAAGAGTGGAAGTAGTGTTTCTATATGTAAGAACAATCCAAACATACTGACCTAATTGTGAGCCACCTGGTTGAACAATATGATTATGATTGAACTGATGATGTCTTAAAATTTTTGGTTATATTATAAATCATCAATTTAGTTGTCCATTTGCACTCCTGGTTCTCTGTTTTTTCCCTCCCGTCATTGGAGATTGATATGAAATTAGAGGCCCAGCTTCTTTGGGTATCTTCGAGTGACAAGTCCAGGCCCAATTCAGTTTTACTCGATCACAGTAATAGTTCGTTCTTCTTCGTTTTCCAAAAACACATGAAATTCGACAGGATTGGCCAGACACTTGCCATATATGCATGTGTCATTCATTTGATGCACTAGCAATGCGCGCCACTTAATCACGTCTCCGATTTTAATCAATTCATCGATATATATATTGAACACTTTCGATTTTTAATATAAGACCCAACTGATTAATTTAAAAAAATTAAAAAAGTTACTAAATTATTTTAAAATACTTAATATATTTCTAAACTAATTTGGCTCTATCTTTTTAGATTAGTTTACTGGGTTTTATATTAAGTATAGTATATATATAAATAGATATGTTAGCATGCAATTTCAATGGCGCGTCAAGCCTGCTGTTATTCGCATTCATGCACTCTATGCCTCTTCTGTCTCTTCAAAAAACCATACTTAATATATTTTAGTTGACGATGTACGTACAAAACTGCACGTTATAACTTTTTTCTTCTTATATATATATATATATATATATATATATATATATATATAGTAGAGAGGATGCTAGGAAAATCCCGCATAAATGCTTCGTTGCTATTCTTGCAACATATGATATAATCCCAACAAATTCGATGGAGATTGTTCAATTACTTTGATTTTATTTTATATTGATATATAATAGGTTTGTTTCTTTTCCTTGTGAGAAGAAAGAATGTCATCCGGAGAAAGTAGAGAGTTTAGCACAGAGATTGTGGAGAGAGGCGTTGAGAACAGCGGTCCTAATGCTGGTTCTGTTTCCTTCTTCGTTAGGGTGAGACCAAGGCTCCCAGATTTCCTCAGTTCTGTGAACATCAAGTATGTTAAGCTTGGTTATGGCTACCTCATAAGCCACCGATCTTATTTCTTCTTCCTCCTACCCCTTCTCGTTGCACTCCTCTCAGTGGCTTCTCCTATAACCACCAATCAGTTCTTCGCTTGGGATTTCACCCACGCCCTCTTTCTTTTACCTCTCTTCCTCCTCCTTTACTTTTACTCCGATCTCACTTCCCGTTCTATTTATCTCCTTGATTTTGCTTGCTTTCGCCCTCCCAATGAACTCAAGGTATTATCTAGAACCTGACTTGAACAGCGAGCTTAATTCGATGTGATGTTTATGTTAATGGTGAGCTGATGATACTAACGAATATATATCATGCAGATATCAAAGGCGGAGTTCATAGAGCTTGCTAGAAGATCTGGGAATTTCAACGACGAAGCCATAGAGTTTCAGGAAAGAGCTCTGAAGAAATCTGGAATAGGAGACGAGACGTACATGCCAAGGTCAGTGTTCCGTCCGGAGTACCGAGCTTCCCTCAATGAAGCTCGAGAAGAAGCGTCCATGGTCATGTTCGGAGCAATCAAGGATGTTCTTGAATCCACAAAGGTGAAGCCCAGCAACATCAGGATCCTGGTCGTCAACTGTGGAATTCTCAACACAACCCCCTCACTCTCCTCCATGGTCATCAACCACTTCAAGCTCCGCCACGACATCCAAAGCTTCAACCTCGGCGGTATGGGTTGTTCCGCCGGAATCATCGCCGTCGACCTCGCCAGGGACCTCCTAGATGCTTACCCCGGATCTTATGCCCTAGTTGTCAGCACCGAGTCTGTCAACTACGCTTGGTACGGAGGTAACGACATGGACATGCTACTTCCCAATTGCTTCTTCAGAATGGGAGCTTCCGCTGTTATACTCTCCAATTTTCTCCTTGATCGATGGCGTGCCAAGTATCAACTCAAACAGGTATGTGCATATATATATATAAGCCGAAATAACAGTTTGTGACAGATGTGTGATGTGTACTATGCATATATATATATATATGTATGTATATATGTAATGCAGCTAGTTCGAACTCACAAAGGAATGGATGAGAAGAGCTTCAAAAGCATACGTATGAAGGAAGATAGTAGAGGAAGGAGAGGGCTTTCAGTGAGCAAGGACGCCATTGAAGTAGGAGGCAATGCGCTTAAAGCGCACATAACGACACTAGGGCCTCTGGTTCTTCCAGTGTCTGAGCAGGTTCACTTCTTCACCAATCTGATGTTCAAGAGGAAGAAGACGAAGCCATATGTTCCAGACCACAAGCTTGCGTTCGAGCACCTGTGCTTGACGGCGACGAGCAAGAAGGTTCTGGATGAGATCCAGAACAACCTGGGCCTCACGGAGGAGTACATGGAGGCGTCGAGGAAGACTCTGGAGAGATTTGGCAACACTTCTAGCAGCAGTGTCTGGTATGAGTTGGCTCACCTTGAAGCTAACTTGAAGGTCAAGAAAGGTGATAGGATTTGCCAGATAGCTTACGGGTCTGGCTTTAAGTGTAATAGTGTTGTTTGGAAGGCTATCAGAACTCCAGCCAAGCCCAAGAAAAGCCCATGGATTGAGGATTCATAGTGGTCGTTGCCCACAAATTTTTATGCACACGCACACTAGAGTGGATTTGTGGAGACTGGAGACGGAGATGGAGATGGGGATGACGCGTTCTTCCTATGTCAAGCCTGCTTGTTTTTATATTACTTGTCCTGTAATTTTCAAATTGATCCAATAATCATGGGGGAAAAACATTAGAAAGCATATGTATGTGAAAAAAATGTACTACTTGAAAAGACATATATTTAGAATTACTTCCGTTGTATTAAAAATAAAGACACTAGACACATATATTTAGAATGAAGTAAAACAGGTTGGTTTCTTAGGTTCATAGGGTATAGTTATGTTAAATGTATTTTAAAAAAAAATGACACAAAAATCAACTTGTCTAAAACTAATGAAAATAATTAAAACCATTGGTCGTGATAAAGTTTAAAAATCATGTTAAAAAGACTAACGTCTAGAGCTTGAATTCCATTTGATATCACTAAATATCAATTAATCAAATAAAAATGCATTAATACTAGGAACAGTATAACTTAAAAATTATTTGATGGAGGAAAAAAAATGTGTATGAAAAACAAGAAAAAGTACTGCTGTAATCGCCAAAAACATAAAAGAATTTACAGCTTTGGCCCAAAAAAACAGGTTCTTTATCTGAAACCAAAATTGTTATAATGGGTTGGTCGGGTCTAATAGCCCATAATGTTATACCGGGTCGTATCCGTCTCCGTTACCCGTTCTTCGGGGTTCTGTCTTCGTTTTTCTGTGGAGCCTTCGAGGCTTCAGACTGAAAGTATTCTTGATTTCTTTCAGCCGACGATTCCGCCCCAAGAATTCCAAAAAGAAGAACTCATCCCAAGCGCGCTGACAGGTAGAAAAAGATGGTGAAGGTGCGCATGAACACGGCCGATGTGGCCGCCGAGGTGAAGTGCTTGCGGAGGTTGATCGGTATGCGATGTTCAAATGTATATGATCTCTCTCCTAAGGTTTGTTCCCTCCTACCTCATCTCGTTCTAATTAAGATTGAATTGAACTATCTCAATCTTGAGGTTAATCAAGCTGTCCTTTTATATGTTTATGCTTGCAGACATACGTATTCAAGCTTATGAATAGCAGTGGGATTACGGAGTCTGGGGAGAGCGAGAAGGTATTGTTATTGATGGAAAGTGGTGTCAGGTTGCATACTACTGTATATATGCGGTAAGGATAATTTCAACGTATGTATTGTGTTGGTTCGTGAAATGCGGATGTTTAGGCTATAGCTCGAACTTGTTTTATATGTTTGTAGTGACAAAAGCAACACTCCTTCTGGTTTTACTCTCAAACTGAGGAAGCATATTCGGACTAGAAGGCTTGAGGATGTACGGCAACTTGGGTATGATCGGGTATAGGTTTTCAAGCATATTTCTTATCTAGATGCTCTTCTCTACAAGTTTCCACTTCATTTCAATCTTTCAATTTTGTTTTTGTTTTTGTTTTCAAATGTGTTTCAGATTATTCTCTTTCAATTTGGGATGGGTGAGAACGCATATTATATTATATTGGAGCTATATGCCCAGGGGAACATCCTCCTCACAGATTCTAATTTTACTGTCTTGACTCTACTCAGATCACACAGGTAGGTGGTTTGTTTTTGCTTTCTAATTTTGATGTGCAGTCCATTTGCAATATAAGCAAAATTAAGATTCGATGCAGGTAGTATTATGGATATATTTGCTGAGCTTGGTTACGCTAGCTTGTGACTCAAGTGAGGGCATAACTACATTATGAAAAAATGGTTAATGTCAGTATTAACTGTTAAAAATTGAAAAGAAGTATTAAGGATATATTTCACTGGTTCAGATGTGGTGAGATATTTATTTTTCCATACTGTTTATGTAGATTTTGATAGATGTTTCCATATTGTCCCCGTGTTAGCGAATTGACATTTTATGTTGAGTGTCAGGCCAGACCTGGTTCCTGAAAAAAATGGGACAAAACTCATGTTCTATCAAATATCAATAAAATCTTGCACATACATTATTGGATATAATTTTTACTACTGGCTTCTAAAACATACATTTTATAATATTTGGCAGCCTGCTGTGATATCGTAGCAGACAAGCTTTTGATCCTAATCATTTGATTGCATGGGTTTCATGACTGAGGGTAGTTATTAACACGTCTAATATTTTTATCCAGCCTGACACAGTTAGACTGTGTTCAATATTTTCCTTTGTTGTTTTACGTTTTTAGAATCTGAATATGCACTGGAGGAGAAAGAAAGATGGGTAATATTTTTCTTTACTTTTGATTTGTACGTTCTCCCCCTTTTGGATGCTTCTGCATGGTTTCTTATTCCCCTTGTTGTACATCTCTTTAAACTCTTAAATCTTATGTAACAATGCTTCTCATAGATTTTTTTTTTTTTTTTTTCTGGATGCATGATTGGAAGCCATAGAACTGCTGATGTAACTCACTTTTACTCATTTATATTCTTGGGACCCAAGTCATTTGATTATCTGATTAAACTATTTAAATTGTGGAAGCATTCTGTGATTAGTGGGGTGACAGCAATTTTATATTATAGGGACGATGATAAAGGGGTTGCAATCATGTCACGCCATCGCTATCCTGCCGAAATTTGTCGAGTTTTTGAGCGAACTACTGCTGCAAAGTTGCAGACAGCACTGATGTCTTCTAAGGATGCCGATGCTGATGAGGCAGTTACAGTCAACGGACATGGGAATGATGTTGCTCATGCAGCAAATGAAAGCAGGGAAAACGCAAGGGTGGGAAGTCATCTATGACATTGAAAGTTATACTCGGGGAGGCATTGGGCTATGGACCTGCCCTTTCTGAACATATTATACTAGATGCTGGCTTAATCCCCAGTACCAAGGTTCCAAAAGATAGCAAGTGGGATGATGCTATCATTCAGGCTCTTCTTGAAGCTGTAGGAAAGTTTGAAGACTGGATGCAAGAGATTATTTCAGGTGATAGAATTCCTGAAGGATACATTTTGATGCAAAACAAAAATTTGGGGAAGGATTCTTCACCATCACAACCAGGAAGTTTAGGCCAGGTTACTATCCTAGCCCTAGATCTACAGTTTATTGGTTATATTGGCGTGACTGCTTGACTAAAATTTCTTGTTTGTGCTTGATATATGATGAAACAAAAGGGATAAGGAGGATGGTTGTTCACATTGTTCTTTTACGGTAAAATCTTATTCATATTTTATCGCACACCCATCTTTTTCCCTGCAGTTGTATGATGAGTTCTGTCCACTATTACTGAACCAATTTAAGTCAAGGGATCACACAAAATTTGAGACATTTGATGCGGCTTTAGATGAGTTCTACAGCAAAATTGAGAGTCAAAGGGCTGAACAACAGCAAAAATCCAAAGAAAACTCAGCTTTTCATAAACTTGATAAAATACGTCAGGATCAGGTTGGTGCCCAGGCTAAAGAACTTATAGATGTTATTATGACTTGAATGTATATCAACAGAAAGATGCATGTATTATATTCTTCATTAGCAAGTTATTATATGGTTCTTTCATTTAAAATGTTAGTTTATCATGTATATACACGTCAAATTTGGTGCTTTAAATTGGTCATAGAGATCAGGTTGCAGTAGGGATCTAGTTTCTAGTCTTCAAATTTGTATGGACTTCAATTGCCTTGTTTTGTGCACTCTCAAACGTGTTGACAAAATGTCTTTAGTTGAGCTATGTGATAGAATTTTTCTTGAATACATTGTTACATCAGCAGAATGTCATTTGGTAGTTTGAGCTGAATAGAGTAGCGTGAATGAATGAAGTATTTCCCATGGGGGATGCCCATTATTATTGGGTTACTTCTAGGGAAGCAAAGATATATTAAATAAATGAGTTTCTATTGAAGTCGCAAAAACCTTAGATCAAATTCTATAGCAGTCAAACTGGTTTAACTGGATTCTGCCACTGTTTTGTACTGAAATAGATGTATGTCAAATCCTAGAATGACTATATAACTTGTAGGCATAATCATACGAAGAATTGAGTTCTAGGAGAGTTTGGTTTCCGAATTTTATGGCTGAACAGTTGTATATGATGCGCCCACGTTGTATGGTCTTCCATATTGGTAAACAGATATATTTAGATTATCTTTCTCAAGTTTTCTTGGTACTATGAACAGGAAAAATGTCTTGGCCAATTTTTATTTGGGAGAAAATGAAACTGGTTTTTTTTTGCCCCCCGGGGGGGGATTGTGTGATTCTGCAATCAATCTTCCTTATTTTTTATTTGTGATGATTCTTCCATTTTGTATGAATGGTTAATAATGGTGGTTACTAGGATCTAAAAGCACATGCTTGTACACGCCCATTCACTGCTTTAGAATTTGTAGGAACCTATTAGACAGCGAACAATTTGTTTTTCCCCATATTCTTGATCTTAGAAAATAAACAGCTGGGAATGGTTCTGACTTGGTGCCTATATTGATGCTACTCATTTATGTGACGTAGGAAAACCGAGTGCATAATTTGAGGAAAGAAGTCGATCATTCTATTAAAATGGCAGAATTGATAGAATATAACTTGGACGATGTTGATGCTGCTATAATGGCTGTTCGTGTAGCTCTTGCAAAGGGTATGAACTGGGATGATCTTGCCCGGATGGTTAAGGAAGAAAAGAAAGCTGGAAACCCCGTGGCTGGTCTCATTGACAAGCTCCAACTTGAGAGAAACTGCATGACTTTACTGTTGAGCAACGATCTTGATGAAATGGATGATGATGAGAAGACGTGCCCAGTGGATAAGGTATAAGTTTATAATTTGCTTTTGTTATTTCATTATGTGACACAAGAGATATATAAAGCATCCTGTTCTATATATTTTGTCTATTTTCTGTCTTTGCATGCATTAATTATAAAGTATAGATGGTTGGGCATAATGCAATGACAAGACAACAAAACATTTAATTGAAGGATCATCTCATTGATATGCTTTTGTTTACCTTGTCTCTTGTAGGTCATGTTAATTAAGAATTCCTTATAGTTAGTGTTTCACTAACTTTGCACAAAAGTGTGATTCCACTGTAGGAGTGCCACCAAGTCAATCTTCAAGGCTGAAGGATTTGAGTTTGAAACCCAGTTGGAGTCAAAATCAATGAAATCTGTTGGGGATATTAATTAAATCTTTCTTGGACATTCTCGAAGTATTTTGAGATTTTTGGGTTGCTATAGTCAAAATCAATGGTCAAGTGGTTTGAAGTTGAATTATGGGCCTGCTCATTCTTCTAGTCGAATTAAATTTCAGCACAAGTGATGGTGGACTTGTGCTTTTTTCATAATTAAGGTCCAAAGGGCATTCATATGAAGGAGTATTTTAGAGATATTAATTAGATCAATCTTGGGTCTTGCTGAAGCTATCGACTGAGATGTATGAATAATTATGTAAACTTTACACTTCCCAAATGTGTACCATAACATGTTTTTATTTCTAGGTTGAGGTTGATTTAGCCCTCTCGGCTCATGCCAATGCTCGAAGGTGGTATGAAATGAAGAAAAAGCAGGAAAGTAAACAGGAGAAGACCATGACTGCGCATGAAAAGGCCTTCAAAGCTGCAGAAAGAAAGACTCGCCATCAGCTTTCTCAGGTAGCTAAACCACAGCTCTTCTGCTCCATGATTCTTGTGGATGGGAAGAAACAAAGTCTAGTATGGTGGGGTTAACTTACCAGCAACTTCTTCGAATTTTATTGGGTTCAATAGTAGCTTATCATGCCAGATCTGTTCAGATGAAGTGCCTTATCATTATTGTTACTATTTAGCTACTATTATGAGAGGAAAAGAACTTTATTTCCAAATGAGAGAGAGAGAGAGATACACAAAAGAGGAGGATAAGATATCCTCCTAAGGATAGGAAACAAAATACTAAACTGGTGGCAGAAAAGCACAGTTGCTTAAAGAGGTAGGAAGACTGCCCAAAACCTCATGCATATTGTTGTCTTAAGGTAGACCTTGTGCATAACGAATCTTTAACTCGAGGGGTCATTTTAGCTGTGTCCGGATGAATGGATAAGTTTAAATGTATACTGACTATAAAACTAGTCCGTTAACTGTGCAAAGCAATTTTCCTGGCGTGCCTCTCTTTCTTGACCTTTTGTGATTTTCCTGGTCTTAGTTGCAAACTGTCAACAAAGATCCTCACGATGACACTTTTTTTTTTTTAAAAAAAACTTATCTATAGCAATATAATCAGGAACTATTTAAATGATATTTGGCGATCAGTTGCTCCCACTCTCTGTCTCTCTGTTCTAGCAATATAATTTTTCATTTTATTCTTTCATCTTTTTTTTTTTTTTTGGGTAAAATTTATTCATTCATTTTCTTATCATCTATTTTCAGGAAAAAACGGTTGCCACAATTTCTCATATCCGCAAGGTTCACTGGTTTGAGAAATTTAATTGGTTCATTAGCAGTGAGAACTATTTAGTTATCAGTGGGCGTGACGCCCAGCAGAATGAGATGATAGTCAAGCGATATATGTCTAAAGGAGATCTGTGAGTATTTCTTGTTTCCTGACATGCCTTTTGATCTCTCTCAAGTCTCTAGGTTATGCGTTGAATTGATTGAAAAAGAAAAAGAAATTATCTGGGAAAATAGTAACAGCAATTAGGTTGTAAAGCCGTCTTATGAATAGTATTTCAACGCTTTCCTGCCTCCCATACACTCATCATTCAAAGCATATATTATGTATTTCTGAAAAATTAATATAGTCATTAATAATTGCCGTGTACATGGTCTTGAGAATTTGTCCATGATTTTTGAAGTGTAAAATTGCTTTAGGGTTTGAAAAATGTGCAGATATTCTTGCATGTATAGTGGTCTTGTCTACCTATTTTTCCTTAGAGGGTTGTCTCACTCATGGCCAATAAAATGAGATGGTTTTTTAAATTGCACCACTGCATTGCCTTGCCTTTTCCTTTTTTAGTTGGTTTCTTTTGTGTTCCATGTAGGTTACACATGCTCTTTTGTGCTATTGTACTTTGTTTTTGAAAGCTCCTAGAACTTTGTAAGGCAAATTAATTTACTGATTGATTTATCATCATGAAACTAAATTGTCAGCTCTAAGGTGCATGTTAAAGTGCATAGAACATCTCTAGTCAAAATAACTCTGCAATATTTTGAAATTTGTAAATTTATTGAGAAGCATGATGTGATATTTGATTCTGTTGATTTCATTGTGTCGTAGTTATGTGCATGCCGATCTGCATGGAGCTTCCAGTACTGTTATAAAAAATCACAAGCCTGGGCAACCTGTTCCACCTCTAACCTTGAACCAAGCTGGATGTTTCACGGTATGTGTACTCAGCCATGCTATATTTTGAATTTTTGAATGAATTTACCTAGTTTGGTTTATTGTTTACTCATGACTTAAATCAAGTATTAGCTCCCAGTACCTTCATATTGTGTTTGTGATGCAGGTCTGCCACAGCCAGGCATGGGATTCAAAAATTGTTACTAGTGCCTGGTGGGTTTATCCTCACCAGGTCAGTAAAACTGCGCCTACAGGTGAATATCTAACAGTTGGGAGTTTCATGATTCGAGGGAAGAAGAATTTTCTTCCGCCACACCCTCTTATTATGGGCTTCGGCCTGCTATTTCGCTTAGACGAGAGTTCCTTGGGATCACATTTAAATGAAAGGAGGGTTAGAGGAGAGGAAGAAACAATAGATGATGAAGAAACCGGCCTTCCTGAAGAAAAATCTGATTCTGAGTCTGACAATGATGTCATGAATGGAAAATCTGCCACAGAATTGAAAAAAAATGATGATATATCTGCAGATTCACCCAAACCACTTCCACAAGAATTCCCTGCTGAGTTATCACAGAACACTGGGGCTAGCATCAATAGTGAAACTACAGCTTCACATAATTCACCTGCAGAAGAAAAGGGTATATTGAATAAGGCTGCTGGTGACAATTCTCCTGATAATGGGGGGAATGACATTGCATCTGTCAATCCACAACTTGAGGAACTTCTTGATCGGACTCTAGGACTTGGATCTGCTGCTACATTGGGTAAAAGTCATGGAGTTGAAATCTCTAAGGATGATTTAGGTGGCGAACAACATCTTGAAGAAATCAAAGTTGCAGCAAGGGACAAGCCATATATCAAAAGCTGAGAGGAGAAAGCAGAAGAAAGAACAGAAACAAAGTTTTTCACATTCAAATGTTGAACATGGAAAGGGCGAATCAAAATTGACTGGTATTTCTGGCACGCAATCTACAAGAGAAGTTCACAGTTCAAAGACAAGTGGTCAAAAAGTCAGCCGTGGGCAAAGGGGCAAACTCAAGAAGATTAAAGGGAAATATGCTGATCAAGATGAGGAAGAAAGGAGCATACGAATGGCGTTGTTGGCTGTATGTTACAGTAACTTTTGTTTTACTCACTTCTATCCTGAGTAAAATGGATACATTTTCATGCTATCTAGTCTTCCCCACAAGCACGCATATATGAATGTATGGCTGGGTTAAATATGACAAACGACCTAGGATGAAATTGTAGCCCGGACTCCTAATTTGAAATTTTGTTATAATATCCCCTCAAAAATCTTTGATTGAAGCAGAATAGGAAAAATCACATGAAATTACGTTCTTTGCATTATCAATTGCATATTAGGGACCAGAGACCACAGGACTATCTTCATCATCCCGTTTAATTTCCCTAAGATTAGCACTGATTTAATGTGTATTCTTGCAGTCTGCTGGAAGGTCGAACAAGAATGAAGATACGCGAGATAAAGATGCAGCATCAGACAGGGATAAAAAACCTGGTGGTGGTATGCCTTTATATTATTCTATGTACTGGTGGACGTGTGATGCTTGATTTGACGTTTTAACATCTGAAATCCATTAACATAGTCAACAGTTGTTTAATTCGTTTATTATTGTATTGAATTGAATTTCGATTCTGGAAGGTCTTGCAGAAGCCCCAAAAATATGTTACAAATGTAAGAAGGCAGGACACCTATCTCGGGATTGTAAGGAGCGGCCAGATGATTCATTACATGATCAAGCAACTGTCGGAACTGGCGAGAATTTGAGCACGAATGTTAGTAACACTTCTGCAGCAGACAGGGTGGCAATGGAAGAGGATGACATTAACGAGATAGGCGAAGAAGAGAAAGAGAAATTGAATGACGTGGATTACTTGACAGGAAATCCATTGCCTAATGATATTCTCTTATATGCTGTGCCTGTCTGTGGTCCCTACACTGCAGTTCAGTCATACAAGTACCGGGTGAAGATAATTCCTGGAACGGCAAAGAAAGGAAAAGGTTCTATTTTCATTTTATACAGCATTATCCTATTTCTTTCTACTAAGTTTCTAGGCTTCTAGCTCTTTTTAATAAATGGTGTGAAGTATTTTTGCACCTTCTGACATTACTAGGCTTCTGCATTTTATGCTTAATCTTGCATGTTGCTGCTTATATATGCTAAAAAAATTATGAGTAGATCATCTTAAAATAATGCTTCTCTTTTTTTTGAATAGCTGCAAAAAATGCAATGAATCTGTTCAGCCACATGCCAGAAGCAACAAGCCGAGAAAAGGAATTGATGAAAGCCTGTACTGATCCTGAACTTGTGGCCGCAATTATTGGTAATGTGAAGATAGCGGCTGCTGGCCTTACTCAACTGAAGCAGAAGCAAAAGAAAGGCAAGAAGAGCAACAAGCAGGAAAGTTAACTAATCTTGTGACACGTTTATGCCTGTTAAAGCTTTACCCCTTGTCTTCAAGTGCTGACGCATTTGTATGTTCGGCATGGCACGAGAGGAAAAAGTTTTGCTGCCTTGAGATCTACTCTATGAGAATTTCTATTTGATGTCCTTGTACAGTTGTTTGTTGTATTGTAGATGCTGTTAGTGCATAAATAACTGTCAGCTATTCAATGTTTTCTTCATTCCCACCAAATATTCATTCATAATTCATAAAACAACACTGGTCAAACTGGGCGAGTTTTTGGATAGAATCGAATCTAAGAGATGCAGATTCATGTTGTAGTTCGTTTTATTTCTAACAAACTTGTGTTTATTCATTATTTATTTGGTATAATTAGAGCTCTTCCGGATTGATGAGAATTTAACAGCGGGGAGCAGAAGACTCTCACTTCCCTCGGCTGAAAATGCGGTGATATCAATAACACTTGGCCGAGGAGCGAGTGGCCAAGTCAGCCGCAAGTCTCTGAGTGATATGCATAGAAAGAAATGATTAATAATGGCGAAGCCGCAAAATTCATAATCATGTTCTATATACTGTGAAATTACAACCACATCTGCTCACCTGCAACAATACATTTTAGCGACAACTTGCAAACCATAAGATAAAAAATAGAACAGAGAGGAAATTCTTATTCTGATTCTGTTTCCGCTTCTGCCGCTTCTTCGTCATCGGCAGGGGGCACTTCACTCAGATCGAGTCCCTCTGCAGGCAAGTCTGAGGAAAGTGGTCCCAATATACCATCACTGCTGAGAGTTAATCCACTCTGCAAATTAAGGTTAAGGGTCATACTTCCATCTAACATCAACCAATAACATCCTCTCTCAACAAGCCGACATGTGCGGACGCTTAACATCCTGACCTAATCTTCTTAGATGTCTTTATTTAATATCAACATAATGTACCAGCACATACATTCTGAGCAGCAACGACTTATTTTAGTCCCAACGAAGATATTTATTTTAGATTAATGCGTAACATTTTATTTAAATTAAAAATATTTTTATTTTAATAAATCAAATTTGTCTATGCCTTGTTTTCACAACGTTTCTAGCAAATTAAAACTGATTGTAATATACATGTGCGCTTGCATGCATATTATGCATAATGAATAGTGTGCAAGTGAATAATTAGGGCAAGCATGCATCCCACATTTGGATTTGTTTGAAACATTCATAATTTTCATGTAAATAATCAATGAGTTAGTACCTCAGGCTGGAACCTAAGCATGTCTGCACGAGCCATAGCTTCAGCTTGGGCTATTCTCTGTCTAAATGTTTGAGCCATCTCCTCAGCCTGTCAGAACATAATCAGAGATATTAAGTATAAATTCTATCTAAAAAAATATTTATGCTGATTACAAAGATTGGAGTAGGAGATCTATATATGTGGAAGGTTAAGATAAAAATACATAATGGAACGAAAAAGAGAACTGTTTTCTTTTGGCATCTTCCAGGATAGAAACCCAGAGGATAGATGATGACCCAGATAAAAGAGTAGTTGACTTGGGATCCTTGTACCTTTTCAAAGACAAGCTTTGGATTGCGAATCATGTCTCCTGGAGTGGGCTCTAACTTCTTTGTGGAAAGACTTACTCGGCCTCTCTCCCGATCATGACTTAAGATCATCACCTAAAGAAGAATACATAAGGGAACAGTGATGTTCAAAACATGGCTGCAGTACCAAGTAAATATTCACATAGCATACAAAGGGTTTACCTTGAGGGTATCACCAGGTTGAAGAACAGTTGAGATATCAGTTACCCGATCATGACTGATCTGACTAACATGAAGAAGGCCATTAATTCCACCAATGTCAATGAAGGCACCATATGGCTTTAGACTTTGAACAGAGCCAGTGACCACTGATCCAATGCCTAGCTGGGCCTGGCTGTCAGCCATGGCCTTGCGGTTACTGAGAATAAGTCTAGACTGTTCCTCATCCACCTCCACAAACTTCAGAGGAAGCTCCTTCTCAAGAAGCTCTTCTGCAGTTGATTTCTAAAATAAAAATACACGAAGGAGATAGAGTTATAGTTGGCTGCTAGCATTATAAAATTTTAACTTCTCTGTATTAGAAAGCTCCATAGGAGCCATAAGATGAAAAGAAACACAGTATTCAACTAGAATAATCTAATACAAAAACATGCTTAAGCATAAAAGTTCTACCAATAATATTGCTTGACTCAATTGCTACACTGATAAGAATAGAAGACATTTCTGAACTTTACAAACGCATGTTACCAATACTTGTCAACAACTCCTACACCTTAGTTGTTCTCCATATACAGTAAGGCACAGTAATTCTTTTGGTACTTGTGTTTTTTGGTCCAACACACAATTGACTATGGTCCTTTGATTAGTATTCTCAGCAAGAGCTCTTCTAGTTTTAGGTCATAATTTTAATTTACAGACCACAAGTTTGAATCTGATAAAAATCATTAAATGCTAATATGGATCAAGAACTAACCGATGATATTTGTGAGAAAGGAACAAACCCTCTAAGGCCTTCAACCAAAGCCACAACTCCACCTTTGTTAGCACCAACAATCTGTCACTCAAAAGTGCACTTAAGAGAATGAGAGAAAAGAAAAGGAGGGAGATAGATAAAAAGATAAACCAAAACCAATTTCCAAATGATAGAACTATTCATTTATTTTTTTCATGCTTGGCTTTTAGGAATTTTTATTTTATAGGGATAACAAGAAATGAAAGCCATAAGCAATATGAAAACTCAAATTTATGTCAAATTTGGACATAGAAGAGGTTGTTGGTATGCTAAAACCTACCTTACCCTTGAGAACAACATCTTCTGCTTGAAGTTGTCTACAGCGTTCCCAAGCAAGGTCATACTGGAGACTCCTTAAACTCAAGATCAAGCTATCATCAGCTTCATTTTCACCAATGATTACAAACTCCTCTCTCAAACCAGGAACGATGCCTGCTTCTTGTACATGCTTAATTCTGTGGATGCATGCCTCTTGGAGAGGCAAGTATGCTGACGACTTTGCAGTTATGTCAACAAGAGCTCCATTAGCATCTACATTGAAAACAGTGCCTTTAACCTGAAAGATAAACCAGCACCATAGCAAGCTATCTGAATTAGTGATTGACTGAAAAGTACATTTAGAAGATTGATAAAACATTAAAACGTGCTTAGGCAAACTCTTCTCAACTTCGTAATCATAAGTCACCATTGAAAATTTACTTATGAGTTGTTTCGAGCCCTTAGTCACAAGAACCGCATTTTTTATTATGGACCGAAAATAAGGAAATTTTTTTAATACTGGCGAGGGCATTGATCATCCAAATAATTAGAAAGAAACTAATATTTTTGACATTCCAAGTAAATAAGAAGGGAAGATAAATTCATACAAAAACAAAAGATGGTGGAACTCCAGAGAAGCTAAACAGCATACACTCCATTCTCAGTTCACACAATTCAGACACAATCATACATTCACAATGTTTTATGATGAATTCAGTAAGTACAGAAGAGCCCCGTAGCAACTGAGGGAGAGAAAGAATACGAATTTTAATACGAAGGCAGACTCCATGACCACTGACCTTGGTGCCAATTTCAGAGTCGAAGTCATACTTATCGAGGGCAGAATTAAACTCTTCGACAGTGAAGGAAACGCCTTCCATGGGAGCAGTGCGACAGCGCTCGTAGGCCTCCTCGAAGAGCTGTTTGAGCTTTTGCCTCTCTTTGGTCTGCGCATTAGAGATTGCGACGGAGGCGACAATGGGAAGGGGATTGCGCTTATGGGTGTTGGGAGCAGAGAAGGGCTTAGAGCGAGGAGAAGAAGAGAGAGGAGAACAGCACCGGAGGCCGGTGAACTGCTGAGCCAGAGACATCGCCATGTCAGACGTCTCTCCCTCCTCGCGTTGCTTCGGATAGCGTCTGCTTCGTCACGCAGATAAGGCTCCCTCCCTATACTCTACACTATTCGTCTAAACGCCATCGTAATGCTACAGTCCCTCAGTTACTCCAAGAGGGTGTTTAGGTATCTTAATAATTACTTTTTAGAAACATTTTTTTGTAAATCAAAGTAAACTTTTTCACATATTTACTTCGTATACCGTAAAGCACTTCTGAAATTATAGTTTTGATCTTATCCAAACACCCCCAAATGGAAAATGAACGCCACCGTAACTCTTTTCTGAGAAATAAATTCAAATTACATTTTCGTCCTCTAATGGATGACTATAATATATATATATATATATATATTTTTGGCCAAAAGACTATAATATATTAAAATAAATGTTGAATTGAAATCAAATTAATGTAAAAGTAATTGCAAATACCATTTTATTCTTTCATCAGTAAACTTCCAGGGCTCGGATAACTTGGGATCCAGACATCAACAATATACAGCCCGACATTCACTGGACCAGGGAGCTTAACTAACATGACACCGGATAGGTTACTTGTTTATGCGCATGGGCTTTATTTATTTATTTATTTATTTTTAATTTTCTGTTTCTCAATGAAGAGTATGGATATGGTGTTTTCTAAAAAGAGTAAAAAAAACCAATAAGAGTTGATCCAGTTGGTAAAGAGTCGGCTTATAACTCACAAGATCATGAGTTCGAATCCCACTACTGATGTGAGGACCTTGTTGGTGAGCGATCTGTAAGTATCTCTGTAAGCGTTCTCTGAGCCTGAAGGCATGCCCTGGTCATGATGAGCCCCTAGGATTCAACTCACCTAAACTTTTTATTACCAAAAAAAAAGAGTAAAAGAAGACTGAAAAAAAAATGTGGGATGAAATTATTGAACAAAACTTTTTAATTAATAAATTATCGAAAGATTTAATTAGTGAGAGAATATTATAGTGCTGTGCAATATATATGCAAGACCTCATATATTATTTTCAGTCTTTAATATAAAAACTAATTTAACTTTCCACTTAATTTTAAGGTTAAAGTATATTTTTAGTTCTTTAACTTTATACAAGGTTTTAATTTGGTTCCTTAACTTTAAAAAGAAAACTTTTAGTCTTCTAATCCTAAAACTGTTAACAAAAATGATGATAATTAACATTTGAATGCTGATAAAATATTACTAAATGCTAACATGTTAAGTTTAATATTCAAAACAATTATTATTGTTACAAAAAATTATCATTTAAGACTAATAACCTTAGGGTTAAAGTACTAAAATTATACTTTTTAAAGTTAAGGGACTAAACTGAAATTTTACATAAAGTTAAAGGACTAAATATATACTTTAACCTAATTTTAAATATAATACCCAAATCTATTTTGTCTCTCATATTTAAATATTTTTTTAAAATAGTTCTTGTAAAGTTATACATATTAAAAACGTTATCAAATAATAGTTCTAGCTAATATATATGATTATTAATGATATTCTAGAAAAAATAACACTTATTTATTACAAATAACTAACGTAACAAATTCTTTTAATTTGTTTAAATTGGTTAATTAGCTCTTATGTTAAATATTAGAAGACGTAGTATATCTATACTGCCAGCAAAAATACTCTTGCATCGCACACCTTATAATTTGATTGATTAGGATGTTTGAATTAGCTGCTCAGAAGTGATTTTGTAATATACAGAATAATTATTTGAGATAAATTTTATCTCAATTTACATGCAAGTATTTTTTTTAAAAGTCATTGTAAGGATTAGAGTCCCCGTAAAATTTTATTCCTAAAATATTAAATATGTTTGGTTCCAGGAGTTTGAGGGAAGCGGAGCCAAAATTTCGTCCACTATCAAATGAAGATCAATGAAGATCAGCTAATAGCGAACTTAGTGATGACACGCGTCCAAGAGGAGGACTACTAGTGCCTTATCCCTCTTAGGCTTTGTTTGGTTCAATAAAAAGAAAGGGAGGGGAGGTGAATTCAGGGGAGGGGAGGGGAGGGGAGGGGAGAGGGTGTGAATTTTGTTTGGTTGAAAGGAAAGAGAGAGGAGAGGAGATTTTTTATTTGGTTTAGGAAGAGAAGGAAGGGGAGCTAATTATAAGTTAATAAATATATTCTTACCTCTTTATTTAGATTTCTTTATTATTTTATTATGATATTTATATCATAATTATTATTTTCTAATTTATGAATATAAAAAAACCAAATACCTTGAGACATATAAATAATCATATATCAAAATAAATGTCAATAAAAAATTTATAATCTTTAGCATATTATATAAATTATAAATAAATTTATTCTATAAGTTTTAAACTATTCCATCCTTAATTACACAATGTGCGTGACCTCACATACTTAATTAGATAATACACAGAGTTTTGTGTAAAAAAATAAAATTGAGATGAATGAGATGAAGGATCAGATAAGATTAATGGTAGAGAACATGAGAAATGATGAAATTAGAAAAAGAAAATATGCATGAAAAAAAGAAACTCTGAGGAGTAAAAAAAAATCCATAAAAAATAGTAAGAGTCGAAAAGAAAAAAGAGTTAAAAAAATTTTACTAAAAAAAATAAACTTAAAATATAAAAAAAACTAATATAGATAAGATCAAGACGGGATATAATATTTTTCTTCTTTCTAAAAAAATCTCAAATTTAGAAGCTAGCAAAAAGAGGATAGGGGAGCACTGACAAAATTTTTTTCCTCCCCTCTTTATATTTTTGTGAACCAAACATAATTTCTTCTTCTCCCCTCCCTCCCCTCCCTTCTCTCCAAAAACCTTCCAGCCAAATAATGCCTTAACAAAGAGTCCGTGCTGTGACGAAGGAGCTATTGACTCTCTGAGTGAGTGTAGAAGAGAGGGAGGAAGCGAAGATCGCTAAAAAGGCAGAAATGGAGGAAGCAAAAGGGGTAGTCAAACACGTGGTGCTCGCCAAGTTCAAAGACGATGTTTCCCCTCAGAAGATTGAGGAGCTCATCAAAGGCTATGCCAATCTTGTCAAGATCGTTCCACCGATGAAGTCCTTCCATTGGTATCCCTTCCTTCTCTATTTCTCTTTTCCCTTTCTGATTTCGTTGATCGTGTCCCTGCCAGAGATCTTCGGAAAAGAAATGGGACACTTGAATCGAAATGTCTTTTAGATGAAAGAATAGGATCCATCATGTGAAAGAAATTTGCACTTTAGATCGCAATTAAATCAGCGCAGAGGAAAATGTTCTATTGAAATCTGGAGGTTCTTCAAAGAAAACTAAAACGGATGACTACGAAGAAGATTGAAACCTGTGAAACCCGAAGGTTTCGAGTTTTACGAAACTGGTTAGATCAGGGCAGGGAAGAAAATCTTTAAGGTTATAGTCAGGAGAATAAATAGAGACAACCAAAGAGGAAAATGAATAGGACCCTTGAATAAAAAATGAATCAGTAACGCCGCAAGGTTTAGTGAATGATCTTAAAACTGCTAGATTGTGTGCTGTACTGTTGTGCTTTTGGTGTATATAAGTATATATATTGGACTCTTGTTTACCTTTTTCTCAGAAGCTAGCGGATGCTTCAAAATTGATGTGAACATTGAATTGAATGAAGGAACCGCTTGTGGTAGAACCCCTTCCAATGCTCTCAGAAAATAAGAAAAATCTTGTGTAAACCAAGCTAATAATCAAATGCAGGTCTACTTGAAAAGAGTACTTGGTTTACTTGTTTACCGATGATTCACTTGATCTGCCCCTATTTTTAAACCAGGCCCCTTTGTAAAATTTCCACGAGTAAATTAGGCGAAAGCAATAAATGTACTTCCATGCATATCTTTGTATCTTCTGTTCCTTTTGGTGTGTAAGCAGGGGCAAAGATGTGAGTGCTGAAAATATGCATCAAGGCTTTACTCACGTATTTGAATCAACGTTTGAGAGTACGGAAGGAGTAGCAGAGTACGTGGCTCATCCTGCACATGTTGAATTTGCAAACTTGTTCCTTTCCCACTTGGACAAAGTGATTTGCGTTGACTATAAGCCTACCATTGTTCACCTGTGATTTGATGCTTTCTTGGGACTGTGTAAAACATGAATAAGGTTTTCTCCGTGAAAACCATTTTGGTATACTCACTTTGTTATCATATCTGCATTTGATGAAGCGTGTTCTGCTGGTGGCATTTCTTATACTTACTCGAGAATCTGGGTGTTAGTTTCTTAGACTCTCTTTTTCTTACCTTGTGGAATTGGTGCTGATCCTCAACCCACAGAATATTTTTCCAAGACTATCCTTTTGGCTTTAACCATGATTACTTTCTTTTATTCGATTAGACTATTAAAAATTTATTTCTTGTGTATAAAAATATGTAGTTTATTTAATTATTATGTTATTCGATTGCTGGTCTGGTTTAATTGAAGTATGAGAATCATGAACTGGTGATCATTCTGATTTTGGTCGTGCTTATAGAACATTGTCTATGGGATACCACCCCAATGAACACACGTACATAAATACATGATTTTTCAGGTATATATATGTGTACATAAACGAGTTTACATCTAAAATTAATCTTTTTTAAAGAAGAAAACTTTATCTCAACGCAAAACAAATCACAATCTCAAATCACAAATAATAATAAGAGGGGTAATGTAAACTTTGTCCCTAAAATTTATTTTCATTTTGGTTCTAGTCTTTTAAGTTTCAAATCATAGGTTTTGATCCCTCGAGTTTCTTTTTATTTATAATATTAGTCCTTATAATCTGATAAAAACTTAGATCATGTTGTCCTTTCAGAGACCAAAACCTATAATTTAAAATTTGATGGATCAAAATCAAAATAAGGGCAAAATTAAAGGACTAAAAATTATATTAATCCTCATAGAAGTTAAAATATGCATTTTGTCCTTGGTTTTAATTTGGTATTTTAATTTTGTAAAGTATATTTCTGTTTTTTTAATCCTAAAATCACTAAGTTTAAATGATGATTTTTTCGTAACAAGCATGGTTATTTTGAAGATTAAATTTAGTAGGTTGATATTTAAGAATATTTTATCAACATTTCAAATTTTAATGTCATCATTTTTTTAACTAACAATTTTGGGATTAAAAGATTAAAATTATGTTTTTTTAAGTTAAAGAATCAAACTGAAGTCATATATAAATGGTCAAATGTACACTTAAGCCTGAAAGAAATACTACATTTGGTTCTTAATATAAGAGCTAGTTGATTAATTTGAATATATTAAAAAAATTAGTTAAATTAGTTATTTGTAATAAATAGACATTTTTCTTAACGTATCTTTACTAATGAAGTTTATTGGTTAGAATTGCTATTATTACAAAGAATGCCTTAGAAAAACATAGATAAATATGACAGACAATACATTTGGGTCTTATATTTAGAACTAAAATAAAAATTAAATAAGATCTTGTATTAATGACCCGAAGTACACCTCCAGTCCTTAATATAAACCTATTTAACTAATTTGATTAAATTAAGAAAATTAGGTAAGTTAATTAATTATAAAATATGACATATTTTTCCTAAAACATTATATTTGATTGTTGTTGAAAGAGTATCCATAACAGTAATTTAGAAAAAATTGATAAATATGAGAAATAGATCTTATATTTAAGATAAAAACAAACTTAATAATTAAGTTTTATATTAAGGATATGAGGAATAATATTAAAAAAAAAAGTAATAACGAAAGGGGTATCAGTCGGATGGTTGTTAAAAAAAAGGGGGGGACATGCATTGCCCGAAGCGCAGTTAACGTCGATGCCATCAATACTGCAACATGCAAATTCAGATCACACAATTTACGAATGAATTTAAAATTCAATCCCAAGAACATTCCTGGATCGAACAAATATATGTTCCTAAAATCAATCAAACAAGAAAGCGATAATCATTCAACAAGACATGGCACATTTATGCGGCATACGAAGAAATCAAACAATTTAAGCTATAACTAATTCCCTGACAGACGATTAGCTATAATCATGACGATGACGCAGAGATTCTCCAAATCCTGGTTGGTCTTCACGAGAAAAACGGAGGGATCGTATCCTGGTGCTTCCGACGACGCACAGTCATCGATGTCGGTCATCACGGCGGAAGCGGCGACGTCCATGCCAAAGTAGTCTTTATTGTCCAGCTGTTGTTTAGTCTTCTTGATGCCCTCCAAAGCGTCGTCGTAATGCTGCGCGCAGGACGTGTAATGCTGAACCAGGCGAGGCTCCTGGGTCTGATGGACCATCGAGTCCAGAGCCGTCTTGGTGCTGCCGACGCGGATTTGAATCTGCTCGATCACGTACGCGGCTAGGGATGAAAGATCCGACCCTTGCTTCTGTTTCAGAATTTCCTCGCAAAATACTGGGTTGTTGTGTTTCGAGCAAATCTCTGCTACGGATGGTGTGTTAGAATAAGCGCAAGGAGCAATGCAGAGGAATATCACCACAATAATGGAGCCCGCCAAGGGAGAATATTTGCGAGCCATTTTTTCTTCTTTGATTCTTACTGGCTTGTCCTTTTCTTCTCCCTTATTTTTTTCTTCTTTTCTTTCCTTTGCTTGCTATGGCTTCTGCAAAATCAACAATTTATACGGGAAAAATCTCTGCCTTTTGGTTCTCCTTTTAATGTGTGGTGTTAATCCATGGCTTAATTAGCATAAAAACTAACAAAAGTAATACGCATTTTGAGGTTGTTGATTACTTTGCTAATAATAGGAATAGTACCTTCTACAAATTATCTGGAGTTTGTGGAAATAGTTCAGACACCATTGTTTGATTCTCTTACCATTTGATCTCAAAGGGCGTTTCGTTAAATTTGCTGAATCTGATGTCTTGTATCTATTTTAGAAACAACGTCTCAAGTTACACTGTTAATTAGTCTTTATCCCAGAAGAATTTACGGATCAAAGCGAAATAATGAAATTAAACATTTTTAATTCGCACAACTCATTAAATAATGTGTTGCTAACGTTATGAAGGTTCGTCCTTGGGAATTCCAAAGAACTAGCCCCTCGGAAGAAAAGCAAATGCTGAAAAGTGTAACTAAATTTTTTGTAATGACAAATGCCATCACATCCTAGCTTTGTTTCTCCAATCAATTTTCTAATTTATAACCAAGTCAAATTTGTTGACGGTAGTACAACCAAATTTGCTTAAGGCAGTACAAGCAAATTTGAACAAGATCTCTTGGTGACGGCAACCGCTCCGTAAGCAGGAAGCATAATTGGCTGCTGCTGGATGCTGTAGACCTAAACTCCATTGTTTTCAGTCCGCATAATTATTTGAGCTATTCGCTTTTAAACATTCTATGCAGGGGAGATCCAATTCCAAATGCATTTAATACTGACTCAAATTCACCATTAACACAATTTCATATCGAAATTGAAAGAAAATTTGAGAACAGAATTTAAGAATTTACGACGGTTTTGAACTGGGGATTCTAAACCAATGGGTAATAACAGGAAAGGTAAAGACGTCAGGCCGAGATAGACAGGAAATTGAGAGAATTTATTCAAGCATAAGTAAGAAGCAACACAACCATTCTCTCAGTATGCATTGAGGTTGGAGCTAATTCGTATTTAAACACCTAGATTCGCTGAGAACACCCACACACACACACAATGGAATCTCCTCCATTTAACTCTAAAATTCATGGGCAAAATTGAAAACAAGAGTAATGAAGTGGAAACCAGCTCTTTTGTTTTGGCCTGTAAAGAAGCTCTTCAAATGTGAATGGGCTTGTCAAAAGTGGCCATGGCAGCTTCTTTCACTGCCTCGCTCATTGTTGGATGCGCATGGCAAACCCGTGCTATGTCCTCACTAGCAGCATCATACTGTAATGCTATCACTGCTTCATGAATAAGCTCTCCTGCATTGGGTGCCATAATATGCACCCCCAATATCTTGTCTGTTTCTTTTTCAGCCAATATCTTCACCAATCCTTCAGCATCATCAATAGCCTTAGCCCTGCTATTGGCCAGGAAAGGGAACTTCCCGACACGGTATGGGACACCGAGTTCTTTCACTTGCTCCTCTGTCTTTCCAACATATGCAACCTCAGGGTGTGTGTAGACAACCCCTGGGACTTTGTCATAGTCCACATGACCCACCTTACCAGCTATGTACTCTACACAAGCAACTCCATCTTCTTCTGCTTTGTGTGCCAACATTGGACCAGGAATTACATCTCCAATTGCATAAACACCAGAGACATTGGTGGCAAATCTTTCATTCACTAGAATTCTTCCTGCCTTGTCAGTTTGGACACCTATCTTGTCCAACCCTAGTCCAGATGTGAATGGAGTCCTACCAGCAGATACGAGAACAACATCTGCTTCCAATGAAGTCTGATCACCGCCAGCTGCTGGTTCGAGAGTCAGTTTCACTCCATCACCTGAAGTATCAACTCCTACCACCTTAGTCTTGAGCATGAATTTCATGCCTTGCTTTTCAAGAGTACGTTGAAACTGCTTCCGCATCTCCCCATCCATTGTGGGAACAATATCCGGTGCAAACTCAACAACAGTTACCTCAGAGCCAAGTCGGCCCCACACTGAACCCATTTCAAGCCCAATATAGCCTGCTCCGATGACCACAAGTCTCTTGGGGATTTCTGAAAGAGCAAGAGCACCTGTTGACGAAACGATTTTCTTTTCATCAATGGCAACACCAGGTAGAGATTTCACATCTGACCCAGTGGCAATTATGATATTCTTCCCTTTCACCACAGTATTTCCACCATCAATGGTGTCCACAGAAACTTCAGAAGGAGAAACAAATTTGCCATATCCTTTGACATAGTTTACCTTGTTTTTCTTGAATAAACCCTCAATACCTCGAGTAAGATTAGAAACCGCTTTATCTTTTTGCGCCATCATGGCTGGCAAATCAACCTCAACAGATGAAAACTTGACTCCATGGCTGGAGAATGAATGTTTGGCCTCATGGTACAAATGTGAAGAATGCAACAATGCCTGAAACAAAATATAAATATACTTAATAAATGAGTCCGTCGACTAAAGAGAAGACTACGTTCACTATTCTTAGCAACCTGGTGCACCTACATTGACAGTCATGAAAAGTTACTACCACAGACTAAGTATTGAATGACAAGATGCTGAAACTAACACTATAACCTATTGCGTGAAGAATGATTTGCCTGAGAAATTTAGGTCAACAATCCCCCCTTCCCCATAAGAAAAGGGAGGAGCTGAAGAAAAAATTGCAACTTAGTAAATGACAGTCGTCGAATAGGGACAAAAAGTAGGTGATACGGTCTAATGTCCAACTAATAATTCCATTAAAACATTGATAATAAGCAGCTCTAGTACTTCCACCCGAATTTTGATATCCATAAACAAAATCCACTGAATAAAACTGAAAAATTAATCAAACCCCACTGCAAGATCCATGCAATACTTACATTAATTTCGTGATATGAAGATTAACTTGAATTTAGTTGAGATGGAAAAAGGGAGAGGTAAATCGAAAGTTTGGGACACAGAAAGAGAATCAGGTAGAAATTGAGGTTTAAGAACTAGTTCTACTCAATAAATGATCTCCATCAGCTCTATTCTCTCCTTTCGCGAACAAAATTTAAAGAACCTCATCTGAATATCCATAATTTCCAAAACGTGCAATCAACATAAGATCACTGCTTTATTTCCCAATGGGTTCTAACCTCTGATTTACCCGGTTTCAAAACTGAAACCATTAACTTCAGCTGGCAGAACCAAAATCAAAGTCACATATGAAGGCAATTTACTACTTCTAGCATAGAGGCCAGAAGGCATGCTATTGCCAGCAATATCAGAAAGAAATGGAGGGAAAAGCGGTCGAGTTCACAATGGAATTCAATGATCGCCTATGGTCAAACAAAAAACATCTCAGATAACCATAGAGATCATTCCAAAGAATCCGGAAATAACCATGGTCAAACAAAGAACATTTCAGACAACTATTAAGATCGTTCTAAAGAGTCTGGAAACTCCAATCTACCTCCTACTGTGAAACAAAGGAAGCAGAGAAAGACGAATCCAAATCAGAAGTTCTTTAAAAATCCAACGATGGATTACCTTGGAGGGGATGCATCCAACGTTAAGGCAGGTACCACCAAGGGTCCCACGCTTCTCTATGCAAGTGGTCTTAAGACCCAATTGAGCGGCTTTAATGGCGGCGACATAGCCACCAGGACCACCACCAACTACGACGACGTCGTTATCATCCGATCGCGAAGCAAAGCCCCGGGAAAAGGAGGCGAGTGAGAACGAATACTTGAGGGTCTCCGAGGAGAGATTCCTGGACAAAAGGAAGCCCTTCCGTCTCGCCAAGCTAGCCATAGCCATTTCACCTCTTCTTCTGCTTCTCAGATCGAAAGCTTCAAGTATTCGATTCCGCAGCGACCTATTCTGAACCTTTTTTTGAAGACCAACAGTGTCGCCATGCCACATGCCATCCCTCCCTTTGACGCTTGATTTTTTTTTTTTTTGCCCAACTTTTTCTTAGGCTCTCTAGTCCCTACAATATTATTATTGTTATTATTAAAATTTGTGTTTTTCATAAATATAAAAGCTTAACGGATTTATTGTAAAGTTTTAAAAATTATAAAGGATTTTTGCACATAACGTAGAGTTCAAAAGAAAATAAAATGACTTAACTACAATATAAATATTTGTTTAATTAAGATTTCCAACCATAATACTTCAAGCATTCAGTAATCATGAACATAAGGCAAAAATCACCAATGAAAAACTAGTTTGTTGTTAATTTTAAAAATAACAATAGTAGGTACGTTTGATTATTGATTACAAATTACATGTCTATTTAAGAACTATTCCATAAGGTGGCTTCCCGTGCAAATTCAACTTTTGTTTATTTCTTGTTTCGAAATACGTGATAAATATATAGTTAGGATAATTTATAGAGATTGTTCTTTCATGGTATTTGTTTATTTTTCGGGTTAACGATCCTAATTTTCCATGTGCTTTTATTGTGTTACTCTTGAACGGTTGCTTCCAGGATGGCTGCGGGAGCAGGTTCAACCAACATACAGACCCCTTTGTTTATTGATAAACTGTTGTTGTGTTATTCTATTCCACAATCTAATTATTACTTAATTATTGAATTTAAAATATTTTGTGATTTATGCTTTATTATACAGATGGATGATTAATTTTTATTCTCAAAAACTAGATTTATTTTCGCATTATTGCAATACCAATTGATCAACCTTTGGGGAAAAAGAAAAGTTCACTTGTCTGTTTATAAAAATCTCAAATAAAAAGGATGACTGTGAAAATATGTACTACCTCTAGTCTTTAATATAAAAATTAGTTGACCAATTTGAATAGATTAAGAAAATTAGTTAATTTAGTTGTTTGTAATAAACAGAAATTGTCTTTCCTAAAATACCCTTATTAATTAAGTATCATTTGATGAAATATTTAATGTGTGCAATTACTATATAGACTACCTTAAAAAAATAAATAAAAAAGATAAAATAGATTGAACTATTGTATTTAGAACCAAATTAGAAATCAAACAAATTATTATATTAAACACGGAGTTAGTATTAAGTAACTGATAAAAGTTAAATGACAGAAAACATTTATAGCATGATGAGTTTGCATCATCAACGGAGTCCTGGGCAAGCCCACTCAACTTGTCCAAACTTAAAAAGGAACAGAATCTGGTCACCCATGATCGCTTAGCCATATGGTTCTTGCATGCGGTTGATCTCATAACATATGAATAATATGAGAAAAAAATAAATTAAAATATTATATTTAGAATCAAATTAAAATTCAATCAATCTATTATATTAAGAACATAATTAGTACTACTTTAAGAACAGAGTTCTGGGCAAGCCCACTCAACTTGTCCAAACTAAAGCAACAAAAACTGGTCACCCATGATTGCTTAGCCATATGGTTCTCACATGCAGCTGATCTCATAACGTTTGCAATTTGTTTGGCCAAATTTAAAAACAATCTCATCCCACTCAGCTTTATAAGTATTCGTAAGACAAAAAGTATGAATCTTTCCTCTTATTCACAGAAGCAACAATGAAGAATCAAATCCACATAGCAGAGGCCAATCAACTAAACCTAGCTACAATTGCCTCCATGTATACCAAGATAACCCAGAAAATACCTCCTAATTAAATGGTTCTAAACCGATCACAGTCGTCATCTATCCTTGCAAAACTGCTGGCTGCTTTTTCTCTAGCCCCCTCTGAAACAGCCTCAAAACAGATATCCATCTTCCAACCAAAAAATTATATGTAAAACCGGGAGAATAGTATTTACATTCAATTGCCCTCCAGTAAGCTCTTCAATCTGTTACGAGCTTCTTCAGAAAGAGAACAAGCTCTGAATCTTCGCCTCTGGGGTGGAAATGATTCAACTATGCTTCCAACGGAAGACAAACATATAACAATCACAGTGAGATTATCTGATGTCCTCAAGTGCAGTGCTTCCTTGACTAGATCTCTAGCACATTGCTGTGGATCATCATGTCTTCTTAACCCGCGGCGAACAAAACTAACCGCATACTGACTTGACATCACATCCCAAATCCCATCACACCCAATGATCAAAAACTCATCATCCTCAGTCAATGAAACCTGTAGAACATCTGGATCAGCAATAAGAGGTGAAGTAGAACCAAGTGGCAATTTTAAACCCCAATCCCCAAGGGCTCGGGTCACAGACAGATCACCATTGAGATAGCCATCATCATCAATGGAGCCACCTAACTCTTCCACCCTTCTCTTTTCTGGTAAATAACTTGCTCTATGATCTTGAGACAAGTCAACAGCCACTCCTTTTCTGCAAAGAACTGCCCGACAATCCCCAGCATTTGCAACCAGTAAATGACTTCCAAGTATAAGCGCGGTCAATGCTGTTGTCCCACAGGAATTCCTAACAGTTGCTTCATTAGCCAAGGCAAGATCTGCAAGTAAGAAAGCTTTCCGATGGGAATCCTCCAATTTCTTCAGAAATAATGTATTACCATCATATGACAGCAGCAGATTAGCATCTTCAAAAAATAGTCTCATAGCATTCCTCTTAACAAAATCGGCCGCATCAGGTCCTCCATGGCCGTCAAAAACTGCATAAAATGCACACGGTATTGGAGACTTGAACACAAGTCCAAGATGGGAAGCGAGATCATCTATTTGAATGTGTTCATCTTCCATATATCGCCGTCGTCCAATATCAGAATGGCTACCAGATCGGACGTTTGGGATGAACTTAGATGAAGAGATCTCTATAACGGAATCATTAATTATCTCAGGACAACTCTCAGCCTACAATAAATTTGAGAAGGTAAGATGATGTATAAGATCAGTGGAGAAAGAATAGATAAGAAGTAAATTAGCACAATGACTTTAAACAAAATCCTGTAAATTAGACAAATATAACGAGGCAAACGGCAAGACCAAAGGCCCGCCCGCTAAGTTCCGATTAATACGAAGGCCTGCCAGCAAGAAGCGATTGGAACTTCAACCCACACTGGCCAGCCATTTCAAGCTGTTCCAACAAATTTCTTCTAACCTTTATTTTCTTTTTCTGGCCGGAGGGGTGAGGATCTTTAACTGTATGCTATAATTCTAAGCTAGAACTACAAACACTAAATTACAAACTCCAGTTGCCAAACCATACAGCATCTAGAATCCTAACAAACAATAGGGGGCATCAGATCTTCCCCATATCTATCAAGAAACTCATAGCGTAGAATTCAAAATTAATATTAAGCTAAGACAAATACTAAGATACCTCCGGACTTATTGATACAAAACCTAAAATAAATTTCGGTAATTTCCCCAGAAATCAACTGGTTAAGAATCGAAAATCAAACAACAAACTAAAAGCTAAAAAGAAAACAACAAATCCACAAAAAGAAACATACCGTTTCGAAGCGGCGCGTTTCAGTAGAAATTGATTCAGAAGAAACCCGAACTTGGCCAAAGATCGGAACAGAAGAAGATCTCGGCGAAACCTCCACCTTGACGTTGTGCTCTTGTGCTACGCGAAGATGATACTCCACATCTAACACGGGAATGCTTTGCTGACAGACAATTTCTTTGGTCACCATCTTCTCGCTCACAATCATCTTGAAAAGCCGTTGTGTAAAATTCTCCGAGCTAATCTCTCTCGAAAACAGCAGCACAGAAAGGGGAAAACTAGATTTTGGAATTCAAGAATCTTATCGTCCAAAATTGGGGTGACAATCCGATATCGATCCGACAAAATCAACGATAACAGTAAGCGAATTAGGGTTCTCTTCTCCGCGGCTCTCTTTCTCTCTCTATATGGCTCAAACTCCTATGAACCTTACGAAAAGCGTTATATGCTATATATATAGGCTGACTTCGACGCGCTTATTGAATGGGTAAGGGACTCACTGTGTTAACGAAATGCCAAAAATACCCTTGAAATATAAAAATATCTCAAGACTTTCCTCTTTACCCAACCATAAAGCTCCAGAATATTGTTCATTAGTGCTTTTTATTCGTATTATTAATTATTTTATTTTTCTGTTAATATTATTTTGTAATTTACATCGTAAATATAGTTTTGTGACAAGGCTCGTGACGCAGCGTTATCGTATGCAGGCAGAATCCGAGTAGGAATCAGTCACCTTTTCCTTGAAGGAGTAGGATTGTTGAGTTTGCGTATTATTCAAGTAATTATTATGAAAATATTTCTTTCCTTTTTTAAAGCACAAATATTTAACTTTAATATAATAACTGTAGATAAAATATTAAAATGGCGCTTTTTATATCAATTGTTATCCACTCGTATGCTTGTGATTGAGGGAAGTGCGCCTAGGAGGAGTTGGTGATGCTTGTCTATGCGATAAAGAGGAACCTTTTTCAGCTTTTTATGTTTATCTACATTATGTTATATTTTGCTTTCTTATATGCCTATTATAAATTTTAAATAACTAATTCATAAAAATAAATAATTAGTTAAAAATAATAAATATCTTAAAACATAGTTTCATTTTCAAATATGCTTTTATAATAAATAAAAAAAAGGATACAAGAGAATGTAAAGAAAAATATGATAAGATAGTATGACAAAAAAGAAAATAAATAATTAATGACAAAATTAAAAAATGTATTGAATATTTAGACAAATTCTAAATTAAAACTTATAAAATGAATCACATCGTCCTTGAGATTTGAAGTTTCTAAATAGCACAGGAGGAAGTAATTATTAGGGAGAATGACAAAAAAGAAAACTGAAAATTACTAAATCTCAAAACATGTTTGATAAAAACACTTTATTTGGTGTTAATATTGAATTTGCAAATGACAAAAAAATTTTGTTGGCATTTTTTATTTGGTATTTACAAATTTTCAACTTCTTTTTTTGTTATTTTTCTTAATTATTATCACATGTTTATTTACCGCTTTTACCAAAAAGAAAAACTAAAGCATGAATGATGTTTAATATCTTGAATTTATCTATTTGTTTTTTTAATCAGTATATCTAATATGTTCTTATTATATGAGAAGAGCTTAATTCACTGGCCCAAAAAAAAAAATCAATCCTACAATAGTCGGAAATGGTTGGAATTAACCATCTTAAATGGATAAGAATATTTAATTTAGAACTGGTGTGTAATCATTAGTGTAAGGAATGCAAATTGCATTATTTCGAGAGGAAATGGCTTCGAAGAAAAGTCAAACTGATTCCTATAAAACACTCAATTAAGCCTCGTGGTCAACCATTTTTTTAATACTCTGGCACTCAATATAAAAAGTTGGCTTGACTTATATTTTAATACTACCTCCGTATCTATTTATAAGATATTATTTATAAACTATAAATGGAGTCTTATAATTAGAATCTAGTTAGTATTAATTATAAAACTTCAATTCACTTTATTTCTCATAGTTATTTATTTATTTTCAAAATAGTCATTGTAACAATGGTAGTCCTAGTTAACATACTTGATTAACAAAGGTATTTTAAAAAAGATAACACTTATTTATTACAAATAACTAACTTAACTAGTTTTGTTAATCGACTTAAATTGGATAACTAACTCTTATATTAAGAACGGAAGGTAATATAAAACAAAATTTAAAGCCTAAATGAGTAACTTCCAAAGGTGGAAGAAAAAGAAGGAAATTTTGTTACCAATTTTTGGGTCCTAAAGATGAAATAAACAGTCAAGCAAATGGTAATTTGGCAGCCTGCAGGTCCTAATCAAGTCATAAATTGGCACAAGGAATCATTTCCCGTGTTCTCATGTTGTTTTATGTGTAGCTGGGGCTTGGTTCAATGAACAATGCCACATTCTATTAATTTTTTTTATTACCCTCCCACATGATACATTTATTCCATGTGTTAATCATTAATCTATCTTGTAGTATTTTAAAAGAAAATTGGTATGCACAAACAAAGCGTTTCATTCATTCTTTAAATTAAATTATATATGGCTGGCAAAAAATATTAAATTATATCTGGTATGATCCCCTCAGTGAGTAAAAGCACTTACATTTTTTTTTTTAATATGCCAATTAATTTCTGCAAAGAATATTAAATTTTGACTAATTTAGGTTAAGTGGATTGAATGAGTCAGATGTAAAATTTTCATAGTGACAGACATTTTTTTTTTCAAGGGAAACAAGCATTGGTTAAACAACTTGAATGGATTACGTTTATCTAGCATTTGTTAACAAATGTTTCTAAAAAGTTGCTTACTTGTCGGACTGTCATATTGATTGAGTTTTGAAATTATGTTAATCAATAACAACAGGTAATAAGATATTAAAAAAAAAAATCATGCTAGAAGCTTTACTTGTAAATGGACTAGAAATACTTAAATATGTCATAATAAAAAAATACTCCTCTGGTCCTTAAAAAATCATGCTAGAAGCGTTACTTGTAAATTGGGGAGTTAATGTTGATCTTTTATATATAAGACTTATTTTTCAAATTAATCTTATTGATATTCCTCTAACAATAATCAAATAGGAGATATGGAAGGAAATTAATAAAGGTGCTCATTAACTAATTTAGCTAATATCTTTAATCTACTCATGTTAGTTAGTTAGGTCTTATATTAAGGACCAGAAGAGTAGTTTGTTTTTAATTAAAAAAGTCACAAAATAACTGAATAGTGTCATGAGTGCTAGGCTTAGTCATAATCCGAATGCGTTAACACGTGGCCCAGTGTTGTTGGTTTAATAACTTTATTGTTGGTGGCCTTCGACTGGATCTGAAAGCCTCGAAATCGACCGCCACTAGTTATGTGGGAGGGGGAAAAGTGGAAAACTCACAGGTGGAAGTTTTTAAATTACAGATGCTTATTTTAAAACAATATAAATAAATTTTAATTTTTTTTTGACCAGCTAAATAAACTTTCATTTGAACATTACAATCACAAACTTTTTAAATTCTTTAAAGGGATAATATGATATTTGCTCCCTTAAATTTTTTCTTATTTTAATTTTGATCCCTTAAATTAGTCTTTATTTTATTTTTGGTCTCTCAAATTTCAAACAATAAGTTTTGGACTTCTGGTCTACGTTTTTAGTGAGTTATAATAATCAATGTTTTAAATGAAAAAAAATCTGAGGAATGAAACTTTATGATTTGAAACTTGAAAGATTAAAACTAAAATGAAGACAAACTTGAAGGATTAAAAATTATACTCTCTCCAGTCTTATTTATGAATTTTAAATTTAGGAAGAAGTGTGATTTATTTGATAAGTTTTAATTTGGGTTTGTCGTAACATTCAAACCATTTTTTATTCTAATATTGCCTTTAATTATTTCTCTTTTGTCGTATTCTTACACATGTTCTGTTTCATCTTTTTTTTCATTTATTATAAAGGTATACTTGAAAACAAAAGTACATCTCTAACTTACTTTTTATTTTTAACTAATTTTAATCAATTATTTGTTATCCATGAATTAGTTATTTGAAGATTATAAAAAGAAAAGAAGAAGTATTAAGCCTTCTTTAAAATTTCTAGATATATTTGGATTCTTTCCATTTCCTAAACACCATTTGAATGGAAGAGACATAATTAAAAATAAAATGGCGGTAGGGGAAGTCTCATAATTTTTTTAGACTGAAAAGAAAATAATGCTATTGTTGTTCTTTTTGGGGGCCATCAAAGCAATCCTATTATCTTACTGAGTACGTATCAAGTTTGTTGTCCACTCATTTTTTTGGCCACTGTTAGTCCACTCATCCATGTCTCTTATTCCTTCAACTAAGAAAACGAAAAGTAAAAGTGAGAGGATAAGGGTATGGCTTTACGCAAAAGAAGCTGCGTACCATGTATGACCAAAATTGTTCCATGCAGTGATGCAGATCACTTATGGATGCCCTTCAAATGTCATTAAAATAAATAAATAAATAAATAAAAGAAGTGGCCGTAAGTCCTGCTGGATTCTTCATCTTTCAAAAAGTTGAGACTCGTTGAATTGTCTTTGTTCAAGTAGTTCTACTTGAAAAGAGTTTTATTTCATGAAGTGTAAACCAAGAAGGCATTCAGCGAAAAAGGTAGCTCATGCTACCCACTGTTTTTAATATAAAAACTACTGTGAAGGTTGGATTTAATTGTTTTTTTTAATATCTCTTTTGATAGTAAGTAGTTCCCATTAAGAAGTATTTTCAATACACATGATTAGAGATGGTATGTTAAGAAAATCAACACGTATTTGTTACAATTATTTAACTTAACTAATTTTCTAAATCTTCTCAAATTAGTTATCTAACTCTTATACACAGGAGATAACACAGAACCAATTTAAAAGGTCTGATTGAAAGCTCAAAATTTATCCCCTCATAAAGAAAATCTGACCGAAAACACGACTCGTTAGTTATATATAAGCTAATATTCAATCGTATTAAAAGTTTGTTATACTATTTTTACATTAAAGGTCGGTTTCTTCAACCTTCTGACAAGAGGCATGAAAAAAAGAACCTTCAATTCCCACACCCAGAAGGCCACGAAGCCACATAAAAAAATTTATTCTACAATTTAGTTCAAGCAAATATATTGACATTTCACGGGCAATCAATTTCAACAAAATATTGAGCGAAACAGTGAAGATGAATGAATAAATCAAATAATTAATTTGACATCTGATAGCTAACATACATAGCCTATAGATTGATACAATAAACTCAAACCTCAGAACAATGAACCAAAGCTCAGGAAAGTTACTCGCAGCATGCTGGCTGGCGTTCTTTCAGCAGCTTCTCCCAAAGGCATAACACCATCCTTGGATTTTGGTAATGGGCAAGTATATAATTTGATTCACATCCAACATTGTGAAACCTCTCATCAGTTTCGTAGTGCACTTCTCTACCACTCTTCTTGAACTCTTCGATCCATATCCCCATGGCAACATCTTCCAGTTTGAAGAGCTGAGCATTGAAAAATATGGACAGACGAGGATGAGAAAACCTTACTAAAGTAAGATTTGAATATCTCTGTTATGCTGAAACGCTAATGAAGATCGAAGTGATATTCTGGTCATCAAAACATAAATCCTGTCTAAAGTGATTTCCCCAAGTTTGAATATCATATATTCTGTCTTTGATATAGTTCTCACATTAAGCAGGAGATAAACACCACCAGGAAACTACGGTGTTGTAATTACTCTAAAGAATACGTTGCATAATGGCATTTTTTTAGTGACATTTGAGAACTTTACAGCGACTTAACTTCAGATTAAGCCGGACCACCCATCTTTGTTAACATACTTTTTCTGAAGACAATTTTGAAGGCAAAACCTACAATGCTTTCCAGAATCTCAATATTTAGGTGAAGTTTACGCTTGACACAATCTGTGAAATGATCATTAGAACACAATAAACAGGAAGAAGAAATTCTTACCTTCAACGTTCTTTGTTCATGGCCATGAACAATGAATTTTGCTATGTCTCGAGAGATGACATAACCGGGACCATGTGCCCATGGAGGGTATGAATCATGCGGCCATTCCTAATCAAAAAGAAAAACATTGAATTTGTGGCAGGGATAAAGTTGTGTAGTTTTACTTTGAGCATTTCAGAAAGATTTACACCTCCTCACTGATGTACCATTTGCCATCTTGATCCCTGTGCGGCGATGATTTGAAAGATATAAGACCATACAAGAGACCATCAGATGGCTTTCTTTTAAGGTTAGAAACCACTTCATCAATCCTAACAAAAGCATCATCATCCGTTTTCATTATGTACTTAGCAGGCATGATTTTCGTCTGCAAATTTAGTGACAGATCATATTGATTAACTGGCATGAAAGTAAAGGAGATGAAATATAATACTCTTCCGGTTCTAAACGTAAGACTTATTTTGTAGTGTAAAATTACACTACAAAATAAGTCTTACATTTAGAACTAAAAGGAGTATATACAAGACTTGCAGATGAAAAACAACATCCGGCGCGACCACACTGACACAAAATTGCATATGCATCCTGTGATGTTGATATGGTCTAAAATAGAGTGGTAAACTATGATGTAATAGGATAGCCATTGTCCAGCTGTCAGATATATAAGATTTGGAGGCATAGGGCAAGATGAGTAAAAGCAGGCAACCTACGGTTTTAAAGGCCAAATCATAGTCTGTGTTCACAAATTCATTAATCACATTTTTTTGGAAGGGTTAATTCCAGAGTAGATTTCTCCTAAAACACATTTACAAGAATGTGAACATGAATTTTGATTCAATTAAAAAAGAAAAAAAACAGAAAACAATGTGAACATGAAAAAAGAAATCGTGGACAAGGTTAATAAAAAATTGAAACTCTGGCAGAAATGGATTTCAGTCACTAAAAGATTTGGATATTATTTCCTCGCCCCTTATCCCCATCAGGCTGTGCTCCCTTCTTGTTTCTTTATATGTTTACGTAGACATTTCATTGCATAAAATTTTGATGCCCTTACCCCTAAAATGCATATTGCAATAGTTTTGAAGGTGATCAAACCATAATAATCAACAAACGGCAAAAACTGGATATCTCCAAAAGCTTGTGCTTCTTTCCACAGCTCAACGTTAACTATATGGTTCTTGTGCTGAAATCAAATAAAATATCAAAGTCACTCACAGTTAACAGGGCAAAGAAAAGGTGCAATGACAATGAAGATTACTGGGTTGAGAGCTCTCCCTTGCGCACTTGCCAGGTGAGAGAATATTGCTTGCAGTCTACACAGACTTTTTGGTTGCAAAACATAAACGATATAATCTGTCTTAGTAAATGATGCAGTTCTTGAGTTCAAATATTACAGATATCTCCCAACCTCTGCGCATACTCCTTCCACTTAATGTAAATTCATTCGTCAGTATATATTTGAAGAAAGACACCATTTGCAATCCTCTCCCAGCTATCCACCTCACAGGTGGAGAAGAGAGGGATCATGAATTGCACGAGTCATCCCTTCCAAATTAAATCAGCTAGAGATGTGCAGAAAACACCGTAGATGAATGATTGTATATGAAAATCTTCACGAATTCTATATATAGCAAAGCAAAATTCAATTTGATTTCTTTCAATGACGGTAGGGAGCAAAGACCACTAAGAAAGAAGGATTTGAGCTTCGACAAGACTCTTCAAGGAAAAAGTTAAAACATAAGCTATATCAGGAAATATGTCAGCATAAATATTTACTGTACCAAGTCTGCATTTGATCACTTACAAGCCCAATGAAAAATCGGACAGCTACCTCCCCAGAACGTACAGCCTGATATTGCATCCAAGACCTCCTGAGGGCCATTCTTCTTTCAAAGTTATTTCCCGTGGAGAATACCCCAATTAGCAAAACAAGCCTTTTTCTGGGGATAGAAGGAGCTTTAAGTTTGTCAATGTCAATAACAATATCATTATCTTCAGTAGTAGGTAAGCCTTTTGCCAGTGCAGATAAGAGACTTAGATTGCCACCTACTTTGACACTGTTAACTAACCATGGTTCAAGTTTCTGCATCCACAAAAACCATACAAAGTTGGAAGTGGCCATTCTATGACTTTGACTGAAAAAATTAGAAATGTTTCTTGTTCCATACCTTACCTCCCTAAACGCAAAGGATGTTTCGTGCCTTCCATTCACTGTCATATGGAATCCCTCTGAACCGACCCACAATGTGGCAGTGAAAGGGTTTCCTTCAGTGAAAGGGAAATTAGCAGTTCTATGTGCACTCTCCTCTGAAAAGTTAGCAGTTCTATCACTAATAGGTTTGCCCACACTTGGATTCTCTTGGTTGCTGCTTCTGGTAACTTGTACATTGCAGAGCACAAGTCCATCAACTGCATCACGTACAGTGATAATTAGTTCTTGAAAATATACACTATTAGGTATGATAACAAAAGGTAGAAAAGTTTGTTTTCAACTTATTCTGTTATTTATGAAGCAGGTTGGTGCTATTACAGCTATTAGCCCAATTAAGTAGCAAATGTGCTTGTAACTTCAAACAAACATAATATAGGGGGAATGTATGTCTGAAAAGATTATTGGAACCTGTCATACTCTATGAGTCTAAAATGTTTATTCTCTACCTGAAAAAGAATGCATTGTTAGTTAACAACACTTCGAACCCACCACAGTTCTTTGGATGCAGAATATGCTCGTTGGATGCAAAATATGCTTTAATACATACAAGGTCCACCATTAGTCACGCTACATAAATTGAAATCTCTTCGTTTAAAAAAAAAAAAAACACAAGCATACCTTCTTGGATGTTAGTAAAACCATGAGCTGGACACTTTTCCTCTTTTCCCCACCCATGTTCATTAGTCCATGTATTTTGAACTATAAATGGATCCTCAGTCAAATTTTCTCCAGGGAGACTCACATTGTAATGCAAAATTATAGGAGGATTTGGATCCTCTTCTATCTGTTGGCCCAAGAGGTCAATGTGGAAGCTTCCATTTTGCCCAACAGGAATGCCAATTAGTGTAATAGATGAATCTACGACTAGACCACAAGGAAGCTCAAGAATGATTCCACTGCTTGCCACCATTTTGCCGATTGTGGTTACAGTCAATGGGCAGTTCTGATTTTCAGGGCTATCTATCTCGCTAATCCTAGAGGCTTTCTGCTTCTCAATCGTGGACAACAACTCTTTCCATGCTACAGAAGCCTCTTTAACTCCTTGAGCTGTTTCAGGTAAAGCATCTGACCTTGACAGCAGGGAACACAAAGGAGTCCACAAAAGCATTGCTTTCAACTCTCCTTCAAAAAAGTTTTTCATGTTACAAAGATCATCAAGCCCATGAAAATGTATAGAATGTGGCCTTTTGGTTGGCTTTGGTGTTTCTTTTACTTCCACATTTGAAGAATTTATAGCAAGATTGTTTCTTACAGTAGAATCCGTTGGCGCATGATTATTAAAGAAACTGTAGGCCGACTGTTTTACTGATTTCTGTGGCTGCATTCTAAACGGACTGTATAGGAGAATCAACATCATACCCAGAGCAATGATCAACAAGCCTCCATACCACTTTTTCATGTTCAGCAAACCTTGAACTAAATGTAGCCGTTTCTGCAGATGTAGAAATTCTATTGCACTTTAGCTACTAGATCCACATAAGTGACGTAATCTATAAAGAACGAATGAAGAATAATTATATATAGAGATTAAATCATGTGAACCAATCAGTAGATCCAGTGACCGGGATAAATCGTTCTGAATAATCTCTTTTTCCTTCTGCTCCACTCTGCTATACGTGATTGGGGGAAGGGACTAGTCTATATTCCAGAACTTGCTGGACAGCTGACCTGGAGGACCCCTATACCATCATAACAAGGCACAGAACATGGATAACATATTCAGATGGCAAAATGCAAGAGCCAGCATACAGAACGTAAGTGACTTACTTTTACAAACAAATTTAGAAAAGTATATCCATCGGAATAGTGCAAGGCCATTCTAGTTGAGTTACCAAACCTAATGTCGTAAAATTCAAATGCAAGTAAGTTCTATTTTCATCGTTCTACGAGAATAGCTTTGTTTTCCTCTGATTTCCTCTTCACTTCTTTGAAAAAAATACTTATAGCATGACAGAATAATGATTGTCATAGATTCAGGCAATAAGAATTCTTTCCAAGCAGAAAAATCAGAATCTGTTATGGTCTGCCAACTTCCCTAAAAACGTTAGGGGTGACTCTCAACATGAATAGACCGAATCTATGTTCTTTGCCATGAGAAATACAAGCCGTAAAAGTCCACATTTTTTCCTCGGTTCCCTTTCAGTAAGCAACTCATATAAAGTAAGAAGCACAAATCACATCACCCAAATATACCCAAACAGAAATCAAGACAAGGACGCAAGATTTGAAGCTGCTGAGATCCAATATTCAACTACATCTCACCATTAAGCTGCGAGATGCTCCAACTTGGAAGCTTCAGAGTGTTAAAGTTTTGAGGAACAGAGGCACCGCTTTCGTTTACTTCATATATTAATATGTTTTCGGCTGGAACTCTTTCAACCAACTTTCCTTATTACCACCTTTCGTACTACCTCCCATCTTAATTATAAGAGTACTTAACTAATTTGAAGAGATTAAAAAAATAAATTAAAATAGTTATTTATAATAAATAGGTGGTTTTTTCTAAAATATTTTTGCTAATCAAGTATGTTGGCTAGAAATATTATTATTTGAAAGATTATCTTGAAAAAAATACATAAATATTAGAGACAAAATGGATTGGATTCTTATATTTAAGACCAAAATAAAAGTCAAACAAGATCTTATAATAAGTAACGGAAGTAGAATAAAAACTAATTAACTAATTTTAAAAAATTTAAAAATTAGTTAAATTAATTATTTGTAATAAATATTATCTTTTCTAAAATATTTTTATTTATCAAATGTATTAGTTAGAACTAATATTATTACAAAAACTATCTTAAAAAAAGATAAATATAAAAAACAAAGTAAATTGGAGTCTTATATTTAAGACTAAATTGAAAATCAAACTATGGTCTTAAATATAAGATCTCAATTCACTCTATCTCTTATATTTATCCATTTTGTTCAAAATAATCCTTATAATAATTACACAACTTAATAACTCTATCAAATGGTAGTTATATCTAATATATATAATTAACAAGGACAAACACTTATTTATTACTCCTCCGATCCTAAATATAAGACCCTTAAGTCAGAAGAGTATAAACTTAATAAATTTTTTTAATTTACTCAAATTAATAAACTAATTCTTAAAATTAGAAGTAACAACAGTAGAGGTGGGGGGGGGGGGAAGAGAACAATGGTGGAGGCAACTCAGACGACGACCTGTTAGCTATTTGTCTGATGAAGTGAGTTTGCCACCGAAAACAAAATCGACATGTAAAAGTGAACTTGCTTATCCGAATTTACTTCTGAGGGTGTTTGGATTATAAAATTATTTTTAAAAAACATCTTTTCACAAATTGAGATAAACTCCTTCACATATTTACTTAATACACTGTAAAAATACTTTTAGAACTATGATTTTGTTTCTACCAAACACACCCTCCTTTCACAGACAAGGTTAAATATAAGGCTTAAATACACTGAATTCGTGTTATTAGGAAATTGCTTCACGTTCTACAATAAATTGGCTTCACTTAACCCCCCTTTCTAAAACACTGTTATCTCCACAAAAGCAACTTTTACATGTCACCACAATCACCTCTAAAACATTATATCCAAACATAAAAACAATAAATAAATTGGAATTTTTCTAAGCTTAGAAAAGTAATTATATTTATACAATTGTCATTCATTATAACAGCAAATTATTTAATTTCGAGAGCATGTGGACTAGAAGAAATCAACTTCCGAACTATATTTATTATGATAACTTTAAATTAGACCCTTTTTTAACGGAAGAAATCAAACATTGTTGAGGTTATAATTGTATATTTTCAAAGTTATCTTTTCATTAACATCAACGATATATGAGTTAATCATTAGTCGGATTCCGCGGATCTTTTAGTCGTATGAAGCAGTGATTAAAAGAGATTATTGTCCGCATACTTTATTATAGCCATTCGAAACGCGCAATTCCATATTCTCAAGACAGCGGAAACAGAAGAAAACTTACTGGTGATCATTTAATTCGCACTACACAATAACAGCACTCGAGTATAATAACATCGCCTCTCTCTACAATATCAATAATAAAAATCAATAGAGAAGGACAATTATATAAATACCGTCCATCTCGCTGTGATATTGTATATGTACAAAGTGAAATGATTTTGATAACCATATATATATATATATACACGCACACCAGAACAATTGGTGTACATAAAAAGAATGCTTAGACAGTAAAATCTATTAATCGCAGAAGATAGGTGGCGGGAAAAATTGGGGGATACCAAAGTAATGTAAGGTCGCAAAGGAAACGGCCTTTTAATGGATTTCCCCGTCTCAGGATATCAAATATGCCCATTAGCAAGTTCGAACTAGTTTGCTCAGCCCGACCTGTAATTAATTATCAATTAGAAACACGAATCCAGAGATTAAAATACTAATATCATTATAATCCTCCCAACAGAATTGTATGAACATGTTAAGACATTTGCAAATGGTTAACGACTAAAAATGTGAAAACATTGATAACAGATATGCTTTACATAACAAAATGTCGTGCATCTCAAAAGGTGAAACATCTACAATTCCCATGCCTAAGAGTGCTTCCAAAGTAATCTACTTGTCCCAAGTGATTGATCATATCCATTTCATCGTTCAAACGGAGATATGTACAGCTGCGTAAATTTCGTCAAGTTTAAAAGCAGTACGTTATTACTTATTAGAACATACTCCCGTGTTCAATTATCACCTGAGGTTTCTTTGACGAAAATGTTCTGTAAACATTATAACCAAGACATTAGGGAGTGTTGCCGTAGCAATATCTTTGGAGAAAAACGGCAGCGGGTTAAATCGTAATTTGTTCCAAGTTTCTACCACCCAGTTTCCTCAGCCCCAAGATAAGAAGAAATAAGAAGGAATAAGAACTTGTGAGGAAAGTAAGATACAACGGTACCTTTCGGACTGGAGGCAAGTGGGCCTGGATTGAGGATCAAACGGAGCAGTTGTTGATATGGCGATTGATGTCCAATGAACACTCACTCCAACTGCTTAGTACAGCTTCCGAAAGTTGAAGCAAGGAGAACTGACCCAGGCATCATTTGAGGGGACATGGAGCAAACCCCGTCTTTAGGTACGAAATCACCACTGGGGCTGTCAGTACATGGGGAATATGGCTTTGCCACTATTTTTTTAACTACTCCCTGCAATAAGGAAGTTATCATACCGTTAGGCCATAACCAGGTAGACTCGAAAACATATTTAACAAGGTTTCGTTACAGAGCACCGGTGCTGTTAGAGGTAAACAGAATTAGAGGTAAAAAGAGAGAGAGCGAATAGAGTAAAGATATGCATTCAATCAACAACCTCAATACAACTTCCCGTACCCCATTTATAGACCACTACTTTCTATTTACCTAATTACCTTGTTAAAACTATCACAACATCTTCTCTACTTATGATGGTGGTAATGACATTGTCACCGTTAGTAGCCAAGGGCCAATACAATAGTGAAGTATATTACCAGCAAATTACAAAACCGTCGTCAATCAAATGTTGCAGCATGTTATAGAGTTGTGCAAAAATGTCATTAATCACATAGACGCACTTGATTCTTTATTGTGCACCAAGGAATCCACCATTAAAAGGTCACTTTAAAAAGGTAGAAAAGAAAATAAAAAGTAAAGAACAGGAGTAGAACAGAGCAAATACTATTTATTCTTAAACTGAATAGAGTTTCAGAAAGGAAATATCCATCTTCACTGAAAGCTGCATGACATGGAGTTCTAAATGAAGTTTGTCATTTTTTTTTGGTTGCAAATAATAACTAGATATTGTACAAATGAATAATAAGGCAAAATACAAGATGGTACCTTTGACGAATTTGGGCCATAAGTGTTCATTGCATGTTCGATTGCAAGATAAACTTCAAGAGCTTGCTTGGATTCACTATGACATTTTATAGTGCGAATATTTTCTTTCGAATCCAATGATGAATTCAAATATAAAATGAGCCGTGAAGGGGGAGCTTTTGGGCTGTCTTTCTTTCCATTTGTCAATTCCATTGTCCCGAGGTCATCCCAGAGTACATCCCACAATATCGAGCAAGGATCCTTTGCAGGGCTGAACTTCCTCTGACCAATAATATTGGAAGGTTGCTGATATTGACAAAAAGTTTCCTCAGTAACAGCGCACAGGAGAATATGACTCATTATCCGTCATTCTCAATAATGAATACTTACTTGCAATAGTATGACTCTCCGATGAGTGACCATAAGGATTTTCCCTTTTGGAAGCAGAAAGTGGTCTTCATAGGCATCCGATAGCGCAAACTTTCCACGAACTCTGAAAAGATCAACCTGACCAAAAAATGAACCTGATTCTGCAAGCTGCAATATAACCTTCAAAACAAAAATATGACGATAGTCATCATCTATAAAAATGAATAAACCTTAAAAGAATGCAAAAACATGCAAGAGTCCACAGGAAGAAATTACATCAGGCAAGCTAGAGATAATTGCATTAATGCAAAGAGAAATTTATACAGAAAAACGTTTCATTGGAATGGCCATCCATGGATGCAAGTTCACTAACGGGCTGCTTGAGATATATGTTATGGGATCCAGTATCTGAGATCTAAGTATAACAGGTGGTCAAGTAAGAAAATTATGGCCGTCTTGACTAAATTTTATGGTAATTGTGATAAAATCAGCAAACTTCTGATGGATAATTCTGACACTTGTATTAATTAATGTAAGAATGTCCAAAAACCAGTACTCACAATAGAAAGAAGAAAGAACAAAACATTCCCTAGCATTTGGAGCCCAAAAACTCTACACAGAAATTTACTAATTTTCTTCTTGCCTTCTCCTCTCTGCTCTTCATCTTGAATACTACCCAACAACTTTCTCTAATCCCCACACCCTTGCAATCCTTGCACTGAGGTAGTTAGGCTGGAACTAATCATTACAATTGACAACAGTCCCTCCTTTCTCTCACACTCTCTCCTCATTCTTTTGGTCATAAGCCTTCATGGGCCTCGTCCCAATAGAACAGGGTTTGTTCACTTCTGATTCTGAGGGAACAAGTAAGGTAATGGGGTGTTAGAACGTGATAAAAAGTGCATGGGTATAAATTTCAAAGGCTGATAAAAATGCAATGGTTGATTTTCTGTTCTGCAGTCTGAACCCACATCAGCAATGGCCAGTTAACCGGGCAAAAAGAGGGATTGAACCAGATTCTCTAATGAATAACAACTTAACAAGTTCTAGTCTTCAGCCGGATCCTCAGTGACATAATCTGACAGAAGCTGAACCTTCAGCCAGTTTGCTTAACATTAGTGAAATAATTTGTACATTTTAGAAGTGATATATGCAAGCAAAACATTCCTATCACTACTGGGAGGGGGGGGGGGGGGAGCGAACCATCATAAAGTTGGATTCAAACAAGTGTCAGGATTCATTTGATATCTTGATTTAGTTTTAATCCATACCACTGTCACCTCAATATCTACAAATTCATGTCTACACAATAAAATCACTTTACATCTGTGATCTATTGCAAACTGAGCGACTGATACCTGTCCTTGAGCTTTGTACTCATCATATAGTTGAAGCAAATTATCACCACTTATTACCCGAGGCAGTCTCCTCCGGAGAAGCTGTTCATCAGATGTGATAGCAGCTGCAATTTTCATTCTCATAGCATTGGCACCTTCGGTTGTTTTTGACAGAAGATCCAAAACTCCACTCACTGGCTGTGCAGCTGCACCAATAATTCCCTTCCCAACGCCTTGAACAAAACCTTCAACACCAGAAGTTTTTGCGCCTTCAAGAGGCTTTGTTAATATGCCAGTTACTCCTCTGAATAAACCTTTAGCTAATGCCCCACCTCCGTCTCTGATGACATCACCGAAATCCCCCACACCTTTGGTTTCCTGTCAAATGGAACATATGTATCAAGATCCTATAAAAGTAAAACACGTCATAAGAAAAATCAGTAATTAAAAAAGTCACCAGCACCGGCTATGGCAAGCAAATCACATGAATCAGTTTATGTTATGACTATGAACTACTCCCATGCTGAAGCTCAAAAACCTCAACTTTTAAGATAAGTGGCTAAAGTAAAGTTCTCCACCCCAGCAGTTGTATGTTGGCCACAAACGAACAGTCCAGTTTCTTTCAACATGAGGTGAAGTGTTAAATTTTAATTAAAAGAACCATTCTAAGACCTTTTCTTGATACAGTATGGTAATCTTTTGTGTCAATCAGTTTATTTAACAATTTTCTTTTACAGGACGCTCATCATGCACCATTCGAGTATGGGAACTTGACTCTATCTTATTCATAATTCATGCAATCATTGGGGTTCAAATTAGATATATATTATTTTTCCCAAATTTAAGGTTATTATAATATGAAAATATAAAATACTCTCTCTCTCTCTCTCTCACACACACACACACACACACAAAAGAGTACCGAGCAATGAAAATAGATTCTGATATCCATCACTGTCTCTTTCCATTTTTAAAGGGGTATCATGAGGCAGGATTACTATAATTAAAAAGTGACTACCATGCAAAATGATTGTTGGTTTATCAAATTGTTCAATGGCTGAACCATTTCCACCTGACAAAAAGAGGATTGTATTATACTGATGGAAGTGTATTACCCGGGTATCTATGAACTTGGCTTCTCTCTTCCGCCATTTTCATCCACTTCCCCTCCGCTAGCCATCTTGACAGTTACATTGAAATTTAATGGTTCAGATTTAATGTTTTTAAATTTTTTAAAATATTTTTTATTGCAATTTTAAACTATTATGAATAAAGTTTAGCAGTTTGAAATTGTTTGTTTATTTTTTTTAATAATTTGACATTTTATTAGTAATTTTGGAAAACTTTAAATCGGACTGCTCAAACTTCAATCCAACAATCAAGATGAGTAGTGGAGGGGAAGTGGATGGGAAGCGTAGAGGAGAGAAGCCAAATCCGGTCTCTACACGGCCAAGAGCAGCTATACTGGGAAACTACCAAATAAAGGGGAAAAAAATACCTAGAAGTTAGGAGATTACAATAGACTGCCTAAAATCAGAAGATTACAACAAATCAATCCCTAAAAGGAGGGGTTACTCAATAACTGCAATGATTACAGCAGCCATAAACACAGGATGTTCCCACACCGACACTGAAAATGCATTTTAAAAAGGACGCGAGCTAGCTTATAGGTGTAATGTATTTATTTAAAGGTTAGGGTTCTATGAATAATATCTATCAGATTAATGAGAAAATCCAGGAAATATCACTGCAGAATAAGGAGGACAATCTTTAAACAAACCTGTCTCTGACGACTTTGGATAAACTTCTTGTCCATTGATAGTGCAGCCACACCTTTACTCATATGTCCAAGTGCACTGCTTGCATTACCCAAGATATCAACACCTGACAGAAGCTGAAGTGGTTGCCCCAGAAGATCCTTCCGGATATTTGAGATAGCCATGCTAATCATAGAACTCTGCCTCATGCACACGTTCTCATGAAACTTTGGATTAATCCTGACCTGATTAAGGAGTAGATATTTGATTGGATTAGCACTATTGTATTAGTCTCTCCCTCAAATTTAAGACAGAATGAAAAGAAGGCATAGCATCCCAAGATTTGTTTTCTTAGAATCCTCAGCATTTCTAAGTATATATGCAGAGGCTAAACTGAAGATAAGGGGCAATAAAGTATTGAATTATTTTGATATTTTCCTATTGTTTCTTGATCAAACAAGCTGTTACTCATGGAATCATAAAAGGATTATGATCATTTAGCCAGGTTAAGAATTTTTGGTGGGACAGGAGTTTCCTTTGTTGGTAGCAAGAGACTAATCTCCCTTGGAGTGAGGAAGGCAAATGGCGAACCCCTCTAAACCAGGGTTCCTCCATGCAAAGTGGTTAAGCAAACTAAGAAAATAGTTCCTTGTAGTGCAACCAGAATTCAGAAAGAAATATGATGAAAACTTTTTGAGGTATTGACGGAATGACCCCCGTTTTTTTGCGGGTATCAAAACATGGCTTGACATCAGACTACTACTCTACTAGCAGAGCAGCCAATTCTTCAAATCAACGAAACTTCTGGAAAGCAATTAAATACTTACAGGCATATTTTCTGTGTTCCCCAAAGCAGTCATTAAAGATGCCCAGAACCCAAGCACACCCCTTGGCCTTTGACTGGGTGACATAGCCATAGACACCTTTAACCGAACTTCTGAGATATTGAGCACACTGAAATTCCAACTTCTATCATGTCAAATTTCAAAGAGATAAACACAACCACAAATCCCCGAGAAAATAAAACTTTTGCATACCCAATTTGAATTATCGGATCAACTGAAGCAGCCGTTGTTTGAGAATCATACAGCCTACTGAGCTTCACCTGCTGGATCATTTCATGAAGGCGCCAAATAATAGGTTCATGAATGTTTATCAAAAAGGAAGCCGAATTCTCCAGGCCCTGCTTACCAGGAACCAGTCAACAGATAAGCATGATATGAAACGAATCAAACTCTCATGAATCTCTTTTTGGGGGGTTAAAATCAAAGTCTCATCATTCATTAACAAAATATTGACATGCTTTTTACAGGGTAAGACTTGGAATTTTAAGGTCACTCACATGAAGACCAATATATGGATAGACACAGAGATCCAGCGATCCATTTGACTGCATTGTCATGGAGAATTTTAGGATATAGTCAGATTCTGCCACTAGTCTTTGTGGACGGAAGAGAACTGGCATTGGAGTTAATGGCAGCTGGTTGTCCACCTGTAAGCCACGCATTCTGAGTTTAAACCTGAAACACAAGAAAACACAAATTGCATATTCAATATTGAGTATCTATGGACAACTATTACAAAAAGGAATAATTCTTAGATCTTGAAACTATGATTCCAAAGCGAGCGTCTTAGTCATATTGATTGATGAGTGGGTTTGAACAGTATTTTCACCAGATATCCCCGCGCAAGACAAATAATCAGCTTCTAGGACGTACAATAATAAACTAAACGCAAAAATCCTACCTATTGATTCCAGAGCCCAGACCAGTTGAATATGCTAGAACGAGATTCTGAATAGATAGGTATAATATTTCCTCGGGTGTATGATCAATAACAGATATTCCAAGCTCAGCAAGCTCAAAAAATATGTGGAATTCACAATCTGCAACAGACAGGGATTGTTGCTTCTGAGAATCACTTTTATAGATCTGAGACATTGATGACAAAGATTTTCCACTCAGAACCCCTGTAGGTTCAGTTTCTGGCATCCAATCACTGATCTTGACAACACTGATTTTCTCTTCCTTTACAATGGTAACACACAAGGCTCTGTTCAATTCATCAGTTACATGGATAGGCTGATTATCAGAAATTTGATCAATATCATACTTCAGTGATTTCAATGTGTCAGTTCCATCTACTAAGAGCTCCAACAAACGTCTTCTCCCAACATCTTCCCACAGAAACGAAGCAGCAGCATTTGGAAGAAGCAGCTGCCAAGAATCACTGGTACCATCAACTTGACGAAAGCAAATGGGCAAGAACATCGAATGATTCTCAATCCTGTGGGTCAAAAGTTAATTAGCATACGAAGTATAAAGTCTATGAACATTTATAATGGTAAGACAGATGACAAATGATAGCCAAATACAGATCATTATGAGAATAAGTAGAAGTGATGAGAGACAGAAAACTAACTTCTCCCATTGTTAAAATGTGTGCGTCTAACACTTCAATTTGTATGAGTTAACAAATAAGGCATGAAGGAAAATAGAAGAAAATTGCCAGAATTCTTCTCGAATTCCATTCAAACGGCAGAACAGATTTTAACAGAGGCCATGGCTACAGGTCAGCCATGGGATCCTCACAAAATCAAGATAATATAAATAAATGATGGACATTTAAGATGAGATCAAATCAAGAAACACGAAACGCAATAACCAACATTGAATTGATACTGTGAAATCCGGTCACCAGACCACAAAATTTAAGGATTGTTGCTGCCAGAAGTCAAAATATCCAAGACAAATGAAACAAATAGTCATTGATAACAGCATCCTTAAAACTAGAAAAAGCAGAAAACATCCTCCGTCAACTCTTCAGGATTTAAACATTTTGTAACTATTTCCTTTTCATGATTAGACACCTAACAAGGTTTCCTCATTTTTCCAAGGAGTGATGATCGTGATGGTGGTGGTGATGGGATGCTAATGGGATGATGATGATGATGATGATTATCTAACAGAATAAAGGGTAGTTATAGGAGGCAGTTGATTATTATCTAACAGAATCATTGTACTGCCTATAAACAGATGTAAACACCACCTTGTAACTCAGATTATGGTCAATTTGAATATGAATTAGTGCATTGCCCTGCTCTCTCTTTCTCTTTCATCTCCCTCTCTCCCTCTGTTTCTCTTGTTTTCCCTCTGTTCCGCCCAATTTCCCTCTCTTTCTCCCTCATTCCCTATTATTAGTGTTTAACAGAGTACGTCATGTGACAGCATAAAGAGTCTGATGATATTCCATCTCTGCTTTGAGGATTAACGAGGAAACATTCAGACAAGTTAAATCCAGAGAGGTGATTGCCTTTCCTTTCTTGGGGGAAGGGGGTTGGAAATGACACGGATTTGATGCAGGTATGAGGTTTTTTCCAGAAAGAATAACTCCACGAGCTTGAATCAAAAAAGTACGGAATTTTTCATTTTCTTTTCATATCCAATGTCAAGGTAGTAAAACCAAAAAAAAAATGGAAGGAACATTGTGATAAGGAAATTGAGAGAACAAGAACCTGTAGGGACTTGATAATGAATTTGGACGAAATATAACTTCAGAACGTGACCGCTTGGCACCACTTCTTACTAGTACTCTTAATTGCATTTGGCCATCTCCAACTTTTTTTTTCAAGTTAATGCGCATCTCACCTTCATTGTCCACACTAAATGGTGCACTCCATTGGTATCCTTCCATGCACAGCTGAAAGAATATACGGTCCATCATAAGGTATATATAAGACGCCATATGCATATCAAGCTAACATACAATAACAAAAATTAACACACCTTCAACAATTCCACTTTGGCAGATGACTGCCACAAAAAGGATTTTGGAGAATCAGTAGGATGAATCCACATGGATGCCTCAGAACTACATTGCTGCAGGCATAGACTACATCCAGCCCTATTAATAAACAGCGTGTGTGGCTGGAAATGAACCACCTGGACATCAAACAAACTGACATTGTTTAGCTTTCTCAAGAAAATCCAATTCCGCAGACAAATTTTGATGAACATCTGAGCAATTAGGGTCTCAAGTCCTTAAACTTTATTCAATGATGAAAGCTTACATATATAGTGCATATCAGTTATATTTCTAGATGAGTAGCATATCGGAGTGAATTAAGTAATAGCCATGTGATAAAGTGGACCACGAAAAATAAAACAAGGATTGAATTCTTGGCTCATTATTTAAGACTTCAATGTATCTTGAACAAATTTATTTTGAAAAGCTTAACCCTTAAGAAATGGCTTAGGAATGTTCTAACCGATAATCTCCAACAAAAAAACTGAAAAAGTAAGAATACAGGCTCTCCGACCTTTGTTCTGTCAGAAGTCATGTTCAATAATGCTGAAAGTTTGCAGTAAGATCCATCTGAATCGAAAGCCTTGACATCAATACGCTCCTATCAAAATTAAGTTTCAGGAAACATCACTATGAAATGAACTTGAGAAATTCCAATGAATTTTAATAAAAAAGAATAAGAAATGAGCATATATTAAACACCAATAAAAACATGGTAATCATATATCGCATCGTTCATTTGTGTCACCCTCACCTTGTTTTCCAGCTCAAGGAGAGAAATCCCAGGGCTATACACTTCAGACTGGTTCATGGCAACTGCAATGCCCACCCGAGGTGACAGGCTAGTATCTTTTTGAGATTGAAAGACTGTAAGTCCACTTCGAACAGCATCATCTTGCGGTGAAAGCATGCTAGGAAATGGGCTGCTGTCTTCAATATCTTCAAGTACCTGAAGGTTTCTCCTTGAAATAGAGTGCCTTTTATCCATTGAACTTAAAGGATTTTTCAAGGCTGTTTTGGCAGACTTCACTGCCCTAGAGAGTAAAACAGAATCCATGTCTGTATTTTCCAAAGGTTCTACTTCCACCACACGATATGCCAAAGCCAAAGATGACTCATTGACAATCCAATAGGGAACAAAAAGCCTTAAAGTCTTTGGGGCAACACTTGTCGCACCCATATCGTATTCAATGCTCACACGCAATTTCCTGCCAATATGATGATTAAGGAGTTGATTGATGCTAAAACAAAGATTCTACATGTGCTGAAGCTACAGTCTACCATATAAATTTACAGCTTGGGCATGAGCATCAGCAATAAAAATCAGACTAAGAAATAGCATGAATAAAAATCTGCCACACCTCCCTGCTGACTTTTTGATCAATGCCAACACAAATACGTATCAAATACATTTTGAAAGGATATTATATTTCACTACTACATAATACATGCTATGAGAAATCAGTTTTAACAGTAACAACATTAGGATCAGTAATAGGTGATGGAACCCCAATATGTTGAACAATAGAATATATGCTCATGCATGTCACACCCGATCTTGTGATTACATTAAAATTCAATGGTAGGAATTCTGGGGTAAGCCTGGCTAGAGTTTCAATTTCAAAGGGTTTTAATGTGAGATGGTGTGATAAGAGGCTTTAATACAACCATTCTTGAGTTTCTCTCAATAGATTGAGCTTTCAGAAACCATTGGTCCATGACAGAATGGTATCACAACTACAGGAACCAATGTTCTTCAGCTAGATAGTGAGGACTATTGGCCAGATGTTAATTATAATATTCATTTAATACGCCTTCATTAATTTTCCTTTTTTATCTTTGTAAATATTTTGTTTACTTTCTGTCCCAGATTTATTAAAATCTATATTTTGTATTATTTTCTTGCTTAATCATTGGGATTGAGAAGCAGAAATGTTGCTATCCATTCCTTATTTGTATTGCACTCCTCTGCGAACAAACTCGATTCATTCTCCAGAAAGGTAACTTGATTTGACATTTCATTTTTTTTTTTTTCATTTTCAAATTTAATCACAAACCTTCTACTTTGCTGGTGAATCATCCAGAACGATGCGACGTGGTTGGTAAAAGAAGGATCCAGTACAAGAACAGGGTCCTGAATCAAGCAAGAAAAGAGAATCAGCCCCAGATACAAACACAATTAATCCAGATATATATTTCTTAAACACATGTTTTAACTATATGCAGATAAATGCTGAATCATCACCTTTTCCATAAGCCAACCTCCCTGCACAGACAGAGTAAGATACAAGGGTCTCTGGATATCTGCTGAATAGATATGTGCACTTTGGCGAGAGGATATGACACTGTGATGCCGCTCAATGAATTTTCCCTCCTTTGGTTTTTCCCATACTTTAAACTCAGCAGGACAGGGAAGCCGGTTTTCCAACTTCATAGGAGAATTGACGGATATTTTCCAGTCATATATTGGTGCATTTAGTTCGGTATTAAGAACTGAGGCATCTGTTCCTACGCTAAGCCAAAACAACTTATTTCCACCACTAGGAGAACAGCACAAAAGTACATCCTTTTTTTCAAGCTGATTTAGTTTCAAGGAGCAGTTGGGCATCAAAGAATTCTGTTTAGAACTTTCATTTAGTAGGAGCTGGTCTTTGCCAAACATAGAACTTGAAGCAACAGCTACTGTATGGCCCCATGAATATAAAAACTGAGGATCATCTAATCTAGGTCGAACTTGTAAACATTCATCAGAGCCTTTGGTTGTGCTTTGCCAACACAAAACAGAAGCAGCACCAGGATTCACAATAGTGGCTTCACTCTGCATGGACTCTACTCCTTGTGCAGAGAGATTTTTTCTCGAACGAACCCATCGCCTTCTACGCATAACATCAGAGGCTGTTCTTGCTGAAAATTTGGAAGTGGGAGGCCACTTTAAGGATACAAGGTCAGACCCATATGTCCAGCCATCATTATCAACAAATGGACTTTTATCAATGGTCCACCCTGACATCCATTTCCATCCTGGAGGGAGTGGTGGTTCAAAGAAGTCCTTCAAAATGACAAGAATGAAAAATATTAGAAACATGATAATAGCAGCCATAGAAATTCAAGTAATTTAAGAATTTGAAAAAACATACAACCTTTGATGTGTGAGAGAAGTCTCTTGTACTCCAGTGGCCAACATTTCCAAGGTGAGTTGGCCATTTGTTACCCCAACCAGACGTAGGGTGATAATACTGATTCTGAAAGACCTCTTCAACAGCACTAATATTACTGCTAACACCACGTGAGTAATCAGTTCCAAGACTCAAAGATGAGTGGCATGTAGATATGTTCAATGCAACATCCGAATCATTCACTACTGTAACAAGACTGCGGAATATAGCATGTTTCTTGCCATTTTTCATGACGACTTCCATGGCAAAGAATTCATTTTCTAAGGATTTAGGAACCACAGAAAGTGGAAGCAATGACCGTACACTTTTCCATTCACCCTCAGGGCCAAGCCCTACCCAAAATCCTGTGTCTCTATCAGCATCGTTCTCACTTATTGCATCTTTTTGAAGATTTGCAATTGTATTTCTTTCAACAGAAGATGTTGAGACAAAGAGGCTTCCATTCTGGAAGTCTTCAACATTGTTTTGTTGAACCTAAAACCATGAACGATGGATTAGCAACAGAATTCCAATTATCTATGTAGAGGGCAAACACCACAAAAATGATGTGAAACATAGCAACTGACCATTCTCCTGAGCGGATATGATGTTATATTCTGAGCATCATACGGATGATGAACCATTTTCATAGAAGCGGCCTTCCTTAACATATTTGTATCATGTCCGACAGGAAAAGACAGGGAACTCACAACTTCACCTGAATGATGAAATAATAATTATAAAAAGCCAAATAAAAGAACATCTTCTAGATTAAATAAAAGGAAGAATTACCAAGAGGTCCCAAAAAAGAAATTCAATTGCCAAAAAAGTCCCAACGACAAGTGACCAGCCTAAACATGTTGTCATTTTCTACCTAGAACTTGTCATTGCTTACTCTTCACTTGTTGATAGACTTTAGGGTAATTAAATTCCTTCCTTAGGATCTGATTGTAATTCTCCCTAAATAAAATATAATATTAAAAGAGATACTAAATAACAAAACTACCATTAAAATGTTGCTAAATAATGTAGTTAAGTGTGTCCTCTTAATGTCTTCTCCATGAATAATGTTAAAAAGTCATAAAACGAACAACACTCCCATCTCCAGATTGCTGTCCAGCAGCACTGGGACAGGATTAGCAATATTTTTGAATCATTTCAATAATGCGTTTGCTTAGATTTTTTTTCAAGATGTATATATCTATTTTATCTGAAGAATTAATGAACTCTCCATATTCAAGCAAGAAGGGGGGGGGGGATTTCAGATGCTTAGTTAAAACATAGATGCATAAAATAGAAGATATTTTACTGTTCCCTTACTAACAGTTATGTAATAAGCTTTAAATAGAAATGAGGAAGTTGGAAGAAAGTAGATTGATCAATGAGAAACTAGATCCATGTGTCTTCAACTTGAATTAAATAGTGTCGCTCTGGAGGGGGGCCGTAATGTACCTTTTCCAGCTTTAGCAGCCAGATTTGTGACCTCTATTTCCATCTTAGCAGGGGCCTGAACCAAATTAATTAGTCAATGAAATGTCATGGGTAGCAAACTCCACAGTAATGTAACAGATGCCAGATAAACAGTAACTCAGAATAAATTTAAACTTCGGACATGAAATTTAGATTTTAGGAAATCCTATGAAAAAAATTTCCCTTATGAATTATCAATAAACAAGAATTACAACAGCTACTTTTGCAAGCAATTCTTAAATCAGTCCTGTTTGTTTAAGCTTAAGAAATAAGTGATTTTTAGATAGTCTGGAAATTTTATGAAACGTGATTTATTGTGCAGAGATTTTATAAAAAGCATAAATTACTTTGCATTTGGCTCCAATCATAAAAATGATTTATTATTTCATGATTTTTAAGTTTATGATATCGTAGCATATCTATGTATTCGTATGAATATTTTTCTCTTCTATCACATTTGATTTTCAAAAGTACTCAGAGTCAAAGTAACCTTCAAAATAATCAGAAATCTGCTTTTTTCTTTTTCTGGTTAATTTTTCTCAGATTCTGATTACTTCTAAAAGCTTAAGCATTTTGAAATTTCTCAAAAGTGATTTTTCTTTTTCAAACAATAGGCGATTTTTTCATGAGAAAAGCCCCAAGAAACAGGCCCCAAATGTTTAGAATTTAGAGCACTGTTTTGGTCCAAGATTATCTTTAAAGTTTCTTTCAGTTATCAAACATAAAACTGATCATTTCAGGGTCAAATAATCCACATAATACCTTTCGAGGAACTTCGAATATAAAGAGCTCATTCCACTTTACTGTGCCTTCAACCTGATCTTTAATTCCCGAAACTGTAGGTTTCACACATTTAGTTCTAGCACTCTGGGGAAACAACTTTTGCTGTTCAGTTGCCTGGGTATCCACGACAAGGCGCAAAGCACAGAAGAAGTTATGGCTGTTTCCATCATCAATGAGAAGTAAACCCTAACAAAATTTGAACAAATTGATTTCATTTTTTCAGGTGATGAGAATCGTGATTAAAATACTTGATAAATCATTTCAATGCTTATCACCTTGGCCTCAAGTATCTTAACAGCAATATAACAACGTGCCTCTCTTGATTCATCTGAAACATTTAACCTATCTGAAAACCTTGGAGGTGGAATCCACACAGAAGCACAATCACCATGATGTAGTTTGTCGACCATATCTACATCTTGCTCAACTTTTTTCACATAGATATCACACCCAAGTTTATTCTCTACTACAACCGTCTGTAAATCATCCTCATCCAGTGCAGAAAAAGTTGCATCACCCCCATTTCTTTGCAGATTACCAGCCTCCTGCATAACCAATGAGCTTGTAAGGCTTTACACAAGCACATAATTCAAAGGGTACAAGGATAAAAAGTTGTAAGTATTTGACCTCTTTTAGCTTAGATGCTTTCTGTTCAAGCTCTAACTGTCTTCTCCATGAGAGAATGCATCCCACAAAGGACTCAAGATTTGCTGCACTAATATTCACATTCAGAATATTGGTAGCAGCAATGCGAATTCTCTTTGCAAGTCCAGATGGCAAGTTTACGTTTGAATGATAAGTTTCAAACCTAAACAATTTTGAAAGAGTATTTAATTGGGTTCCATATTCCGGAAAGGATAGCTCAAAATAAATATAGGAGAAAGAAATCAGACAATTATTACAGATCTATAATTTTACGTCCAATTAATTTTAAAAAAAAAAATCCTGGCTTACTTGAATATTCCATCAAATGGCTCCACAAGTGGCTCCCATGCCTCTAATTGTGCATTGAAGGTTGATGCAGCAATCGAAGAAATCAGTACTGCATTCATGGATTCTAGGCGACCTTGTGTTGCAAGCTTTAAGTTCGTAATGGTTGTGTCAAACAGCGGTGTCATCTGAAATGATAGTCCAATTTTTCAATGGTATCATAAAACTGAGACAAATCAGTATTGTTTTCAGGTGGCTAGGCACAGGATACGTACTGCCATTCCATATATGCTGTCCAAAATTGTCAGAGACAAGAATCTTAGCCTCACATCAGCAGTTATGTTTTCTTGCGTCTTGGGCTTAATTGGGTCACCAATTATGTAGGCTAATCGGCTTGACGGCTTTTTGAGATCAGATCGAGCCAAGAAGGTGCAAGCCTGCAGAGATAGTGGAATACACACCGTTCTTGAGATAAATGCAACAAAAGCATTACATAAACTCTCAGAGCATGTAGATCAGATCAACATGCACGGATGCGCCTAGCCTGGGTGGGTTTTTTTTTTTTTTTGGGGGGGGGGGTTCTTTACATCACAACAATGAAACCATTTATCTTTTTTTTTTTAAAAAAAAAAACATTTAAAAACTTTAGATAAAATTTTTGAGCTATTTTAGAGCAGTGCAAGCTATCATTAACCTGGTTTTCTACTTTCCAAATGCTCCAGCAATGGGGTGCCCTTGAACTTGAAGATCTTGAGAGTGGAACCTCATGGATGTTTGCTTGGCTAACAAGATCCATCCTTGGGCAGCAAAACAGATCAGCACATGGCGGTTCATCTGTCTTGGAGACAACACATCCGAGAGAAACATAACCAGGAGGAGCTATAGGGTACCAGAAGAAAATTTCCTCGATTCCTTTCCCCACGATATGCGCAACTTTAGTAAACTGAACAGGTTTGGCAGAGACATCAGGATTGTCATTTTTGAAAATTATTCCCAGAGCAGGAGGTTCAAGCCTGTGAGGCATTAAAAATGACAAGATATTAATGCCAGCAAAAAAAAAGTGAACTGGGCAAACTCCATTACGTCATCAAACAAGCCTTATAAGATAAATAGGTCTCACCCTTCAGTGATGCAATCACCCAAGACAGCATAACCAAGACGTGCAACAGGTCGCCATATCGAGACCGAACGACGAAACTCACTACCTTTGTCCCACCAAATTCTCTCAAAGTTAGGTGAAGACATATAATTGGTAGCTTTTGACATGGACCTCAAAATATCCCATCCAGATGTATTTGCACCTTGAATTGCTTGCTGATTTTCCCTATCACAAGAACTGAAATCTGAAACTGCATCTAATGGAGAAGGCTGAGCCCGATTTGAGCTCCAGAGAAGCAGATGACTTAGGTCATAACATCTATCTTCAGGAGGACATCTAGTTGAAGAATGGGCAAAGAAGGACCCAATAACATTATCAAGACGCCAGATGCTAAAATGAGAGGCAACATGGGCAGGAGAAATAAATAAGCAATCCGAATACAAAGTTGATGTTACAAGATCAGAACGCAGGCAGTAAACAACATGATTTGGTGGCGGTTGATTCCCTAAATGTGCTACACAACCAAGGGCTGTGTATCCTGGGGGTGCAACAGGCATCCACAGAGAGCAATCACTGCTAGCATCAGTGTAACCCTCATCTCCAAGGCCTTGATTATTTGTGAATGAACCAATAAGAAGAAAACGAACTGGCTTTCTTACTCTTCCATATGTGTTGCTCACTGCCATTACTGCCTGTGAAGGGGGTATTGGCCTGAGAAGATGATACAATAGCAATTAATTAACATATCAAATAATTTATGAACTATTAGACAAAAAACAGTCATATATCGATAGATATCATATAAGAGATCAAGCACCCCTGAACAAAAATAGAAAAAGAAAGTAACTTTTTCACCCACGGAAATGGCAGTAATCAGAACTTAAGTTGTCCACTTAAATAATTTTGTTTCTGATGCAACTTTAGCACTGATTCAGATAAAACAATTTTTCTACAGCATGGATTATAAATTGATGCTAAGATCAAGAACAACAAAGACAGTATAATAATAGGGCAAGATGGCAGATACCTTGATGTCACACAATCACCTAATACAACATAATTTGTTGGAGCTTGAGGCCTCCAAAATGTAATATTGTTTCCTGCAAAAAGTGGATGATCGAATAGTTGGTTATGGATCAAGAACCTGTTCTTGGCTACATGGCACATGGTATCCATGACTAACAAATTGAACGCAGAACAATGAAATGACATCAAGCTATTTAACATAAATGAGGGAAAAAAACCTTTTTGAGAAACCCAAATTCGATCAAAGTTGGTACATGGAACCAAGGGAGTTGCATTTCCATAGTTAAGCGCTGCAGATGCCTGACTCTGCAGATTGAGTATAAGAGAAATTGCACTAAGTGAAAGATGGAGACATATGTCAGTTGATATTAATGAAATATTTGTTTTGTCCTTTGCAGAAGTGTATCCCCCTGAAATATCCACTGGATCCAGAATGATAAGACCAGAACCAGCCTCAACAGTAAAATCCTTCACCAGAGCTCTTATCCAAGTGTCTTTTTCTTTGGAGGCATAGCTGCTCATAATAAGGGAAGAAAGTCAAATCAAAAGTTCATTTACATGTTTCTTTCCACTTAATCAAAGCACATAAAAAAGGGAGACAAAAGAAAGAGTTAGTCAAGATTGAAGTGAAAAACAAGCATGCACGAATAATGTGTATGGGCATCCCAAGATGGTGCCCATCTATATTTGTTTTGGTTAAATTACTGAATTAGATGAACCATGTATGTTGAAGTAAGGTTTGTCAATGATATTGCATTACAAATCTAGGTTGACAAGAACTATATAAGGAATGACCAATTCCTCCACAATAAGTGGGATAACTTCTTAAATAAATAAAGTTACAAAATGTTCAAAATGATCCATCCACAGGAGGGCTTCGGTAACATAAGATGCATGTGATAAGAGATAATGTTCAATATGGATTTGCTCTACTTGAGATCCCGAAAATATTCCCAGAAAAACATATTTTATGTAGTTAACTCACTTATGATAACTGTGCTATGATAGATGAACAAATATTCCCAGCTTTAGGGAACATACAAATTATAAAGAATAAAATATCTAATCACTGTTCGGTTACATCTAAAATTACCATACAGGGTGTTATTTTGGATAAGCACTACCATCTCGATTAGTCTTTTTTCACAACTAAGTCTGATTTTAAGAAACTTAATATGGAACTTAAAATCAAAGTTTTAAGCTTAGATCTCTAAAATCAAAGTTTTAAGCTTATATCTCACTTGTATATATATCATAGAATTCGGATTTGATAATACACTCAGAAAATCACATTGCATCTTCAATTTATAGTTAGTTTAATTGTCACAAGATGTTGATAACTTATTTGCATATGGATCAAGAGAAAGCCAATTAAGGAAACGAGAAAAATTTGCAACCGTGTGGGAACTGGAACCCATTCCCAATTCACTTTCATTTGGAGACAAGGTTATAGACATAGATATAGCTGTATTCACCTCAAGTAGCTTCGAGAGAAATTAGTCTATCCTAAGAAAATATAATTCATAAATTACACGAGTTAAGACAAAGATCAGAGTTCAGAAACGATTATATGAATCTATTCATATAAAAATCTAACGTGACTATATGTACAGATAACAGCAGAAAAATGACAGCACTTACATGAAGCTCAAGTCCAACTTCGCACGAATAAGCTTCTCACCATATGATGAATCATCCAGAAAAGATTTAGTACCATCATAGAAGGTGAACTCCGGAGATATAACCTTACAACAACAGTAAATAGCCATAAGTGAACAGAAGCATAACAAGTACAAGTTTTAAATTTCCCTCATTCTTCTGTCCCTCATCCATAATTCATGTACCAATTATGTGCGAATTATACAGTAAAATATATTGCTTGATTGTGTTTTCCTTTTTTGTTCTTAAAAATTGTTGTGCAAATAATTATTTAAGAAAATCAAAACAAAATGAGGAAAAATTATTTTTGGTGACATGAATTAAAAAACAGTTTTAAGTTAAGGAAACAAATTAAAGCTGCTTGGTAAAATCTATTTTGAAAACCTTTTGAAAAAAACTGAAAACTCATTTGTAATTTATTCAAGGAATTTCTACGGTCAAATGAAACAATTAGTTTGCTTTTAAATGTTATAAATAATATTTCCACCTAAATTCTTTCCAGAAAAAACGAGAACAAAAACAACTCTGATTTGTCTCCATTTTCTAGTTAAAAAAAAAAAAACTAAGAACAGTTTAAGAAATCAGTTAAACACAAAATACTCACCCAATTTTTTTTACTTTAAAAAATGGAGAAGTTTTTAAAAATGACACAAAAAAAAAAGGCCGCTTGTTTTCTGTTTTAAGCAGCTATGAGGTGTCTCATACTAGCTGTGCCGTTTTTCTACCCTGCAACTGACTTTGTAATGATTTTATTTTCCTGGGATTTCTTAAATCCATGCCCGTAAGAGAATAGTAGAAAATGATAGAAAATTGTTTAAGATGGTTTGGAGATATGCAAAGAGATCTGAGGGTGAAGCTGCTACTCTGAAAAAATCTCACTTGGTGATGTTATACAGGGAGGGGGAAGGGGCGGGGGAGCGCAAGAAAGGAGGGAGATATAAATAAAATGAGGGAGAGGTAGGAAAACAGAGATAAAACTAAACTGTTGTCCATATCATCCAAGAGTCTCACAATTGAGAGTTCAAGGCAATTTACAGAGCCCTTGGTATAATTATTAAAATCATAAATAATAAAATTTAATCTAAATCTAATAAATCCTAAAAGATAAGACAAAATAACTTTCCTGGAGGGAGAGATCATGTTACATGTCTTATCTTTATTCTAAAATAAAGAAAATCTAATATTTAGAAATAATATAAATTTGAAATTCAAGTTAAACTCAAATAAAACAATAAATCCTAATTGTCCTAGGATAACATAAGATAATCCAATTATCCATAATCCCATATTTCATCACTTAGGGGAGGTTTAGGAAGCTAACCCACAAGGCACATGTTAGATAACAAGGTCAAAGTGATAGATATTTATGAGTAAACATAAGGAGTCCTTCCAAGAGTCGGGATATATATAGGTTGTTTATCTCTCTTCCATCTCCAACGTATTTAAGGACACACATCAAGAAATCATAGTGTCAACAGAACTTTTGAACGCACCAAACATCCACGCATGTTAACTCTTAAGAAACTGAAAGATTACGCTACCTGGGTTTCAAAGGTGAAACTCTGAATTTCATTTGAGTCGCATTGAGAATATGTAGAATTCAAGCTCTCTGCTGATTGAAGATCTTGGTCTATGCTCTTGTCACCGGATAAGGAATTATTCAGGAACACTATATTGACACGATCATCAACAGACACGGAGTAGCTGCTATCATTACTCAGGTATGTATACTTCCTTAAAAGAGAACCATTCTAAAGAATCAATAAGAAATAAACACGTCAGTTTCCAATGGTTAAAAAATGGAAATAATATTTTTTCACTTCTCATGCAACAAATACTATCCTTGTGTGATCCAATAAGGCAAACAACACAAAATGCAATGAAATCAAATGAACGGAAGCCAAGAAAACAACTGTATTCCACAAAACAATAAAGGGAACCAAGAATCAGTTTTTAAAAACAATCAGCAATCTCCCTATCAATCAGCCGTGGGAAACCACTTCTGCTTGCCAGCGCCTGTTACACTACTTGACGAGAGGCAGAGCCAACTAAGTCAAGGATGAAATATTTGATCAGCAGTAAGACCTCCAAACCAAGGAAATAAATCATGAATTGAAAGAAATGTAGAGACATCGCAAACAAAACCTTTCCTCAAAATAGATAAGAGAACTCCCTAAAAAACCATGAGAGGAAACATACTAAGAAGCCTGTGAAAAAACAAGATGAAAGTAGAGATTGACAAACAACATTTCTAGAATTCATCCCCACCCAAACGCACCAAACACCAGCTAAAAGAGCAAAGCACTCCGATCTTCTAGTTTATTACTTCACCTGCTCCTAAAATTATTTTCAGTACCCAATCAAAAGAGGAAAAACATATAATTTCGTTTTAAAACACAGATGTCTTATTACTACAAAGTAGAGGCAAGGAATTGTCTGCTTCAATTAAATAAATAGCAGAGGTACATATTTCGTCACACACCAGCTATAGCAGGCAGACATTCCTACAACAAGGGCATAATAAAACATTAAGAAAGATATTAAAATGGACAGCAGGAAGATTACTCACTCAAATTTTAATTCATCTCCGATTCACACCAACGAAATCCACAAGTCAATTAAAAAATTTAAATATCTTTTTCAGGAAATCAATCTCATATCTATGCTACCCAAATAACATTTCAGTGACATGTTTAGATGTAAATACTATAAACTTCAATATTGAAATATTGTTCTTCACTATTCATAGCATTAACCTCCCCAATCTCTCATACACGTATCACGTAATTACAAATAGAACGGAAAGCATATTACCTCAATTTTTACATTGACAAACCGCAGTCTCTTTCCACGTCCAATGAAAATAATTGGTCGAAAATTTGTACTCCGCAATTCCTTTGCGTCTTTTTCAACACTCAAACAGATACACTTTCCACAACCATCATATATAAATTCATCAATGCCAATGCAATCTGCCACTAACTGTTTAGATGGAGAGAGGTGTACTACATCTTCTGTCTGCTTGTAAACAGGTTCCATCAAAACTATCCTATTGTTTTTGCGAATGGGATCATTCTTCGGATCCATGCATTCCTCTCTTCCAGTTAATGCCCCCAAAGAAGGCACAAAAAATTCAGCCACAGCAAGGAGAAAATCAGGCACAACAAGAACCCGAGGTTGTTGCACACGTATTACAAATGACTGAGATGACACACGCCATCTGTAATCCATCAAGAACATTGTCAAAATAGGCAAATCAATGTCAGTTCCCGCTTCATCGCTCATCCTCCAAGAACTACTTTTATTGAAGGAAAAAGGAATTTTTCCAGGAACTATTTGTTTGGAAGCATCAAAAGATGATCCAAGCATTAGACGCATTTCAGGCTTTGTGTGAGGCCGGACATCGAGAATGGAAAATTTGGGAATTGTCACATAGAGGTCTTTTTCAGATAACGAAGTCATGCGATATGAAGCCCAAAGACCTTCCAGCTGCAAAAGCAACAAACAAATATCATTCTGAGTTATAAATTAAAAATATTAACTTTGGGGAAGCATAACTACAAGCTTAAAGAGAAAAACTTAAGGATGTGCTATAAAACATATTAATGCAGAATATCATGTTAAAAATAGTATGTATAAAGTTATCAATATCAAATGTCTTAATGAAACTTACAGCAATATGAGCCAATGGGGATTCCTCGTCAGTGCCATAACACAGCTCTAGTAAAGCGTGATTGACCACAACAGCAACAACTGTAACCGTCTGTGATAGTAAAAGTTGACTGTTCATGTTAACCTTATCAACCAGAAGCCTAATAGTATCCTTTGAAATGGAATTTCCACCACGAAAGCTAGGAGGAAGCGTTGGCTCTTCAGATAAATTCATGTATGTACAATCCAAAATCACTTTATATTCTTTTTCAGACAACACAGCATGCAATAGATCCACCTGCTCAAGGTATCATGAATTCACATCAGAACCAAAAGTAGGAACAAAATATAAAAATTTCCACCCAGAAAGGAAGCCCTGATATGTCAAAAACCAACTTTATCTGGAAGTTTAAGCTACAACTAAACGTGCAGTTAAGAATAGTGTCCACAATCCAAATGCTCCTCCTCCCTTTACATGAATGCAGACCAAATCATGATAAACAAATATTCAATTCTGAAACTAGACTCTACTTCTTTTAGCTAAAAACTTGAAGTGCTAAACTAGACTCTACTTCAAATTGGATTGCGTTTAGCTAAAACCTCGAAGATTATGCTACAACTAAATGTGCGGTTAAGAATAGTTTCTACAGCCCAAATGCTCCTCCTCCCCCTACATCAATGTAAACCAAAACATGATGAACATATATTAAATTCTGAAGCTAGACTCTACTTCAAATTAAATTGCTTTTAGCTACAACGTTGAAGTGTTAACTGGAAGCCAATAATGAGGTTTATATGCCCTAACACAATGTGATTGTCTTCATGATAAGGGTGGTATTAGTACTAGGATGAAATTTACACCTAGCTGAGAATACCGCATTCTCAAACTAGATCCTTGATATGCGAATATGTTAGGACCCAGAACTCAATCCTAACCACAATTCAGGACAATGGCAACGATATGAGGAAATCAAATAAGATAACTTGGGGTTTGATATTCCACTGTCAAATAATACACCGAATTACAAAGACAGAGTTAGCCAAAGCCCAATTGACCACAATTCACCCAAACTGAGAAATCAAAGGCAGCTAAATGATGAAAGAGCAACACATTAAGAGGTCACTCCTCTCCTAACACTCCAATCTTCAAAACAACATCAGATCTGATCTCTCCTTTCAGATGCAGGATTTCCAAGCCAAAAAGGAACCCCCAGCTACTCCAAAATATGGCCCATACCGAAACATAAGCCTACCATACTCCTTCTCTACCTTCCCCTTGCATTTTCAGCTATAAACTTGGGTATAATCATCCTGACTAGCAGTTCTACCCTTCTCAAGGGCATCCCGCCCCCTGACACATCTACTGAAGGTCTTAGTAATCTTTTTTTTCATGATAGTTTATGCAGTCCTAACTTTCAGGGATTGTATTGCCGTCCCTTTTCCACTTTATCTATCTATTTCTGCAAGGATTGACTTAATAGATGAAACACAAGAGAAGATTGACCATAGCTGGCTCTTCTTCCACACATCTATACAGTAAAAAAGCTCCATTGAATCTAATAGTGCAATAAGAATTGTTGAATCTCTTTGCATACAAGTAATTCCCCTAAAAAGGTCATTTTTCAAGAATCGAAGGTAAGTCAACTGTGTTTTGCCCATACGTAACAACACACGAGGAGTTCCAACAACCATGATACATATTATAATAAAACTATTCATGGCTCCACCTAATAGCCTAAAATTGAGCGTGGTCCTCAACACTATAGTTTATAAGATGATCACGAAGCATGGTCTTTCAGGCATTTTGAAATTCTAGGGATTTTTCAATGTTATTGGTAGGGAAACATTCAGATGGTTCTTTACCGAGGAATATAAAGAGGAGGATATCAGAGATGCAGGTAGAGTGGTTTAGTATGCACGACAATATCCTATAGAAGATACCAAAATAGAAGAGGCGTCAAGTTCAATCTTCTCATCTAAGGTCAGGTCTACCACAGAAATTTTTCTAGTTCAAAAAACTGATTCTCCCTCAATGAATTATCATCCTAATCCACATAAATAAGAAAATGAGACTAATAATAATGAATCCCCTACTACAAAGAATAGCCAAAAAACTCATAAGCAAATAATAACACAAGAATTAATGATCAAAGCCACGAACAGCCTACAAATGATCAGATTGAACCCCATCTTTGACGCTTCATTTAAGTTGAATACCCTCATGATGATCTGTCCTGATGTAACCAAAAGTAAAATGTCTTGCAGGCCATAAAAGCCTATTTCTCTTACATTCTCCTTGTGTGTTTTCAGACTTTCAGAACAGGAAACCTATTCTAACATTATGAGATTACTTGATGACTTTGAAATCTGCATTTGGTCCTTTCAGGGAGCACTGTTTTTTAGGTTTGGCCTCACCAATCATGTCAGTACCCCATTAACTTCTCCCTTTTTCTGCAAAGTATCAACTCCTCCCTCTATGATACAAACTCCCTAGCCAACTGGCAATCCACCATAAATAAAAAGGGAAAGAGGTAAAACAAAGGTTGGCCTGGCTGCTCATTGTGGTAGTCTGGCGTTCAAAGCCCACAAAAACGAAAAAGTGGTTGGGTTTCACTATTTTAAGTGTGTACGTTGGCAAAGGAAGGTTACTCGCATTTTCATTTTTCTCTGTAACCCAAGCAGATTGTTTTGCAACAAGTAATTTTTTATGCCTCACAACACAACCCACTGAATCATTGATTGTAAGGGTCTGAAATTGTATTTCAGTTATTAGGCTTACCTTTACTTCAAGAGAGAAAGAAGGGACTTTCCTGAAAACATCCCTTAAGCTTCGACGAACAAGAATCTCAAGTCCTTGACCTTCACGTATCATTGGTTTTCCAAGACAATCATCAATTCCAATAGTCATGTTGATACCCAGAATCTGCCATTAGTTTGGAGTTAGAGCACGTGAAAAGTCCATAAAAAAATGCTTCAGAAGACAAGAAATATAAACCTGAGCATAAAGAAGATCCATGTGGACAGCTGAAGGATCTTCTGGAGAACCACTCCAACTGAATTCATTTGTGATACGCAACTTTCCCAGATCAAGTTGAATAAATCTGTACATCAAGAAAATAAGGATATTTATAGAAAATTCCATGGCATAAAGTAAATAGAAAATACAGGTTGGTGCAGCATTTAAAAAATAGATTTAAAAACTTACTCCTTGCTTTGGGAATCTCTTGGAACAATAATAATTGGAGTGTCAAGTGTAAGATCCAGCTTGAGTGCAGCAGACCCATCAATTTCACATTTCTGAATCAGCCATTCAAATCCTCCAACTTTATCAACAAGTTTGGTTGCTTCTTCAGTATGCGGAGAAGCAAGTTCCATAAAATACACCATTATCTGAAGAAGTAAATTCTCAACGAATTTAATAATCATTCAACAAACAACAGCTCAAAAAATGGTAGCAAAAGAAGGAAGAATCAAGTAGTATACATCAAAGGAAGACTAAGCAAACAAAGGACTTCAAACATCATGCAATACTAAAAGGTGTTCCCCACAGTGCACAATTTCCATTGTAGTTAATTAAAGAATAACAGAGCATAGCCAACTTTTAGTGATAAAGGATCCAAAATGCTCCACTGCATAGCTTTGCACATGCTTCATTTGATTGTAAAGCACATTATATTAAAAATAATCAGTATATTTAATATAATTCAGATTCACGAAGTATGTGACCAATCAACTAATTATAACCATGCAAAGTTAAACTCACATTTACAACATCGGGCAACTTAAATTATTAAGTTGAAACATAAAAATACATGCTGGATCATCAAGAAGAAAGGGGGGAATGGCACAAAGAAGTTCTTCAACAACAGATGAGACATGGCTGCCAGCAACCTGTAAGTACTAAAAGATACCACAAAGAGGCAGAATGCCAATCTATATCCTTGGACATAGCTATTGGCTACACATAAATTTTATAGTTTTCCATATTAACGCAAAAAGGAGGTACTAAGTGGCTAATAAAGTTCAGGTAGAACTTCTGATACATGGGGATTGTGGAAGAAGAGCATTAGTGAGTCAGATGAAAGTAAAGTAGCTGGAGTTGGTTAGCAGTTAGCTTAGCTATATGCAGAGACATTTCTGTTTTATCTATGTATGCATGCATGCATGCAGTACCAACTTGTAACATATGCACTACACAAAATTTGCTATCCTACAACAGACAGTAGCATATCACAGACCTTTCAACAATTCAAGCATGGCTACAGCTGTAGCCAGTACTATAATTGGCATTCACATGCCCAACAGAAAATTATTAACAATAAATTACTTTAATTGCTATCCACAACAATGCCTTTTTTTTTGGGGGGGGAAAAATACTCCAACACTGTTTTTGGGCATACCTCTTGAACAAATCTGTACAGGAAAACAATGCGAACAGCAGAAAGGTGACCCTGCAAGCTGTAGTCATATCCTTGATACTCATCGTCTTCAACCTGATATGAATTGAATTTGAACTGAAAGAACAAGAAGGAAAAATGCAGTTTCAGTAAACAGGTAGTAAAAGAAAATGCATAAGAAACCTTCAAAATGCTGGTTTGTACAAAAGACAACCCACCCTGATAAGTGAGTCAGTGCCAGGATTGCGCAAGTCACAAAGCCAAGCCCAACAGTGATCTGTTCCAAGGGATCTATCACAAAGCCTAAAGTTGCCTAATGTGCCTTCAATGGATAGAGAACTTGGGTGAACCTTGATAGGAAAAATAGTTAATTTCAGAATACTGTAAATAATGAAGAAAATAATAGTACTAATGAAAGCAAAGCATCTTTTTTATCTACAGAGGAGAAAGTTAATTTTAAAGAAGAAAAAGAAAATTAATATATCACTAGGGAAGAAGAAAAAGATACTTCAAAACAAAGAAAATAAAAGCACAGAAAGCCCAAGAGGACAACTATAACCCACTAAAAAGAAGGAACAGATCTTGGGGTGTTTGGCAACACCAAGAAGTGCTTTTAAAAAGCATTTTTCCACAAAACAAGACAATCTCCTTCACATATTTACTTCGTATACCGTAAAAGCACTTTTAAAACCATGATTTGGGTTTTATCCAAACACCCATGGTTTGGGTTTAATCTCAATTAAATAACAAAAAAGTTTAAATCTGGTAATAAATGAAGAAACCTCACAAATGAATGGAGCCTCCAATGGGAAGATAAAGGTGAGCATCAGCTGCTAATATCATTACCTTAAGATCCAATAGGAAGCTCTCTTGTACAAGTGTAGCAAGTTGAGAGCCATCCTCCTTGTTGAGGAACATAGTTACACTGTCTACATTCATATTTAAATAAAATAAAACACGCTCTTTTCCAAAGCCCAACAATCCTTTGACTTGCCCTTTCTCATCAATTTTCTCCTTGTTCACCAGAGAGTGCTCCTGAGCAGTTGCCATTGTCTCCATATGATTTGTCATGTAACTCACAGAGCTTGTATCCAAGCCAAAATTTATCAGTGCAACAATAGTGGGCCGGTTGCAGAAAAATTCCAGTTTGGACATGCGAACACTCATCTGAAGATCATGAATCGAAATTGTAAATGCAGCATCTTACCATAAAATAAAATAGACCAGAAACACAAATCTAATGTTAACAATTTTAAACGCACCTGTGTATCTATGCCATCATAATCAGGTGAGCTAGAACTCCTAGTTGAAAAGGCCACAGAAATGAAATCTAAATTATCAACTCCCTCTATCTCATAATATACCTCACGAGGAGTACCTTGTCCCTCGTCAACTCCCTTTTCATGAATAAAGGTTTTAAGTGACTCAAAATCAGCTGGAATCCCCACCAGCCCCTGCTGATCTAGAGATATATTATGCATATAGTTTCCAACATCCTGTTGAGACATGAATTCAGATAATGCATCCATAAAACTATCATCATCTTCAGGAAGCCCGACTGGTACATCCTTCCCATGAGAATTCAATGAGCCTGAGCCAGCAGGAGTTTCATTCTTCAGCACTGAAACAGCTAGATAGTGTTCACCCGCTGATACGTGACTCTGAAGTTCATCCTTAATTTTCAAAGAATGCAGTTTCATCTTGACTGTCAGGTCACTGTCTGCATGAACTAAATGCACCTGTGAAATGGATCAGCCACAAACTCAAAAACCAACAATAGTTTGGAATGCAAAAAAAAAAAAAAAAAAGCATTCTAAGCCAGTTGGCTACAAAACAGTTTTAATGCTAACAACTAGCTACAACACAGAACACGATGGAAGAGTAAATAGAGGAGAGAAGCAGCGGCATTCTACAATCTAGAGCCATTTGTGCTTTGACTCTAGAATTTATGAGCTTGAATACATATAGCGAAAGCTGTTCTATATGATATACAAACCTTTCCCCCACCACCAAGAACTTCAAGAATCAGACACTCATCAAGTTTCCCATCTACAGTATCTCCAACCTGAATAAAAACATCATATATATCCTCATTAATCCGTGAATCATAGACCAATAAATAATATCAGAAAAAGCAAAAACATGTTTGTGCCAATAAATCTTTGTTTGAGAGAGGCATGAACTAACACCAAATAGGAAGAATTCTAATATTTACGTAGTCGAAATATGTCTCCATATTACAAAATTTTCTTCTCCTCAATCACGCCAAACAAAGGGTAACAGAGGAGTGCAGCTGACCTTTCCATATATAAATAGCTTCATTTCCATTAACGCCCCTTTAATAGTAAGGTCAATTGATCTTTCATTTCCCTGATGTACATAACTGCTGGTAGCTGTATCAACATTTGACTCACCAAGCACATCAACTGATGGAGCAGCCTATATGCAATACAACACGGATGCTTATATATCTTCAACAAGGATCAAGATAATGAATAACAACAAAATAGGACCAAGATAATGAATAATCATAGTCATACAGAAGCTTGGTATGTCGCTTGTACAAGTCCCTTAAACCAGGTAGCCTTTTCCTCTTCATCTCGAAAATCTAATATCCAGGTGCCGGAAGATTCAAGAGCCTGCAAGGGCATTCAGATTTTCATAAGAAACGGAGAGCCAGCCAAAAAAGCCATTCCGAGTTCCAAACGTATATTGTGCACAAAAGGGTTCAAATGGCATTTCAAAAGAAAGGAAGTCAAGCAGAGCATGAACTAAAAACCCATATGTCATCTGTTTTTCAGCTATGTTATATATTATCATAATTTTTAACAATTCGCCTATGTGCATTTAAAACCAAAGGGATGGGCAGAGAGAGCTGAACAATTCAAAGAAGAGAAAAGACATACGAGAAATTTCAAACTAAAAAAATACATAATCCTTTTGTTAGAATAGTGTGACAGCTCAATTTAAAAAGCATTTGATGTAAAGCGCACCAATGGAAAGGAGCAGAGAAACATGCAAAGGAAGGTATAATCAAAATTTCATCAACCCAAGCAATGAAGACAAGCTTCATATAAGTATCACAATGCTTACTCAAAAGCACCCATCACCAATATTAGACATCTCAAGCTTCACACTCTTCAAACTAACTATATTTTGTTACCACTTATTTACCCCTTTTAGAACCTATTATGTTTTTATCATATTTTTGCCACAACAATCTTTGTCAACAGCTAGCAAGTGGGTTTCTAAACAGACAAACATAAACCCATGCAATGTTAAGTCTGCTATCCCATTAACGTCCTCATCTTTCAGTGACGGAAAATCGATTTACTGAAAAGAAGAGAAAAACCTATGAAAAATGTAGGGAAAGCAATTCTTCTAAACCAAGAAACAGCTCAACAATCCTTTGATGAAAATGGGTATTCAAATGCCACAGGGAACCCACTCCAAGGAGAAAGAACCAGCCCACTTAAATACCTACTGAGCAGCCCATATTATACAATGAGGATTAGGCTTCCCACATTACCGAAGTCTCCTTCAACATCCTTAGGAATCTGTTCACTAGAAATACTTGTCACAGAACATTGACATCTTGTGGGAAATTTAATTAGAGGGTGCCTAATGCAAGGACCGTACCCCATGCTCGATAAGATAGTAGTAAGTCGTGTATTGAAATAATCTGTAACATTGATAGACCTAAGGATGTTTATTTTAGCTTGAAATTGTGTTTGAACAACAGGGATGCACTGTTTGGACGTGTGTTTGGTCTAACGTTCTTCCTCATATAGTAAGCCCACATGATGTTCCACGATCATTAACAAAGGTAATAAATCATCTAATCCTGCGATGAGATGTGTGCAGTTAATATATGCCACTAAAATGAGGAAAATGCAAAACTGCCTTCCTGTTACTGTGAAGCCAACGTGCCACAATCAATGTACAACAACAGCAACATGCATTCTATATTTCTTATTTGCCAAGATCTGGCCGTTTGAAAAGAGCATGACTCATGAGTCACTGATACCATGCAGATTCTATATTATCAAGAGTCCAACTTATTATTGATTCAAATGAATAATGCCTTACATGGAATTGCGCACTCATAATGATAGCATTAATCCCCACAAAACCAGCTACTGTAGTGTTCACTGATAAACAAAAGTTAAATCAAGCAACACAAAGGTATGACAAAACGAGAAAATCAAGAAATAAAAGAAACTATAGGTGATAAACATGAGATTCCAGTAAAATTAGAGGAGAGTAAATTTTGAAACTCCACAGACAATCAATAAAATATGTTTCTGATAAGTTTGACAAACAATTTAAATGTTCACCAATAAAACAAGCTATCCCACACAACTTGAAGCAAAACTCAGTATTGGCAAGCCTCCACAAAAATTTAAAACAACTAAAACCCAACATAAGTAACATCTAGTAATATGAATTCTCATGGGAATAAAATAACATTATTTTATGAGATCAATAATTGGAAACATTATTTATTATTTACCTTCTGGATGTCCATTCCCCTGAAACATACAGCAATACAAAATGGGGAGCCACCAATATTTGCGGGAGGAACCTCAAGGACTTGCCTACCGCCCATACTGCAGAGATAAAAGAATATGTTCAACATAACCAAAAATTTTCAATTTTCAATCTCAAAAACTTATAAAGAATAACGGTGACTAAATGAAGTGGTAGATCAGGCCTTGGCGACTTTGTATCTAAGAACAAATTGTCAAGAGTTAGCGCCGAGTGTGGCAGTTTCATTAGAAAAATGGAGTTCATTGCAGATGAAATTATTTGGTTTTACACTGCTCCTCACGCAGAAGGGAATCCCTTCATTTGCGCTGCCCAATGAAAGGATGGCAATAATATCACACCTCATTTAAAAAGGGCCATTGCACCATAATGGAGTTGTCTTATCGACAAGACCATCATTTAAGCTTCAGTTATTTTCATTTTGGTGCCCCTTGCAGATTTACTAAGAATGGAGTCTTTTTTTGATTTAGTAGGATAAGGCCCACTGTTGTGGAGTCCTTTTCAAGTTATAGATTTTCCTTTTCGATATCTCCTCTTAGGAAATTTTTCTCTTGCATTAGAAGTGCTTTCTTAACCATTGTTGACATACTTATCCTTTCCCTAATAGACTCATTTATCCAAAATGAGGAAAGAAAAATAACTTTGAATAAAAAATTGAGAAGATTCCTATAAAAATGACTTGAATTAACATCAAATGAAAAAGAAGAAATATCAATGTGCAGCACCTTAGGTATCTCTGGTAACTTTGAGACTTTGACGATTCAAATACATATAAATATGATCCTGAAAGCAACAGGAAACAAGGCTGCCATGCAGCAATTGAGTTGCCAATTCCCTGCAAAATGAAATTCATTTGCAATATTCCCAAGTCAAAAATAAAATGAGTGAAACCAACTACAGACAAGCGCATAGGAAAGAGATCCATAGAGATACCCGCCAAACCAGGATTCTACCATCAGCAGCAAGATCTGCAAAACTCCAAGGAGCAAGTTTAGCTTGGAAGTTATCCACAGCAGGCTGACTACAGGTTTCAATCGTCCCATAAAATATGTTCAGCAGTTCCATGATTTTAAAATATCTCTCCGGAGAAAAGTGAATCCCCAAGTTTGGCACTTGGACCGAGATACGAGTTGACGGGTAACTTGGATGTGGCACTTTAATCTTGAATAATTCAACGGATAGTATCAAGATAAGAACAAAACATCAGTACTAAAATACATCCAGAATAGAGGGGAAATTCAGAAAATGACTAGTAACAGAATAGATTAGTCATTATATTCTTGAGTAATCTACAAGTGCTTGTGTGTCTAAACAAGCGCATATGCACGTGCATATAAAAATTAGATGATTAATGTACCTGATCTACAAGCACGGCCATTCCACACCTATCAATAAGGGAACATTGATTTTCAACTCTTTCCGCAACAGATGAAAACAGTTGCTGATTATCATCACTTGGTTTCACCAAGCTGCAATTCCCATAATCAGAGCAACAGTCTGTAAAAAAAGCAGCAATATCTCGTCCAGATATCAAAAATTGAGAATAAGGATTTTTCCTCTGCTCATCAGCCTGACTTTCCTGTGAGAATAAAAAGAGCCATTTGAGACAGAGCCAAGCTAAAATAGCACAATGCCAATGCCAAGCCTCATATCTCAGAAGCATACCAATGTGTGCAGCGTAAAGTGACCAAAATCCAAAATGAAGTGACTATCACATTTCGGGGAACCACTGGATCTGAGAGGAACTCTTACTTTTGGAGCATCAAGGTCAATGTCAAATGCAAATCTGAAAAACCAGTCAAAGACTAAGTACAGGCTCTTTCCAGATAAAGAGGGAAAAAAATAAGAACAAAATTTACAGGTACAACAACGAGAATCAAAAGCCCTTCATGTAAGTCAAGATTTTACACACTTTGATATCATCAAAAGGATGGACAGTTAGCAGCCCAGGTCGCTAATAGCCTAATACTGCATTCAGGCATCATCCTAATGCAATAAAGTTTGCAATGGTGCCAAACACTCTAATGCAATGCATCTTTACTGTGCTGCAATTTTTTTTCCTCGGAAGGATACCACATATTTCTCATTCGCATCATGCTTCACTCCTAATAAAATTCTTACTTATGCCGATTCAAAAAAATTAAATCCCATGTCTTCTAATTTCTGGATGAAACAACAAATATATTAAAACAAAAGGATTAAAAAGAAATGGAAGCATTTAATTAGAGCAAAGGTTTGACAAAATAATTCAAAACTTTTCATGCTTTATTAGAAAGGCAGTTCCTCAAGAACTCTACAAAGGAGTCTCCCCTAGTGCAAGCTCTGCGCAGAAAACAAAAGCTACAAATTTTATTGGAAAAAGGTGGGTAGATATTTATGAAAAGAATCCAGTCCAAATTTTACACATCAACAAATAGACCGTTCTTCGAGGATACATTGCAGCCCTTTCAAGTAACAAAAAGTAATTTTCATCCATAAATGGAATTCATTTGTCAATGACTACTCGAAATACATCAAGATTCTAGTGAAGATTACTTAAAAAGCAGTAAATTTTCCTCCATCAACTAGCAGATGGTACAGCTTCAGCGATTAAATCAACACGACAGATGGGATATGGATTAAAATGGGTTTACTATACCAAATTTGGCAACTGGTTTGAGAACCACAATAATATTCTCCGGTTAAAGAGAAAGGAAGAAAAATTCAAAACAGCATTACACAATAAGACAGAAAAGCCAAAAATACAATGGATAAAACCTTCTTTGTTCCTCTAAAACCATTTGGAATTGCTCCTGTGCTCGACGAGTTACTTTCTCAAATTTCATCTGCAATTGCATTCAACATTTAATAAAGTATTAAAAAACAGTAAAATGTTATTCTGTTCTATCATTCCTAAAGAGAAACATTACACAAAAGTCATCACCAATAACCAAAAGAATATAAAATTCTAACAGTAGTATATAACATTGAAAGCTTAATTTAAAGCAAAATCATGCCATTTTTAATATTCATGGTTTCCACAAGACATGTGAGTAAGTACATGTTTGGACAAAGGTAAAAACAATCAAATAAATAAAGAAAAATTGGAACAAGAACTGTAATTTACTGTTAAATCAAATCCAAAGAAACTGATACCTGCAGAGCAGTAGCCGTCTCCGACGCAACTGTAGGACTGACTGCATTACTTCTCCTAACAAACTCTAGGAAGCGATCAATGCTTTCCATCAATACCTGCCAACAAAAAATCCAAGAGATTCTGCTAGTAACAATAATGGAAAACTGAGAACCTTTGATAGAACCCTCTAATCTAACAAGCTGACAACAAACAAAAACCAGAAATAGATTAAGAACAACATGGGACTGATATATTACTACTGAATAATAAAGTCTGGATTGCAAGGGATATAATGATTCAAGCAAAACCCAAACCCCTCATACACCATGGGATGAGAAATTTAGTCTTGGAGTCACCACACCTTGGCACACCTCATCACTGTTATACCTGCTTTCCCCTCCCCCTTCCCTGGATCACATCCATGGCAGGCACATTTCTTCAAGAGTATACCAACTTCCACCATACCCAGCCCTTGAAATACTTCCTCTGTTTTCTTTTGTGATTAAATTTCTTCTGATATCACTATTGCATAAGGATATGATAAACTCAACTTATCTTGTTCATAAAGTGAAAAATGAACAAATGGAAGAGAGATAGAAACAACCAAAAATAGAAGAAATTCATGCCCACACCATCATTTCAGTCTCCTAACTGAGAAATTACCGTAACATGGCAAGGAGAAATTGTAGCTGACAGCCTCCAGTCAATATTCTCCCCGATTGGCAAGTGCACAAAACTAGCAGCTAATGCATTCACCTTCTGCTCACTAGAGACGCTCTGAACATCAAGTTACCAAGAAGTGTAAGCTAGCAAAGAATAAAATATTGAAATTAATTATTGAGCATACATCAATTAGCTAACTAGTGCACAAGATATTAGGGCCAAAAAAACTAGTGCACAAGATAAAAGATAACTGAAGCCCATGGTAAATGCTTGGTCCAGAACCAAAGGAGATAAAAATAGTTCCGTATGTCTGTAATACCAATAAAATGAAAGAGCAAGAGAGGTTTTTTTTTTAATTTTTAAACAACTGAATAATTCAGGCCCATTCAATAGTTTTGAATGCTTCAAATTAATACATGCCAGTAAGTTTATTTTATTGGCATCAGATAGAAGTAGACCTGAGCAAGGGAACCTTCAGGAGCAGATACACCATAAAATTTTAGTAGAAGATCACAGTAGATGCTGCGATGCTTGAACTTGGTTGACACTTTAAGTTGCTCAAATCGACCACAGACAATTTCCATCTGATTCACACTAATAATCCTAGCTGCAGCCTGACCAATAGATATGGTTACCAAAAGCTTTATCATATTCTGCATGTCCTTTGAAGTAACTGCCAAGTCCTCATCAGGCTGGTAACTTAGTAACTTATTGATTGCCTCCCATTCCTCTTTTGTCAATCCTTGCTCTGTAAACTTCAGTTCCTCAGAGGCATCATCAGACAAGGCTTCTTCTGTGTCATCACGCCTATATCGAAGGGGGAACTTCAGTGTAGGGCTCCAAGGCATTTTTCCAAAGAAAAATAAGAAATCCAAGCATATATATATTAAGGGGACAAACTTCAGAGAAAAAGAAGAAATCCAAATATAGAATTACAACATATCAAGGGGAAAAACTTCAATGAGACCCCAAGGCATTTTTCCAAGAAAAAGGAGAAATTATTAGAAAAGAAGAATTACGATTACAAATAACAACAATAAATTATTCACAGAAAGAGACACAGGTGTTGCCCATACCATCTGAATGAAAACCAACTTCTTTTATTGACCATCCTTCGTTGAGCTGCTACCTTTGATTTCACAGATTCAACTTTGGCATGAGCTAGTAACCTAAACAAACATAACATTCAAAATTGGCACCCAGATTATCATTTTTCCATTATAAATGAACATTTATTAATGGAAGAATATTAAAATGGAGTACTAAAACGATAAGAATATTCTGCTGCTTGATCGTGATAAAAAAAAAAAAAAAAAACCAGAAATTAACCCTGGAAGACATTAATCAACGTAAAATTAGATTTGGAGATCTGCAAAGAAGGGCCTTCCAGAAATTGCTATAAACTAATCACTCTAGTATTTTACAGCCTTAACTGAATCCGGTTGCCACTCTTCATTGGAAACCCTTATTGATGCATATTGATTTAAGATTCGAATAGTTTCCAGATCTCTTTTCCCCCTTAGGAGAGTACAATGCCTTCTAACCCTAAAAATCTCCTCCCAAATGAAATTTCATCTATTCCAAAAAAATCTTGTTTTCATCTTGAGATTCTCTTCAACATCTAAACATGCGTATATGATATAAAAGGTCTACAAGATGCACTCTTCATCAGCTCATTACTTGGGCCCTATGCAACATACGAGATACACACTGGTTATAGTAAATTATAAGTGACTGTTACCTGTCACTCATAAACTCCTCTCTAGAAGATTGCTTTTAAATATATTGAATGAAACAGTTATCCATAAAATTACAAAAAGAGAAAGCCAGATAACATTGCGGCCTCTCTTTCTCCAAGTCAATCAAACCCTTATCAAATTACAAGGAGAGTAATAAACGCAGGGGGGAGAAAGGGACGGAGCATCAAGCCTATCTGCTTCTCTGGCTAGCCAATTGGCACACTTCTTTGGAGTTTGCTTCCCAACAAGTTCTTTATATATCAATGACAGTTAGACGAGCAGGCAAAAACATCAACCATCTCAGTTTAAAAATCATAAAATACACATCCTCAAACGTTGAACAAAAAGGAAATTCAGAACATCAACAAAGTGCAGAACTAAAATTTAGATGCACACGCAAGTTAATCAATCAAATATAAAACTCTTCCCAGTTTTGCTTTACCAATATCACCAGTCCACTTACCCTTGCAAGCAAAGGTATCCAAACATGTATCATCAAATTAGCATATAAAAAGCAAAAAGAACTAATGTTCCAATGATGCAAAAGAGTGATACCAAAGTACGAAATCAAAAAGTATGAATTACTCAGAACAGTCATTACTGGTCTCCATCATTACAACCCAATAAACAGGAACCTATATACACACCTCCACAATAGGATTACTTTTGGATCGAGATCTTTCTCTATTTCTCTAATTTCTGTATGATCAACATGTGACGAATGTTGAAGAGAAGCCATATACAATTGAATGTACAGCCGACGACGCTGACAAAGATGCTGAATTTGATCCCATGACAAGCGATAACTGATGTAGCACAACACATACAGAGTCAGCATCCACACCAGGAATTGAATAGAAAGCACAAAGTTAAAAATCTATTTTTTAAAAATAGATAGATGATTCTATCAACACTACCACATCCTCTTCTGCTGTAACCCAGCTTGAGCAGCATACTTCCACCATAATTTGGGGGCCTTTGGAACTGGAATTGAAGGCCTTAAATGAGAAACTTCCAAATATGTCTTGTATCTCGAAACAGCTTCCACTAGTTTAATCCAATCATGATATTGAGCCTGTAAATTCAGAAGGATAAATCAAAAAGAGCACTTTTCAGGGAGGATATATGATCACCTTCATCTTTCCAACAGAATTCAAAATGAGCAATCTGCTTGATAACACAGGATGCATCAGAATAGGAGGGAACACCAAAATGTTCTTTTCTCTTATAATAATAGAAGCCAGATTATCATAATTTTATAAAATTCTGTCGAGACAAAATGAAAATATATGTTTTTTATGGATAAAAAGAGAACAAATTTTCCTAGATATGTAAATCAGTACAAAGGAGAAGGAAAATAGATAATCTCCTTAAACAGAACATTTAAAATAGAAGCTCTAGAATCTCTCGAGCAGGAAATCAAACTAGAAAATTCCTTGAAAATCATGTGATGAGTGCCACAAAGAGCCAACCCAGAACAGTTTTGGAGCTAAGTAGCTTCATGAATATTCTTGGTCTACAGATTTTTTACATTTTCCCAGCTTGAAAATCATTGTGATAGGGTAGTTGCAAAATGAAGTTAACCCAGAATAAGTCATAAAGCTGCATCATAATGAAATGGAACACAGCAATTCAACATATAACCAATTTTAGAAGCTTACTATTATGATGGGGGGATAAAAAAGAATCCTAAAGGGGGGAGAGAAAAGAAAGAAAAAACATAAAGTGAAGAAAAATAAAATTTAGAACCTAGTATTTCAAAACAGATTTAAAGGAATTCCAATTATAAGTGGAAGACCTCTTTCTGATGACGAATTTATCAAGTACTTAGTAGAAGATGCCTTTCCCTCAAATGTCTGGATAGGAAAAAGAAATATCAAGCATCATCTAGGGATATTTGACTTCTAAGAAACAAAATAGACCAGCACGAGAATCAAGGAAGTTATTGAGTCAATTGACAGAATAATCTGATGCGCTATTGTATTAGTATTGTTAAGAACTGTACAAGCAGAAGTGCAGGAAACAACAAAAGCTTCCATCAACATACAAACTATTTTGTTCCTAATGATGTATTTGTTTAAGGAAAGCATAAATCTTGTGCTCCAGGCTCCTCACAAAGCCTCAAAAGAGGATAGAGTGGAAGTCTTCAGAGGAAGCAAAGATACCTATAGCTCTCTCCCAAAACTTCGATAACAAAAATATATACATATAAATATTCAATGAATTTCACAGAACCTCAGAAAGTAGAAAAGGTAAATGCCAGATAAAAGAGGGGAGATATGTTTTTTAATTGATTCCACCCTATTATCTAACAAAGGCTCCACTCAATATGAATGAAGACACACATTACTAGCAAAATAACAAGGAAAACAATAACTAACTAAATCTGGAAGATGCATCACTTTCAACCAAAAATGAGCTATGCTATCTTCTTTTCTCCTTTTTTTATTTTGTTATTTTTCCCCTTTTTTGTTCCTTCATATCATTACTAATACAAATTCCAAGGATCAATGACCTTTTTTCTTCCAACTTCAATAGACATTGAAATACCATGCAAACAAAATTTGAAAAATAAAAATACCTCTGTAACAGTAAGAGAGACATCACTGAGGACGAGGGAGACTTTCTCAAATGGAATTTCTGGATCGTTTCTTTCCTCATTTCCAAGACGATGATACTGTAGATTTGCATTGATAGGGGACACCAAGTATGTACGGTTCATAGCCCACTTAGAAACCAACCTCTTGTCAGCAGAAGTTTCATTTATGCCATCTTCAAAGATCTAGTAAACAACAAATATGAAAAAACAGATGAAAAAGGGCAATCAGAATCCCATATCAACAACATAAAATTAAATGGAAAGATGTTCAGGTTTAAGAAAGAAAATTTTGAAACAAATACAAAAAAAAATACTAATATTAGCCGAAAGAATAAACCTCAATCCATTCTTGTGGACTCATATCCTCCCATCTCTTGTCAATTTCCCAGGGAGGACAGTCAGAATCATGATAAAGAGCTAGCCTCTCAAGTTGCAAGGACTGTAAAAAGAGGGAAAAAAAGGTCAGGCTGGAATAATTATTGCAACCAACATATTCAGAACATGGCTATTGCTGCAAACAAAGAAAACAATAGATGGCTATATTTCAGAAGATCAATACATACCCAGAAAAAAACATTTATTTTAGTATACAATGCGTTGCCAAATTCTCACAGAATGCGACAAATATATTTTAAGCGTTCGGTAATAAGGCAAACAAAATTTTGTGGCAATATGTCATTATGGGATTCTGTGATTTGTCTAGTTGGATAAAAACGCCCACATCTTCATGGATGTTTATCTTATGAAACCCACTAACAGACAGTATAAATAAATTGTTCAAAAACGAGAATAAAAAATTCCAACGTCTCATTAAAAACTTCCTAGCCAAGACCCTGTAAAGCAGCAAAATCGCACAATACCATAGAGCTTCATGCTCCTTTCCCCACAACCGCAAACTTGATAACAAAAGAAGATGGCACAGTTTTATTTTTAAAAAAAACGGGGGATAAAATGCAAGTGCCTTACACGCTAACCACATACAGTATCAGCTCCCGCAAAAACCCCCCACATATAACCACTTATTCTGTTACTGCATAACTTCCCTCACCCTCTAACTATTCTCCTATCACAAGTGTATCACCCCAAAGTTCTTAACTACCAAATTCTGCAGCCCCAGCGACCACCAGTTTTAGACCAACAATATTTTCTCAAACACATAAGGTGGTGTTTTTCAAATGTGCAACATCATAAAAGAAAGTCCCATGTGATTTTGTCTAACCCTTGAGCCACACCCATTGGAATATGAAAACAAGAAAATAATCAAATAGAATCTTAAACAAACAAAGGGATTCTAAATTATCCAATAAATCCTTTTATCAATATCATTGAGTTTAACCAATCTTTCCAAAAAATTGCTTTTTTATTGTCAAATTACTAAAAGGGGCAACCTCACAATCAATCTGGTTTTAATGAAAAAACAATTTGTAATATTTATCATGGTTAACTTAAAATGTTTTTAGCTTTAATCAAAATACAAATAACTATATAAAAGAATTTAATCAATATGGATATATGCAATATAAAATTTAAAAAAATACGGTGTTTGCACTTGATGACAAGTGGACTACAATGAGACAGGAAGAAAAGAGAAGACCCAGGTCAGATAGATGATGCATTTTGTTATTAATGATTTTGTGTGTACTTTTTCTAAAAAAAAAAAAAAAAAAGATTCTGCTTCTACTTCAGGTCAAAAGCGAAAGTCCCATTTTTCTGCTTCCTTCACAAAGCAGAAAATTAAACTCTTCTACTATTTACAAGCTGCCTTAGAAATGGGCCAAAGCCAAACATAACAAGTACTTTTCAAAAATAAGTTTGTTTCTTCCAACAGCTGGTCCAAACAGACCCTGAATAAGAGTAATTCAACCACTTTAAGAGAGAGAGTAAGAATTCAACCTTTCAATAACCCAAACATTTGGAGATTTACTGAATCAAAGGGTCCTAGAATAATAAAGCTGTTGCATCCAAAAGAAATCCCCAAATAAAGGAGAGCCCACTGCTACCATGGACTTAAAAGTTCACATAACTTCATTATAAAAATATCTTTGCATAGAAGCACTCACCTTCCGCAATTTATCCAAAGCACCACTAGTATCAAAGGTTTCATTGCCATGTTCATCCATTGTAACAGCAGCAAGCTTAGCCAAAGTAACACCACAAGAAAATGGGTGCCATGGATTACTGCAAACAATACTTGGTCTCATAAAGAAGGCATGCAAGCTAAGTGATAATTCCTATCATCTAAAATCAGAATAAAATCAATTGAATCACATAACTACAGTTATTCACTCAACGAAAGAATTCAGGTGTAAATATCTACTAACCTGACCGTGTCTTCATATCTGATATGAACATTGCTAATAGATATCTTAAGATTTCCAATAATTGTAGCAATTATAGAACTCAGCCATGAATTTCCAGACGGTGACTGCAACAAATGAGCTGTCAGTTACAATTTTTCAATTTTGCAAGAACATATCCAATGTATCTCTGATAACACGGAAGTTCACAATGTCATTTCCAGGAAAGATTATATCAGTATAACACGAGTCAAATTAAGTGTTCCAAGAGATAGTCAATCCAGAAGGCAAGATACCAAAAATCAGAGGGTAAAATCTGCGTAATATCAATTTAAGAACACTTCATTGTCTAAACACGATATATCAATTAGGATAGGGAAAGATGATGAACCAGAAGAGAGAGATGATTGAATCATGAACGATGACATGCGTGGTCTTGGTAGAAGACAAAGCAAAGTAAGATTCCTTCTAGATCCGATTCTAGTCAGTAGTGTAACATATATCTACCACAGACTCTATGAGAGCGTATGCATGAACTACTGGGATTCTGATTACATGGGCCAATCCCGAGACATAACTTGAAAGATAAGCCTCTTCTCCACTACTTGGAAATTAAATGTCAGAGACTCATAGCTTATTCTCAACCAAAAAAAAAAAATTCCACAGAAACCAAAATTTTCATTGGTAGGAAAACAAGTACTCCCTGTGGTCCTCATTACAAGGTGTTTCCCACATTTTCATGAACCTTAAGGTTGTTACATGGTTAAAGTTGTCATAAAACATCAAAAGATTCCAATTTTATGCTTATTAATTAAAATGGTGTAAAACCTCCACTTATAATTTACGAAATCACTATTAAAACTATAAGAGACAAAAATTTTTGGGGAAAAAAATCATTAGATACTTCTACATAACACCCTATAACTTGGACCAAGAAAGTCTTCTAGAAGACGCCTTATATAAATGACAAAATAGAGCAATTCAGTGAAATACAGGGAAGGAGAGTAAGATGTCCCAACAAAACAAGCAAAGCAAGGGACAAAAAATAATAAAGCAAGAAAGAAAGTAAAATAAAAGGAAATATAATGATGAAACCAAGTATGATAGAACATGCACAGATAGCTTGAACATACTGGTTTTGGAAAGAAAAAAAAAGGGGAAAAAAAGGAGAATAAAATAACGCAAACCAATAAACTGCAAAAGTAATAGCCAGGTTATATTGGAGTCATACACTTCCCAGCTTTGACTTGGATATTGCATCAAGAGTAGCTGATTCTGCTTCCTACAACAGAAAATTTAGATTAAAAATCAAAAAGTAATAGAATAAAAATTGAGGTTATGAAAGTAAACTGATTTTTCCAGGCAATTTAAAAAGTTAATTCCTTCCTGTATTATTTAAAGATTTAAAAATAAGAAAATTTGCTAATAACGGGAATGGAAAAACACAGAGAAATAATGAGAAATTCTCCACAGACAATTTGAAACAAATAAAGACCAAACAGAATTCAAAGATAATAGACAATGGAGTTGGGTATTAATTATTCAAACAAGAATTGGTGATAGTAATACAACCACCTGTGCGACAAAAAGACCCCTTCCAAGTATCTAAATAAGAGACGAAATAAAATTTAGAATGTTCTAAATTTCCAAGCATATTTCTCAAGAAGAAAAGTTTTCCAATTAAGAAAAGTAAAAGGTTCAAAACATACCATGGGAAAACACACAGAATTAATCTAGAGACCAAATCAAGTATCTATAGAGGAAGAAAGATGAATGGGCCCAAGAAGTGAACGAGCCTCAAAAGTTCATGAGCTATTTTATCGATAAGATTCCTAACAAAATGAAGAGATAGCAAGCAAAATCATCCCCCTAAAATGACCAAAAGCTCTGGACAGGAGAGTTATGAAACAAGGAAGGTCAGTACAAGTTCAGAAAAGCTTGACAAAAAGGAGCATTGCCTCCCAAGATCCTCTGAAAACAGATACAAAGACTATCACCTTCTCTAAGACACAAGATCTAAAATATATGTAATCTGAGAGATGGATTTCATAGGGCTAGTGCCCGAAAAGTGGGACACCAAAGAACTATTAAAAATTTCAGCACTACTTTCCTGTTAAAAATACACTGAAAGGTAAACCCAAATCTGACCAAAGATTTCAAACAGCTTATTTCAAAACGAGGTAGCCAGTGCAAGAACGAAGGTATCGTTGCTTTAGAACAAGTTCCACACTTAACATACAAATTAGGGGGTAAAAGTTGCATACAATCTGACCTCAATCTGTTGGATCTTGGCTTCAAAGAGTTTTTGTCTGTCCTCCTCCTGGAACAAAATAAGCTCAACTCAGAAAATGGCATGGATATGTGTTAATAAAATGGAATATAAAATGAGTGTACCTTCACTGTCCGGCCATCCTGAGCAGGATAAGCAAGAACAAAGATCCTATCAATAAGAACAATAACAGGTTCTTTGCCCAAACTTTTCCAAGGAACCTAGATACATAGAACAAATAAGAATGAAGCAAAACTCGCACACTCCATCACAGTTCTAAATATCCAGGGAAGCAAAAAAGAAACTATAAAGAATATATATACATATATACTGATTGCAGACTGAAAAGCAGTCAGAATAATGCTAGAAAAGAATAGCATCTAAGCTAAATAACAATGTGTGTAATGTGTATTTTGACCTTCTTATAAGTATATAGACATATTAACATAACGGCATGTAACTAGGTATTTATATATTGTCTAAAACAAAATGTACAAAGATTTGTAGCTTATAAATGTGTATAGGCACCAAAAAAAAAAAAAAGGTAATGGCAAATGTCACCTTCAATGTGATTGTACCAACAAAGCCAGCTTTGACAGTAACAGGGAGTTTTAGCGCATTTAGTGCCTCTGCCTTCAACTTCAAATCCTTAAGAACTACATCACCTGCAGAGATCACATGCTGAGTGGTAAAACAGAGAAATATATATTGAACTTGTAGGCAATAATTATACGCTGTGTAGCATAGGTAGTCACTAACACAGTGCCCAAGAGAAAGCTAACATGATTAATTTGTGGACATTAGCATCATCCACAATTTATCACGAACCAAAACAATCTGCTATCATCTAAAATAAAAAATAAATGCTGAGACATTTATGTCATTCTGTATGGATAGCATGAGAAATACAAGGCCACTTTAGGTCATCAGCGTGACACACAATTTTGCATAACTTGTCTTAAATGACTTTTCCTTTTATTGTGTTTCAAGAAGATGAACTAAATGCGCATTGCTTGCGAAGTGTATCAGCATATTTGGAACAGGTTGTCTGGATTTTTCAGGTGTTCAGCAGGTCTGCAGGTTATTTAACTATCAAGTAATCCGGGTATAGTCACAAGAAAGAACATAGAATTCTTTGGCAGTCTGTCCTGACTATTTTGTAGTGTCTCAGATTAAACCAGAACACAGTAACATTTAAAAAGAATTTTTTCCCTACAAAACTGATTTGGGAGAGTTATTTGTCAGGCCTACTTTTGGGTTCACTAAATGCTTTTTTTAGGCTGTCTCCCTTGCCGCTTTACAAAGGGATTGGAAAGCTCTCTTTTGGGCCAATGAGTTAGTAATTTTTTCTTTCCTCTGAGAGACCTATCTCTGCATTTTCTGTTGCCCTTCTCTGTTGTTTAATAAACTATTCCTTTATATAAAATAGCTCAGAAAGTATTAAAAAAAAAAAAAGTAAATAGAGCTTCTTCTTTTGTTAAAGAAAATGAATTTTATACGATAGGAAGTGAATTACATGACAGGAGGATAGGCAGCCTCCTAAAATATAGAAAAGAACGCATCAGCTCAAAAGTGCAAACTAGAGCAACTATGATGAGAAAAGCACAATATCTCTACAGGGGGAAAAAAAAAACGTTCACCAGATTTTTTGTGGGAAATTTTGCTGTCTGTACAATTTATTCGTATTTTCCAAGCAATCTCATAGCGTAAGGAGCTGACAACTTTTATTCGTATAAAATAACAGCTAAGGATTTTAACCAGGGATAAGAATATATGTTGGTAGATACCAATTGCTGGAAGTCTAAAACCACCCCCCCAAGGAAAAAAGGCAAAAAAGAAATTAAAGAAAGGGCAACAGGAATCAGGGAAACATTATTGACATGGCAGAAAACATTTTTGTCAATAATTTATGCTTCTATTCAGTAGAAATAAAGCTTTTGACAAAAAGCTGGGAATTATCATATCACAAACCTTTCCAGACACTTATTCTTAAGGCCTCCGTTGAGAGTCCATGTACATATTCGCCCAAATATCTCCTAAGCAAATGCAGCACCTGTGGAGAAAGTGCAGCCACTACATCATGTGTTCAATGACCCTTTAGCAAAATATCATCATGTGTCGCTAAATATCATCAATATAATCATATATCGGCGATAATATTAAAATTTAAAAAAAAAAATAAACAATATGGTAAGAAATACCGCTATAACCATGTGGCATATAAAAAATGATCAGGGAAAGAAAATCCTGCATGTAAAAAACTGATAAGCGAAGGAAAATCCTGCATATAAAAACTGACAAGGGAAGGAAAATCCTCCAAATAAAAAACCAATGAAGCATTGTCCACCTTAGCGTGGCCCAGCTATCAGAACAATTGGCAAAAATAATCCAAACGTTAATATCATAGGAACAACAACGAAGGCAACAACGACAGTTTATGCGAACGAGAGGCATGACAAACAATAAACAATAAATTCAACACAAATAATATTGCACAAAGACGAGTGATCCCAAAATATAAATTAAACAGAATTCTTACGTGAGCTTCGAACATGGTGAAGAAGAGGACCAGCTATGTATCAGGAACGATCACTATTATCGTCCGATCAATCCACAAGTTAACAATGATCGAAGTAGAAAAACTGTCATCGAGATAGTAGACAGTAAAAGAGGGGACCGAGGTTGAAGTTTCGAAAGCTGGTTAGGGTTTGAACACAGCTCGATCGCTAGGGAGCGGAGATCCTGAGAACTGAGCGGTTAGAAATCGGGGAAAATATGTCATGAGAGTCATGTCAGAACGTGCTTAGTGCTTCTGAAGCTTTATAGGTCCCGGCCAGTCGCAAGTCCATACGTGGTTCGAACACGAAGCTATCTTACGCATACCTGGAACGGACAAAAAGGGACGTTGCGGTGGTCCAGTTCTCACTAGATAGTCTTCTCATTATTTTTATTTAAAAATATAATTATAATTATAAATTTTTTGGGTAAAGATGCAATTTTTTTACTTCAATCTTTTTATTGGTACAATTTTATTTTAATTTTTTACATAATTTTATTCATGAATTTTTTACTTTGTTCTACCAAAAAAATAAAATCAAATGCACCAAAATAAAAGGATGATAGGTAAATTGCAAAAAAAATATAAATAGAATTACACCATTTAAAAGATCATGATACACCTAAAAAATAAAATTGGAAATAAAATTGCACATTTACATCTTATTTTGGATCAACAACTGTGGAATGGATTTTGAAGGTAACATAATAACTGTTCCATAAAATCAGTAGATACTGTGGTGTTTGGGTGGTTATTATCTTATATAAAAAAAAAAATTAATATTATCGGAAAAAGCATTACTCCACCTAATTCTAGATAGAAGTATTAGACAACTAATTTATAAAAATTAAAAAAATTAGTTAAGTTATTTATTTAAAATATATTTAATCATTTGTATTTAAAACTAAGCATACTACAATGAATGGAAATAGTTTTAAAAAATTATAAATTTTAAAAATAAAATATATTAAAATATTGTATATAGAATCAAAATAAATCATCTCATACATTTGCGATTAAGGGACAGCTATTCTCAGGGAGAAAAATCATTAGTTAGATTTTATTTACTAGGATGAATTTTAAAGGGCTATAAGGAGCACACAACTGGTGCCAATATAAATTGAAAAACTATTTGTCGTACTGTAATAGATTAGACATGTATCTTGTTGAAATGTTAAGTTGTGCTTAATGATGACAGATGTATTAAAATAATTACTGCAAATCATCAATAACTTTGTTCACGGGAAAAAAATATATAATAATTGTTTTTCATTTGAAAAAAAAACTATCTACCACATACAAACTGGCCATTGTTCAATTTTTTTAACTAGACACGTGCATTTATTTATTAAAAACAATTTCACTGGAGGCACAAATGTGAGTCCTTGGTCAATTGTTTTACTTTGAAGCATGTTTTTTTTCTTTTGGGTGAAGAGATCTCCATGGGTCCATAGATGGTTTATTTTGTTGTTGTTTTCTGACTGGGCTACAACAGCCTCTGCTTTGTGTTATTTCTCCAGCATGTTTTGGGGAATAATAATAATATATTATGTTAAAATTTGTTATGCGAATATTCTAGCATAACATGGAATTTAAGCCATTAATTTCGATTCAATTATACTACCTCCGGTTCTTAATATAAGACCCTGTTTGACTTTTATTTTGGTCCTAAATATAAGACCCCAATCCACTTTGTCTCTCATATTTACACATTTTTTTGTCAAAGTAGCCCTTCTAACAATGATAGTTCTAGTTAATATACTTGATTAGTAAAGATATTTTAGGAAAGACAATACCTATTTAGGACAAATAACTAACTCAATTTACTTCCTTAATCTCCTCAAATTAGTCAACTGGCTCTTATAATTAGGATCGGAGGTAGTAAATAACAAGCACTAAGACGGCTTTCTATGGCACATTTTCAATATGCATTACACATAACATGAGAAATGAAATTATGAATCCCATGTAATTAACTTTTAAATTTAATTAGGAAAAATATTTCATGAATAATGTGACTTATTATAAATTTTACATTGAGGAGAGTGGTGGTTGATATAAATGTACAACATAATAATAGGGATAGAGTGGTGGTTGATATAAATGTACAACATAATAATAGTAGATATAATTTGTAGGAGATGATTAAAAAAATTAACTGAAAAGCTCTAGCTCGTTAACATAACTCGTAAGAATTGAGTAAATCAAGCAAATTATAGCCAAGCAATAAATCAAATCAGCAATGAAATAAGAACAAAATGACAAGAATTATGATGAATTTATTATATGATTTGAATTCACATTATATGCCAAATGTATAGTTATATCGAAAATTATAACCAAAATTAAAAATGTACTACCATCATATATTATCTTCAATTCTTAATATAAAAGTTAATTTAACATTCAATTTAATCCCCAGTCTATTTTATTTCTCATATTAATTTATTTTTTTCAAAGTAAAAATTATAGTAACTGTATATGTTAAAAATTCCATCAAATAATAGTTTTGATTAATACACATGATTATTAAAGTACTACCTCCGGTCCTAATTATAAGACCCAGTTGACTTATTTGAAGAGATTAAGGAAGTAAGTTAAGTTAGTAATTTGTAATAAATAAGTGTTGTCATTCTTAAAATGTCCTTACTAATTGAGTATATTGGCTAGAACTATCATTATTAGAAGGATTGTCTTGGAAAAAAATGCATAAATATGAGAGACAAAATGGATTGGGGTTTTATAATTAGGACCAAACAAAAAGTCAAACGGGGTCTTATAATAAGGACCGGAGGTAGTATTATAAAGAAGATAATACTTATTTATTATAAATGACTAATTGAATAAATTTTTTTAATCTTTTCAAATCAGTTAACAAACTTTTATATTAATGACGTGTGATGGCATCACTTATTGTATAATGGACAACGCGTAATCCATAATGCTGTTTGGCTTTGGCCGTTTTGGCCAAAAAAGATATCACGTCTGGCCGTGCAAGTTCGAGACTCACTGTAAATTCTACTTGGACGTATAATCAGGGGTTTCGTCCTCTTTGGTGCCGGCCATAAGCATTATCGATGCGGATGCTTCATTACCTTTTCAACGATAAAATCAACAAAACAGGCTCCACATAATTGTACACTAGTTTTTCCACACCCACCCGCACCAAAAATAAAAACAAGATGAACTGATTTGTTTTGGATGTTAACCTTGTAGATGAAAATGAGACGTGTTTTGCGGAGAATTGCACTCATGTTCTGAATTGATTGTGAAATCTTTTCTGTTCTGCTCATTGTTATCTGGAAATTCAAAGTGAATCTGCAGGGAAGTTGGTTTGGACCATTCAAATTGATACACATATGATAAAAAAATTAAGGGTTTCCTTCTACAACATGATCTTTCATCCCCTTTTTCTTCATTATACCCGTTAGTAAATGTTAGATGCCGGCGCCCTCTTCTGGTTTATTCTAGGGAGTAAAACAGAACTAAGGGGTATTTTCCAGATGGGTTAGTTGTTTACTATCTTATCTCAATGCTGTTGTTGGTTATGTAAGTTATTTTATCTGTCTATAAAAGGTTGTTATGTAAGCCCACTAGATTATGAACGAAGCATTATTTAGTGGACGATTTCATCTTCTCTCTTCTCTAGGATTATAAATTCTGGTTCTAGAGTTTATTTCTCTACTCTTTCTCTTCCCCTTTCTCCTATTTCTGCTTCTATTTTCCAGATTCTCCTGCTTCTAGGATTAGATTCTGATTCTAGAAAACCCTCACTTCCTTTCTTCTATTCATTCTATCTTCTTCTACCTAGTTTCTAACATTAACTGAGTCAGTTCAACTTTTAGTCTAATGTTCAGTTGTTTGGAGATATTGATGCTACACACACACACATAAAAGTCTATTGTTAGGAACATAAATTCTTGTCGATGCTGCAAATATTGCTGCTTTGGCTGCGATCTCTTACATTTCGGAGGCTTCAATGAACAACAAGTTGTTTTGCGTCCACCTGAGCTTGGCTTTATTTTGAAATGAACGCATGACATGTACTTCTAGGAACATGGGTCAACCTGTCTAGTTTGCCGTTTTGATTAGCCTTATTGCTTAAAATTTCCAGTTACTAGGGAAGTTTCACCATGAAAGAGAATTTTGATCTGGCAGCAATGCAAAACTCTTTTCTCATGAATAATTGTTTATTACATGAGCTTAGGCAAACCCTGGAAGTAGGATTGGAGAATACCATTTCTACTTATGGTATTCCTCAATCCTACATACCTGGGTTTATCTAATCCTATGTAATAAGCAATCTCTTCATACTAAATACTATTTTTTCAATCTCAATCTCAATCCCAATCTCAATCCCTATCTTTCATTTTCAATGCTTCATACCAAACAGTCCCAAAAGTATTAGAATTAGTTTGCTTTGTTGTTTATCACCCAGAAACGAGGGATTCATCTGGCTTCTTAGTTTGAAATTTGAATTATACTTTGCTCAGATCTTAATGATTATTCTGTGATCCTTTTAGTGGGTGATCATGCATTTTTGCAACTTTCTCATGTGGAAGATGGTGGTATTACAACCAAACTTTAGAAAGACAAAAGGCCCGGGGGGGGGGGAAGCCGTATGTTTCCATCCACGAGCATGACGCATAAGTGCTTGGGACGTGAGCTAGCGTTGAATTGACAGCTTTTGTTCTGTGAAATGCTAAACTCTAATACGGTGCAAATAAAATTCTAAATGAAAGTTCTCTGCAATTTTAGCCCATGTTGATAACACTCAAGGTCTTTGATACAGCTTATGACCCGGGAGGTTATGCGCTAAATCCTAATGGTGCCAAATTCAGATAGCTGGTAAAGAAATGATTCTGGAATAATGAGTTTTATATTTTGAATTAATGTTCACCCAAAATTAGTTTGCTCAATAATGAGCAGTGCATGGTAAAATTACTTTTGTAAAGTCAAATTACTAGAAAAGGCAGTATCAATGATTTAAAACGTTGTTAGCCATGATAGATCTCTAGGTGGTTCTGTCCGAAAGGTTAGAGGGAAAGCAAAGCTACCAGTCATATGGTGAGCAGCATGGTGCTTGTGTAGATCAATTGAAGTCAAAGGATAAGGGAAATTTCATGGAATGTGATGCCACATCACCAAAGGTACAAAGCAACACTAGGTATGAAGCCTCAATAATAAACTTCTTTGAGGGTCCCTCAAGTTAATTGGTATGATGTCAGCCTGCTCAAGAACTAATGGATGGATTCCTTTCTTTATTGGTTTTGCATAGTGGCTAATTGTTAGCGTTCTCATTTTAGTGTGATCCATTTTAGTACTGCCAACTTTATGTATCCAATTTACACGCAGAAAGTTGCTGTGTTTCTGATGCGCACCTAAGGAGCAGCTAGGAAACCCTGCTCTGTTTCAAGTACTCTGTCCAGTAATCCATACCATTCAATATGCTACCAAGTTTGGGATTGCACTTCTAGATTTAACTAGTTTTAAGTACTCTGTCTAGTTTTATACTGCATCTTGATACTGGGAATATGGTGATGATGATGATGGTGATGATAATGATATTTTGGACGATATATAAATCAGGGTTTGATTGAGAAAAAAGCAAGACTGATGAAAAGGGGCCAAAAAAAAAAAGATAAGTGGGAAACTGACGATGTACTTCAAGAGAAGTTATGACCTTCTAACAAATGTTTACCAGCGGTTGAAAATCAGAGTGGTTATAGAGGGATGGACAGGGAGGTGCTCTTTCAAACAATCATAAACCACTCTTTGCTTAGATGTGACTTGGAATAAGTAATCAGTCAATTTTAACCAATACAAGTTCAATTACCAGGGTTAAGGGGAGTCCAGTTGAAAGAGGGGCCGAGTGGCAATTTTTTCCCTCCTTGACATGTGCTCCTCAGAGACAGTTCTAATGTTCCATGACGTGGAAACTACAAGATTTATGTCTTTATTAAAATAAAATCTGGTTAGGTGTTGAACAATTACATCATATAATGCATCATATATATTATAGTCATTTAAGCTTATGAACTTTTGAGTTCATGTGAACAAGACTAATTCTCTTCCATTAAACCTAAATATGTCTACTCAACTGTGAGATACACTCCCTCCGTCCCATATTATAAGCAACAACTATTATCTTTACCTTGTCCCTAAATATAAGCAACTTTTAACAGTTGTCTTAAATTTTTATAATAAATTTTCTGTTTTGCTCCTAATAAATACGTATTTTAATATAATCTCCATTATATATTCTCTCTCTTTCATAATTCTCCCGTCATAAATGAGGTTATTTTGGAGAGAAAAAATTTAATTTTTACACATTTATTGTCTTTAACCAATTTTAACTATCACTTGGATTTACATAATCTAGTATAAGGTTGCTTACGATATGGGACGGAGGGAGTAATTAACTAATTTGAATAAATTAAATATATTAGTTAAATTAGTTAATATGGTTTTTTTTTTTGGAAACACACTAAGTATTTGTCTTAATTCTCTCTCTTTCTGTCCTACTTGACTACTGTTGGGAGAATATCAATAGGATAATTTGAAAAAAAATTAATAGACACATAAAATAAATCTTACATATAAAATCAATATTAACTCCTCAATTAAATCTTATATTAAGGACCTATCCATTACTGCGGCTTGTCTTGGCCCAAAAAAAATAAAAACACTTCGGCTTGTTTGGGTGGCTTTAGAGAGGGATGTAAAATGCCCAATGTCATCAGCCTTTTGTGTACTGATGAAGAGGGTAAAGCAACAAAAAAACAAAAAAAACTAACAAGAGTTGGATTCAACATAAGGAGTTAATCCCTCACAATATGGCGAATTAAGGTTTGAATCTCCGCTGATAGAGGTGTTCACGTTTAGTGTCCGACAGTGTTGCCTCTAATAAAAGGATACCAATGCTTTAACCAAAAAAAAAAATGCTTGAAGACTTGGGACCTGAAGCAACATATTCCTTTCAAAGAGTTGGCGGGTATCTGTATTTAATAATAAACCACTCCCATATTTACGGGGAGGAGGTAGGCACACCTGCCGATCGAAAGATCATAAGCTTAAAAATAATGGGTTCATTATTTCACCAAACAATTATAAATGCCATATCTCCATATGCCTCACATACGAACAACCTTAAGTATTCAGAACCCCATAACAAAGCCATTTATGTACAGAGTAGTTTTTAATTATTTGGGCATATTCCATTTATATAATATTTTAATGAACTTTTTTAATCACATTCCATATATATCACCCGTGACCACACACAAAAAAACACTATCTCGTGAATTCCCAACATATACGTGTCCCTCCTGCGCCTGAACTCAAACTTACTACGTAACCTCTCCCTTGGATTTTCAGCCCAACTTGGCTACATGTGATTATCGGTAACGTAACTGTGTTTCAACTTTAAGACACACAATCTCTCACAATTCAACGTATTTAACGGAAATATACATCCACATGTAACATCATTTAACATTAATTTAAAAAGGAGAGGCTCCTATAATTGATCCATTTTGAACCTGAAGGCAAAGCCAGAACGTCACATGTAAAGTTAACGTGAAAAACAAAATTCTCTGGTGTTAAATCAGCGTTCGTTGGGGGCAATTCATAATGGTTTAAAACGGACCCACAGCCGAAGAAAAGAACCAATATGGTGGCGCGAGTGAAGCCAATCCGACGTGTCGTTTACAGGAGCCACAAACACAGCCTTCGCCTCTGAGCCTGAGATCACGAAAAAGTGGAAAAGCCCCTCCAGAAGATGTCTCCCGTGAGTATGTGTCCCCATGTGACAGGTTAAGACAAAACGCTCATGCCTTCCCGTCGTCTACAGTTTCCATTTTCCTCGTCTATAAAAACGGTCCTCTTCCCCCACTCATTATTTATCCACGCCAACGCCTTACCTTTACGTCCATTATTATTCATCCACAAAGACAACTTCGACCGGCACAAAATTAAACATCAACTCACTGCTACATATCACCAGGTGAGTTTCTGGCCGCATTACTTTATATTTCACGTGATTTTACGCTATATAAAGTAAGTAAATATTTGAAAGTTTACAAACACTTACCAAGTCACGTTGTTTTTCTTGTGTATATGTGGCATATGTATATATATATAGTGAGTCATTATGCATGGGGATTGTGGAAGCTGCTTTTTGCTTTGTTTTGTGTATGTGGTTGAAATATTGATGGGGGGAGGGGGTTGATGACCCGTGAATAAACAATTCTGTTGTCGCGCACCTAATAGTGAGGCCTACTTTGATGGCCATACATGGATGGAGAGGCTAGCTACCCAACAACAAAGAGTCACGAGATCGATTTCTTCTCTCTCACCCATCACCCACATTCACTCAAAAATTGGAAATTCTCTTTTTTATTCCCTACCCAGTCTTCACGAGCCCCACTTTTCCCAAACTATTGCTTTCTCTCTCTCTCTCTCTATAAGTGTGTGTGAATATAGCATTTCCTTCTTCTCTCCTCCGTTGGTATGCTCACGTGCTTCATATAATCATAGTTACTAGACACCAACGAACGTATATTCAGTGAACAATAGCTCTCTCTGCTTGTGAGTGACAGATCAGAAAGCGAGATGCTATTATAAGGGAGACATAGTTAGAAACTTAGAATGCTTTGCCGGAAATAGATGATAATGGTGAAAATCTCAGTTATAAACCTACGGATCTAGCTGGCCAGCCAGTGAATTAGTGGAGTTATATATCATCTATTAGCTAGGACCAATGAACACTTAAGGCTTTATTTGGAATCACGCTTAAAATTACTTATAAAAACGTTTTATATAAGTTAAGACAAAATTCTTTTCATACGAGTCACGATTGAAAAACTGCTTATAAGTCATTCTAAATACGTTTTAGCTTAAATAGATTTAACTCATTATTGATTCTTTGGCGTGGAATGATTCAAATTGTTAATATAGATATAAGTATAATACACATACAACATTATATACATATATACATGTATAATATAATATGCATGGCTTGTATTTCTCCCCTTCCCGGTCTTCATAAAGCTAAAATGGGATGTTTAGCTTCCTCTGCCGAAATTAATCTTTCCCTTTTCAGGAAGAGGTCAAAAATACTTTGTCTGCTCATTATATATTCATTCTGAAGAGAAAACTTTCACGGTGTTGGGAAGAACACTGTTATATATTCATTTACATTTGTCAGTATGTATTCGTCGTCTATTATGCATACACTACTTGAGGTTTCTAAACATAGAAAAAGAAAACTCATCTTTCCAAGTCATATTAATCAGTGGGCCATGAATGGTGATATATACACACACACACATATAAATGATTTATTGTATCTATTCCCAATGGTGTAAGATTTTTTTTTTTTTTTGAAAAAATAAATTACAATTTGGTTATGAAATTTAGAAACAGGTTAACATAAACGAAACGAGCATGCATAGATTTTCTTGCTCCATATTTTAACTTTGTAAAAATCAATACCATAAAAACATGCTGAACCCATTTATTGGAGGCATGCAACCCACTTTCTGAGGTAGAGGATATAAAAACAAATAGTGTCATGGACATCAGTGTTTTGCATTAAATTTAGAATTTAAAATGAGTCATATACTTTACAATACACACACAGTATGATGAAATTTATAAACATTTGACATGAAATATTACTGTCTTTGCTCTTTAATATAAAAGTTAGTTGACTAATTTGAATAGATTAAAAAAATAGTTAAGTTAGTTATTTATAATAAATAAGTGTTATCTTTTTTAAAATATCTTTACTAGTTACATGTCATTTGATGAAACATTTAATATGTGCAATTACTAGAATGATTACTTTAAAAAATTGATAAATATGTGGATTGGGATCTTATATTTAGAATAAAAATAAAAGTCAAATTTACTCTTATATTAATGACCGAAAGTAATAGCATGCATGGTTTTTTCCCTGGAACCAATGTTTTAGCTTTTCAACTATTCTAAACAATACCGAATCCATTTTCATTCGGGGGCATGCAGCACACAATGAACCCTTCAGTACACTTTCTGAATTAGAGGCTATAAAGAATTAGAGATAAATCGAATCCCGGGGGCTGGGGCTGTGTTTTTTTAGAGGGTTTGAATCGAGTTACATTATTATATTTTATAAATGAAACGGCTTCTAATAAATTTTATACCATGTAGAGGTACACAGGTAGATTTTTTTAAAATTTTAATAGATGAAAATATGGATATTATGTATAGATTATTTTTTTTATTGACATGTACAAAACAACTTGACGGAATATGATACGGAATGAAATCGTGTTGCAGGATTTAGCACGTTATTCTAGAAAACCTGGGCCTCTCAAACGCGAAAAATTCAAAGCTGTTTCCCTAGCAATTTCTGAAAAATAGAAATTCACGTATACTACAGTTGAAGCAAATGTAGGGACAAGGAAGCAAGGCTCAAGATATCATGGACCTTAACAAAAAGCCATTGAGCAGTTTATAAAGAAACTGAAGAGAGAGAGAGAGAGAGAAAAACAAAACCTTTTTTTTCCTGAAAAACCAAAAATAAAAACTAAACCATGCCGAAGGTCTCCTCCAGACAGTCTCACACTTCTAATCAACCACGGGTTGACACGTGGCATTATGTGTTTTAGAATGAGCTCATGAGCCATCTATATGTTGTGAAACATAAATATGAACCTCTGCTTCAGGATGAAACGAACTTGCTCGTTAGACCATAGCTGCATCCTCATTCTTCTTTCTCCTTTGTCTACTATTCACCATTTTTCACTCACTATCAGGTTTCTAAAATTTTCTTGCCTGTATACAGAACACACCTCCTCTTCTCATGGATTTCGTTCGTGCATTTCTTGTGCTCTGCATTACCATGATTCTGTTCACCCACAATTGGAGAAATGCAGAGGGAAGGTATCACCACCACCGTCCAAAGAAGCAGAAAAGCCCTGTTCATAATCATTCGCCTCCTTCCAAGTCTCCTAGTGTACCTTCTAAGCCACACCCAGATAATCCTGGGCTTTCCGGTTCCGGCTCTGTTTTCGACGTAAAATCCTTTGGGGCAGTCGGAGATGGTGCCGCCGATGACACCGCCGCCTTCGTGGCGGCATGGAAAGCAGCTTGTGCAATAGATTCAGGAGTGGTTCTAGCTCCTGAAAATCACCGTTTCAAAATCACTTCCACTATCTTTTCTGGCCCCTGCAAGCCTGGACTTGTGTTTCAAGTAAGTTTTGCCAGTTCAATTGAACTCCTCGTCTCTTCAAAACATCACTTATCTGGAAAATTTGATAAGGAAAAGACTAATGTGCGAAATGTGAACAGGTGGATGGAGTTCTTATGCCTCCAGAGGGACCAAATTCATGGCCTCAAAAGGATAGTCGCAACCAATGGCTTGTGTTCTACAAGCTTGATCAAATGACTTTCAATGGGACTGGAATTATAGAAGGCAATGGACAACAATGGTGGGAGCTTCCTTGTAAACCTCACAGGGTAATCTAATCATTTTCTCATGTCACTAACGCATTGATACCTCAAATTTTCCCTTAAAAGCAGAGAAACCCATATAAATACTGATGCTAGTATTTAGGGTGGACACAATTTATTTTCTTGAAATGTGTAATCCGTATCTTCCCCGATGAATTCTGTATCTGACTGATGTTGAAATGAAATTGAAACTCTACTAAATGAGAGTGAAAAAATGGAACTTTCAGGGTCCCAATTGGAAAACGTTGCCAGGACCATGTGAGAGCCCAGCAGTGAGTAAACTTCTCAGCTCATTCATTAATTATAAGCCCTTTCTTTCTCTTTCTAAACCGTCTTTTTCTCAGCAAAGTTTCTCACTTTTTTTCACTTTTGGTTCATAGATGATAAGGTTCTTCATGAGCTCCAATTTGGCGGTGACTGGTCTAAGAATTCAAAACAGTCCTCAGTTCCACATGAAGTTCGATGGCTGCCAAGGAGTTCTGATCGATAAGCTGTCCATCTCTTCGCCTAAACTCAGCCCCAACACCGACGGAATCCACATAGAAAACACCAACACTGTGGGAATATACAACTCCATGATTAGCAATGGTACACCACAAAACAACAATGTTTCAATCACCACACATGCCAGTTTAGTTCTTTGTTTCTATTCATTTTTCAGATGTGTGGTTTAAAAAACTACAATGATTTGGACAGGTGATGATTGCATTTCAATTGGACCGGGGTGCTCAAATGTGAACATAGAGGGCGTCACTTGTGGACCTAGCCACGGGATTAGGTACCTTCCCATTTTTTTATTCACGAGAGTAACAAATCTTAGTTCTACCTTTCAACCTGTTAAAAAGCACATACAAAAAAGAATCTTGTTTCAAGCCGTTAATTTTCAAAAAAGAAAAAATGATGCGACTATAAGATGACTCTGAAATTTACTTTCAATCCGTGTAAAGACTATGATCAACGTTTAAAGATGAGTGTTACTTTTCTTTTCTTTTCTTGTGACCTATAATGGTCCAAACCAGACAGCATCTTTTGGTAGGACGCTGGAGCAGTCAGAAAGAACCACAGCAGACAAAATCAAACCTAAAATAATACTGTATATCCACACACTACCCCATTATTATACATGTTCGCATGAAACACCCATACCCACCTGCCTGTGGGGGAAAAAATGGATTAAGAATCTGATAATAAACAAATTTAAGAGGTTATAGAATCTGTGTCTCTCATACCTAGCCATGTTTTACTTTGTGCAGTATTGGAAGCCTGGGAGTGCACAATTCACAGGCATGCGTGACGAACCTAACAGTGCGAAACTCCATAATAAGGGAATCAGACAATGGGGTTCGAATCAAGACATGGCAAGGAGGAACGGGCTCAGTGACGGGGCTAAGGTTTGAGAACATTCAAATGGACAACGTCCTAAACTGCATCATCATAGACCAGTACTACTGCTCGTCGAAGGCATGCCAGAACCAGACGTCGGCGGTGCACGTAAACGACGTGTCGTACAGGAGCATCAAGGGAACATACGACGTGCGTACCCCTCCCATTCACTTCGCTTGCAGCGACACCATCGCTTGCACCAACCTGACGCTATCGGAGGTGGAGCTTTTGCCGTACGAAGGGCAGCTTCTGGACGATCCTTATTGCTGGAACGCGTATGGAACTCAAGAGACTATGACCATTCCTCCACTTAGCTGCCTAAGACAAGGCGAGCCAGCCACTGTGGGAGAGCTCTCAGCATATGAATGCAGCAGATAAAAATAAAAAAAGGATTAAATAGATTATATATAGAGAAGAAATTAATTGATGATGATGATGATTGTAATTTTTAATATAATTTGTCTCTAGGATTCATCCCTTTTTGGGTGGTTTTAATCCCTTATTGTGTGATGAGAAATACTGGATTGGGTCCAACTTGTTGGACCAACACATTGTAATAGATTGGTTGGATATGTACATCATATATGATGCCACCTTTGGATTAGTGGAAATCTGGATTTGGAGATGAATTTAGATCACATTCATTATCTGGGGTGTTCACTGTTCTACAGCAGTGACCGCAACTTTGCTTGGGAGTGGAGTTTTTTTTTATACTTTTATAATTTTTTTTAATATAACTGTAAATCAACCATACAACAGCAAAAACAACAAAGAGCAAGCCTCTAGTTTCCTTCATCAAACTTCATTTCACTTTCTTTTTTTTAAGTGCTTTTGAAAAATATTTTTATATAAATTAAAATAATTTTTTTCACATACTTATTACTGTAAAATTATTTTTAAAACTATAATTTGGTTTTTATAAAAACACCATAAAAATAGAAAAATAATTATCCCTCTCATGAGCAGTCCGTGACTGATACTTTTATAATGTAAATACATATACTATTAAATGGAGACTAGAGAGTATGTGAAGCTTCTACTAGAATACTAAGGGCCTGTTTGGATGCCCCAAAATAATGGTTTAGGAGGTAAAACTGTGATTTAGGTGGGATGTCACCCAAACAGCATTAATTTTGAAGAAATAATCCGAAATCATGATTTGGGCCAAAATCATGGTTTTGGAGCCCAAAACCATGGTTTCAGGATAAGTAAATCAATTCTGCTTTTGGCTCAAATTAGAGAGTATGATTGTGCCTGTCAGAGTAGATCTCAACAATAATATGATTTTAACATCTCTCGATTATTTTTTTAATAAACATATTTAATCTTATATCTTATAAATATATATACACATATTAATTATTTATGAATTATATTATCTTATGTATTATTAATTATGTTGGTAAAAAATATATTATTAATAATTTTATTCCTTCAAATTAAAATATATCATAAAATCTATCTTTTATGTAATTATCATATTAACTTATGCCTTTTTTTGTAATTTGTATATATAAAAAGTGTTTCTGATAACAACTATCCAAACACTTTCACTTCTTAGAATCACTTTTTTACAAAATCTATTTTTGACAAAATCTATTCTCTCCAGAATCTATTCTCTAAAAACTATTTTCTAAACCATGATTTGGTTTCATCCAAACACCCTCTAAATACACTGCAAGAATCAAAACTTAATTTTATCTCCATTCTTCTATTATTGCACCTCCATTTTCATAAAAACTCTACCACGACAGCATGGTGCAAAGCATAGAAACCCAAATCACATTTCCTACAAATTAAGGAGGATGGAAAATAAAATTCTTGCTTGGAAAAAGTCATTTAAAAAATAAACACACTCTATTAGGATTTGTTTGAATTAATTTCGGTAAAAGTGACTTGTATTTTAACTTGTAAACTGAAATTTGAGTAAAAATTAATTTGTGTAATGTCGTTTTTGTGTAGAGGTATTTTTATACAAACATCAATTTGACAAAAATTTTGACAAAGGCTAATCTCCTCATAAATAATCCTGAATTTTGCTTTGTTTTTTGGACTTTCGAACCCACGGCTTTGCTGGGAAATAAATCTTTCTGACCATTTTGCGCCCACCTCCAAAATTGAATCTCCATTTTGCCCTCTTTCATTCAACGACATTTATGATTTATCCCTGCCTCCTCCCACCCATCTCGACGAGCTGCTCTCTCACCGTCAGTCGTCGAATAACCACATGCCCCCGTCACTCTGCAGCTCAACTCAAGACCTTCTTTATACTCTCACCACGACCAGCATTTGACGGTGACAGCCGAACATCAAGACCATCTTCGTCCTATCTTTTCTTTATTTGCAGGATCATTGGCACCATTTCTTCCTGACAAATCCGCCAAGGTGTTCTTCCTGAAAAATCTGCCATTATCCGTCCACCATTTGATGTTATGTTCTCGAATTTTTGTCCTGATTGGATTTTACGAATTTTTGATGTTATGATTTTTTGAAATTGGACCTAAAATCTGGAATTTCAAGCGAATAGTAACCCGTAACTTTTAAATTTTTAATCTATGGGCTTGCAACGCGATTCACCTGTCTGGTTGGGGTTTTGAATTTGGGCACTCTGAAAACTTTAAGCTTGAAATATAATACTTTTTGTTTCTAGCAGAAAGTCTTCATTCCTGCTTACCGAGTCAACTTTGATGTATGTGTTTATGCATGCATGTTTGCAATTGGGTAAGTTGAAATTACGTAATATTTAGCTTCCATTATTCAAAGTGATGGAACATATTTGTGTATTGAACAGTGGTGATGATGTTGCCAGCGAAGAGTAATATTTTGCTTCCATTGTTTGTGGTTGATGACATTGAAGAACGTGACTCGTGTGTGTGTAAATATGTTTGTTAGTTAAGGAAATGTGAGACAGCAGGCTTGGCCATAACTGATGAGAGCGAAGGTCCAAACTCCATGTGGCCCTGCCTGCAAACTGGTCTTAATTAGGAGGACGATACTACTGTTTTTCTTTTGTTTCATTAAAGATTCTGTGCGGAGATAAAATAGTTTCTCCTATTTTGCAGGGCTGTTTAATTTAGAGAGGAAACTGGTACAAAAATGCCTTCTCTTCAAACCGCTCTGCCTCCTGAGCTGGCCAACAATGTCATTAGGGTTTGATATGATTCTTTCTTTCTTATATTTGAAACCTCAGCGTTCTTTTCTTTGAAACGTCATTTGTTTAATATTGTTGCATTACTAATTTCTTTATTTGTTGTAGCTTTATCGTGAATGCCTACGAAGAGCTAAATATATTGGTCACAGGGTATGTGTTTCTCTCCCTCATTTACACAAACTTCTGCCGTACCCCCGGTGGGTGTTTGTTGCTGCCTTCAGAATTGAATTGCGGTTCTTCTGCTGACTCTCCTTATCTCTCTTTTATTCTTCTTTCCTTTTATTGAATTTTTGTGGTATAGTCATGTAAAGAACTTGTTACTACCCTGTAGCTTTTACAGTAACTGACTATAATTGGTAACGGCGTAATGCATCCCCTCTACTCTATTGGTAAAAACATTGTTAAAGGGCGGCCAGATTATTATTTTCAAATCTTCTGATAATACGGTCGTACTTGAGGATAGCCATATATTGCAGTCATATCTTGTTTATCATAAATGGAAATAAAATGACCGGAAGTTTGTGAATTCCTGTGGTGTACGCCCCTTGAAAGGCACTTCTAGAGCTGCAATGCTGTTGTAAACTTTACAAAAAAAAAGGTGTGATACAGTAATAAAGTTGTCCAAGGTTTTTGAAGACATACACTTGTTTTCCAAAAGTTGTCACTTGTCACACAAAATGTACAAATTTGACACGAGCTACTTGTGCGTGGCACTTCACCTGAGTATGACCCATGTTTACCTCTTAAAGAGGTTAAATTCTATCTTTTAGAAGTGCACTCATGTTCAATTATCGTTTTTTTCCCTTTGGGTCTCTTGCGTTTTCATGGAGCCGAAGTGAGTCACAATGTTCATGGTTTATGAACATTGTAGTTCCCTACACCTTTTATATTTTATACTGATGATATTGATAAGTGATGCATCTCTAATGCTTGTTCTTGTAGCCTTGTATGGCTAGAACAAGATTTGTGAAACTGATTCAAGTTTTTACCTTCTTGCTTTGCAGCAACATAACACAGAACTTCTCGTCACTATGGTGAGGCAGCAGTTTAAGCAACACATGCATGAGACGGATCCTGAGAAAATTCAAAGTCTAAAGGACAAGTAAGCTTTTGCTTTAGTTAGTTGTATATTTTCTAGTCTAGATTCCTATCTTTTGCCAGTTCTTTTTGTTACTGGGCCCCGGGGGGGCATGTTTGGACGTAAGAACATATGCAGTTGATGCAATGCATGTCTGCATGACCGTGTGCAAATATTATTCTTCTGCATGTCTTCAATTTAGAGCGCAAAGTGATGCACATTTTGGCTTTTGCAGTGCTGCAAGAGGACTTATAAACCATATACTGTACGAGGCAGAGACAATGTCTGGTAAAAAATTCAGTCAGAGCCCTAAAGCCACTTAGTCTGCTTCGACCAATACAGGTTGCTCATCAATTCACACGAGTGTAGATCAACACATTATGATCGAATAAGATAGTTAAGGAAGTGCAGTGGTTTCTTATTTCTCGTTCATGTTCAAGAGCACTGAAGATGTTTTTAGTTAACTTCCAAGCGATTCAGTGTCGAAATCAATCCTAGGTTTTTGCTATTTGGCTAATACTGAATATAGAACCTTACCTTCCTGAGGGTTGTTTATTTGGAGGAAACTCAGTTTCGGTTTTTATATTTTGTTCTCAGCTGTTTCAATATCAAAATGATATGTTAGGTGCCGTAAGCTTATAATTTTTCCAGCGTGTTAAGTGATTGAAACCTTATGTTTCTTTACAAAAGTCATATTTCAATTATAAAATTTCATAGAATAGATAAATTGGAGGATGATTTAGTGACCTGCAATTGAAGTTGAGACTTGATATTTAAAAGATCAGATTGATTGGAGGACAATTTAGTGATTGTAAGATTTAGAAAATATAGTCTTGTTTGGAATTATGATTGTAAGCACTTATAAATACGTTCTATATAAGTAGAGATAGAATTTTTTTCATATGCTTATTTTATATTTTATAAATCATGATTAAAAAAATATTTATAAATCATTTTAAACAGGTCATATGTATTTAGTATTAATGTAAGAGTTCCCCCCCCCCCAGTCTACCATCAACTTGGGTGAGTGAATGGGTACGTTATGTTTATTTTAGTTATGAAATATTAATAGGCAAATTTGTAAATTGAGTTAAACTTTGACGTGATAATAATTTGTTTCAATTAATATTTCAAACATTTGAGGGATCAGTATGGGAGTATAATGTTTTTCCCACATATGTCATGCATTATTCTTGTGCTTACGTACAAGTGCACAAAAAAACATGTTCACATCCGTCCTTTACATCAATGCTGAGTGTACGCATTTGTGCGCATAACGTAGGTGTTGCCCCTTTGCGTGTGGAAGAGAACGAAAACTGAACTGCTTTCAAAATGAGAAAAAGACATTCAAAAATTTCAGTTATCATTTCGATTCATCCACTTAATTTTTTATAAAATTCCTTATTGGATCCATTAGAACTAATCCAATTTTTTCTAAAAAAATGAAACAGTTTAATACAAAAATCCACATGCCTCCAAAAATTACCGTCGGTACTTGAATTGCCTCAAAAACACTATTTGGCATTGTGCTGGGCGGCCACTGGTCAGAAAAGCTGAACTGGGTACCAAATAAAAACTTCCAAGAGAAAATGGAATATCAGGGTCAGTACCTGTCTCCATAATGATATAAACGTACAAGAAGAAACAATCAGAGTCACCTCTTTTCACACAAGCTCCTCACACGCTGCACAACACGGACAAATTCATAAAACAAGGAAAAATCGAAAGCGATGTGAGTCTGACTCTGATTTTTGGAGCTTGAGCAAGAAGACGGGTTCTGGCAAATGACCAGGTCAATACCACCAAATCTTTTGATCATAGTGTCAAGCCTGCTACTCGTGAGCTTTTGAACTTCTTCAATCTGAACCAACTCCCCCGTTTGTCCAGAAGTCTGCCACCATCTCTTCAGAACCTTCCTCTTAGCCTCCGAACTCTCAACCGATACAACATTCTTTATCTTGATCCCAAGACGGTGAAGAACAACTTCTGCCCCACCAATCCCACTAAAAATTGACAACATCGTCAATCCATCAGGGAACATGGCCTTCAACACAGAAAGATGATAACCCAACGCGTCTGTCTGAAAGCAGTATTTTAGTAGATTGAGTCTTTCTCTCAAAGTAATATCAGGAATACGGGTATGATGCAATGGATAGCCTAAGATAACCTCCAAATGTTCGGGCTCTATAGGACCCAGTTTGTTCTTGCCAACCCAGACAAGATTTAGCTTATGGCAGTGATGTAGGATGTCTTGCTTCTGTTCAGAAGTGAGTACTCCACTAGAACTAGACAGGGTCCTTCCTAATCTATCACAATGTTGTGCTATTTCACTGGTTTCACAACTAATGCAGCTCAACTGCTTCCTCGAATCCCAAGATGGCCACCATTTCCTTGTGAGTGGTATTGCATCAGCAATAGTCATAGGAGGCGATGGGAGGATGCGGAATCTGTTTTCAGTAGGAAGATTGTGTACATATCCTTCTTTTCTACTCACGGCTGAAAAGAACTGAGTATTCACAAATTCAGGTTCAAGAGCATACAAGAACTGAGAAATCTTTGCCCACGAGTCATAAGATATGCTTGCTATGTTTCCATAAAAGAAATATGGAGGTTTCATTACTACTCTGTTAAGACACCTGGATGGATTTGGTTTGTAAAGCTTGGGCAGTCCACCAATGTCAACATCAACTTTCTCTTCCACCCAATCAGGATCAAGAGGAGATGTCGAGACATCATAATGTTCCTGCTTTGGCCTTTTACTGACATTATTTTCCTCAAAGCTGGAATACTCCATGCTAGAATTAGCACCAGGAAATTCATCAGCATACTCATCTTTTACCCTTTTACCATGAAAAGTTTCCTCTAAGTTGACATCCCTTGACTGTGAAGGTTCATGGCCAAAGTTCTCTGTTTTCACTTCTTCTGAGCCATTTAACTCTTCTGTTTTGATCCTCATAGAACATGAACTAGAAGCGGTGGGATACTAGACAAACGAGAAATTCCATCATTTAGGGACTAACTGAATAGTAAAGAAATTATTACAGTACTACCATAATGGTCAGCATAAAACAAACCACTGTCTTTCATAAAAGTCACGCTTGGTGAAATTTCAATTCAGTGTGGAATAATTAAGAAAATGCTACGCAAATTTGATTCTGCAAAATAAGCGTGTCAAGCGGTATGAAGAATTTAGGAAGATTTTCAAATCTAAGATAAGGACTATCCTTTTCAGGGAATTATCGAGGAAATCTTGTAGGTTAAGTGAATACCAAGTAAAGAAAATAATTTTTATAGTTATGATATCAGTATAGGTCAAGGGGTGAGTTTTACACCATTGTTGGGTGCTACAACAAGAACAACAAGCCTTATTCTGTTGGGATCGGCTAATTACCCCATTATTGGATATTTCAAATATTATGTTTGAAGGGAGATTTTTTTTCTTTTTCCCTTCTAGTTGTAAAATTTGATGTTACAAAGTACCAAGAGAAAGACGAGTTAACTGCAAAAAGTAAATAATTAAAGAAATATGAAAAGTAGGATAAGGTATAACCTTACACACAACATAATCGATGCCATTTTGCTCTGCTACAATACAGTTCGCAAGCTCTATTATAGGAGCCTCAGTACCTGAGACAGCGAATTAGTAGATGCAAGATACAGAATTAAAAGCAAACAGCAGTCCCTCAAAATGGGGAAAAAACATGAGGGCCTGCACATGACATTTCCAAATTCAAATGCGAAAGAACATGGAGAAAATTACCAGGTCAATACAGAGCACATAAAACATAGAAGAGCTAAATATTTGCTCTAACTTATAGAAGACATTGCCATAGCAGATACTATCAGTCCAACAACTACCCCAATGGTGTCGTCCCATAACCCAAAGGACATTAGGTAAACGCTTTTCAAAGGAAAGACAGTAAATATAACCACAATAACTGGAGTTTGCAGGGATAAACCATTATAATTGTTACTCACCTAGCTTATCAATTGCTGATGATACTTCACTCTCAGAGAAACCCATTTCAAGTAGCTGAAGGGTTTTCTCCATGGTCCCAAACAGTTTTTCATTATTAACCTGAGATCCAACATTTAACAATCAGCATTAGATGCATAGACAAGACACATAATAATGAAATAGGCATGGAACAATTAGGCGTCATTTGTTTTCGTGTCTAATGGGCAAAGAGGTTGAGATTTAGCATTAAATTTAAATTAGCCAAATCGAAAAAACCTGTAGAAAGACCATTCAAGTGTATCAAATATGAAGACCTCATTTTTTGTGTAAATAATGGCAACATCGTCTTTTTCTTTTTCAACATTTTTGGCAATCTGAGCAGCAACTATAACATCCACCAACCCATGAATTGAAGCATTATCACCTGACACAAAATGACAAACGACAAACAATAAATCCACACAGATATAAGGAACATCTAAATGTAGATGAGAAGCCTCCTTTAACATTGAAATGCTATACAAAGCCAAGGTAGAACATTCAGATCTCAGAACACTACTACTTCATTTCTGAAATACAGTCGGATACATGTCATCTATTGAGAAATATGTTTAGATGGAACTCCAAAGGATCATGACAGTATAATTATCTAGGTGTTAGTGAGTTTATTATTGTTTAAGAGCCTTACAATTATCTCCAATCATTCTCTTAAGGAGCATCTCTTGTAGTTAATCTCAATTTTTAAGTGTTACAAATAAAAGAATAAAGGAATTGAATGACTAATGTATCCCTCCCAATCTCAAGGTTAAGCCTTGAGGTCAATAACGTGCTCTCTCTAGTTTCTTTTCAACAACTGGAAACCAATTTCTAACCAATTAACACAAATTCTTGATGAAGCCCTGGGTCATGATGGTCTTTCAATAACTATGTTTAGTAGCTACTAATACTATCTCCAATTTTTAATATAAGAGCTAGTTAATTAATTTAAGCAAATTAAAAAAATTTGTTAAGTTAGTTATTTATAATAATTAGGTGTTGTCTTTCCTAAAATCCCCTTGCTAATCATATGTATTAGCTAAAATTACCATTTGATGGAACTTTTACCATGTGCAACCACTATAAAGACTACTTTTAAAAAATTGGATAAATATGAGAGACAAAATGGATTAGGGTCTTATATTTAGGACAAAATTAAATATCAAACTAGCTCTTATATTAAGGACCGGAGGTGATATCATATAAACGGAAACCTCAAGGGTAAACTTTTTTCTCAACGGCAACGTTGAGATGCGCTTAAATTGTTCACCCAGGATTTTTTTGTTCCACTCAAGAGGATCTTGTCCTTTACTCTTGTCCCTGTTTCTCACTTGTCTCTATTATTTTTACTTATTTTTTAAATGCTATATCAGAGTTTTATGTGATCTCCTCAGCTATGAAAAATGGAACCAACAATATGCGTTTGCAGTGTGGTTAAGACAGCATAAGCAGCAACAAAATGTAGAGGCAGTCCTATAATACTAAAAGAAAATCTATATTGATCATGCATAAGCAGCAGCGAAGGTGACAGATCTACAAATACATACCAAGCTTCTGGATAGCAAAATCTACTTCTTTCACGGAGAAGTTCATCCTCAGTAACGAAGCTCTTCTATCATCATTAACCGCACAAAGCTCATCGAGCTCCTGCAGAAGAGATTATGCCTAGGAGAGTCAAGTTGATATGGAAGAAATAGATGGCATATCAAGACGCATGATACAAGAGAGTGAATTGTACAGCCAAGTGAATCTAGATTTTAAAAGAAAAATAATTTGGGTCAGAGAGCGGCAGATGCAATAATACTAATGACAGTTGCAAGGTGAAGTCTGAAGCATATATTGCTGAGTCAATAGCAATTGAGAGTGTAAAAGTTCATATTTGTTGATGCTTTTGGATCTTTGAAATAATGCAGTCTTGCATAAGCTGGGCCTTTTAGAACTCAACTGAATTAATTAATGTCAACCATATTGGAGTAATTAATCAAGTCCGCCAAGGCTGGTGGTCACTTTTCTTTTGTTGGTTCTACAAACTCAGAAAAAGGTGCAAGAAAATCCCAAAAGTAGTGACACTTATCAGTATTTCTCTGAGGATGATGTAGAAGACACGAGAATAATAAAAGGATTAAATCAACATATAATTGGAAATTTAATGGAATAATTTTAATATTTATTAGCTAAGCTAGTTGCAAGAACTAAATGATACTTGACAGGAGATTTGATATGTGAGTATGCGTATCATGAAAAGTATGTTTACTAAGGTGTTCTTCAACAAGAGAAAAAGATAACCTCGTATTTTCACTAGAAAAAAATTATGCTTAATTCATAAGGAAGGATTGTTAACAAGGTGTAGGATAAGATTGGAAATTTTTGAGATGTCGATGAAAACAAACACACACTCGTTCTCATACACACCCACATAACAGGAAATTCAACAAGTTTTTCTCCTTTGGAACAAAAATAAATATCTTTGATAGATCAGAGCTATTAATCCATGTATCATAAAGAGAGCTTTGACCATGACAAGGAACACTGGTAAAAATACAATGGTCAGCAAAGTATTACAGCATGAAATAGAGAAATAATAAATAACTTTTCTTAAGATCCAAAACAGATATTGATCACAGCTACTGCAATGCTGCCCTAACTAGTATTGGTAACAAGCCAACTTACACGCCATTGATAGAGTGTCATTCAAATGCTAGATAAGAGAAGCAGAAGCATCCAACAATCATTGCCACCACATTAATGAGGAAATCAACTAAATATAAGAGGCAAATACCTCTTTTGGACTAATGCCAGAGGAGATTTCTGGAGTATCCTTATCACCAAATAAACTATCCAGAGAATCAGAAGACTGCGAATTAGATTTTTCAAGAGCCTGTGTAATTACAAATCAAGATGCATAGCAGTCATTAGCAAAAGGAAAAAAATGAATAGTAGTAAAAACTTTTAAGCCACGCATTTACTAATAATTAATCCATCAAAATATAATTGAAAGCCAAGCTTTTCCTTGAAGCATTTCTCCATAGAAAAAGAAATTATATTAGAAGGTGCTATATTGAATCCATAATTATCAGCATATCTGTCAGCCCTGAGAACTAATAAAAAATTCTCAGCACAATAAACCCACAGAAAAACTACAGCTTCTACTTATAATTATAGTAATAACTATCTTCATTCTCGACCACATGACAAACAATTATACTTACAGAATATGCAAAGAGAGTCTCCAATAACTGGTCAGCATCGCCCTCACCTATAAGTTTGAAAAAAAATGCTTGTTCTTGTTAATTTCAAGTTAATCACTCAGAACTTGGTGCAGATAAGAGTGCCTTGCTCAAACAAAAAGTACCATTTTCCTTAATCACTTTATCAACAAGAGATGGTAGGAATCCCATTCCAATAAAGAATGCTCTTAAATTGCCTCCGGATGAACTTGCAACATTGTCCTGGTATTTGCAAGACAGTGACTAAACATAAGTAAATTGAAGGAACAATGCACAGCAGTCAGTAAATTGACATCATAAAAAAGTTCAGAGATAAATTCAGGTAAGAAGAGGAGGAAATGTCACATCCTCCAATGTAGCTCTATCATAGATAAAAAAGTATATTAAGTTATGTCGGCAACTGAATAAGCCTGAATCTTGGGCCCATCTGCCCTATTATATAATTTTGTCTCATTAACCATTTAGTTATCTTCAGTTCATATATTTAGAGATTTGACATAATGACTTTCTTTAGCTCCTTGATTATCAGGATTGAATTGCAGGCTTGTGGCCTCCATTACCATCAGTTTCTACTTGCAGGTTCAGCGTGATATGGAACAAGAGACTGCTGCCACTTCTAGAACTTATGAGAAGAAAATACAGAAATTATTTAAAAAGCCACCCCATCTCAACTACTGATCTTTTACAAGCAAATGCATCTCTAGCTGAATAATCCATTTTCACCATCATTTTCTCTTGAGAAACACTTGCAATTCTTTTGAATTTTCACAATACTATCAAGCTCAACATCAGGAAGCTAAAGACAAAGCTCAAAAAATTGAAGGTCAAATAAAGACACGAGACATAGAATATCACAAAATAAAATAAAGAAAACACAAAATGACTGAGTACAATTGTCTCACTGAAGGCCTGTATTGACAAATCCACAACATACCCCAACATCCCTTGGGCAGATCGTATAAGGTGGCAATTCATAATCCAAGACTTCAGTCTTTGGAATCACCATCCGTTTGCCTTCCATGTCTGATGAGCTGTTTTTATTCAAATTTCCTACCATTTCACCTGCAGAATTAAGCATTAAACTATAAATGCATTCATAATTCATCTTAAGTTAATGCGCGCTTCATACCTAAACAAACCCATAAAAAATCATGCCTAAAATAAAAAGTTAATGCGTGCTTCTAAAAGTCATTCAGGAAAAAAATATCATTGGAGAATCTAATGGGAGACTATCCAAGACAACAAGAAACTAAGCAGATGTGCCCTTTTCTAAAACCCTAAAGTTAACATCAAGAAATAAAATGCCCTGCAGAAGTTCCTCTTGTACAAAGTTAGTCGCGGAATCTAAGAATACCAGCTAACAATATCCGCTCGTTTTTGTTGTGCTGAATACATTTTCCCAAGCATAAGAATCATAACTCCAGTACGTGCAATGCAAAGTCACATCCCAAGCATTTGGTAGGTGTTCGACAACCATTCTTGTGACTGCAATGAACTTGGACTCCATGATATTCCATGATATCGTATCATAATCTTCATGAACATGCAATGATTAATTCAATTCTTGCCTCGCCCATTATTAAATCAAAATCCAGGACAAAAGTGGCGAGCCCAATCCTCTCGTCAACACCAAAGGACTTTGTTGTGAAAGGCCGTGAAAGAAATATATACCATTCTCCGGCATGGAAGGCCGCACCTCACAACTTAAATCCTGCTTTATAATAACTAGTCCTCCATGGTAGATATTGGATCACGTGTTAAAATAATCACTGCAAATTCAAGTTGCATATAACCTGTCTAAAGACTTGAAGAGTAAAGTTCATATATTTAAAGCAAAAAACCAATACTTTAAAGTACCGAGCTTGAAAATAACCTAGCCCAGTGAATAATAAGCCAAGCAAATACTTGGACTCTGCCTAGGTAAAAAATCTTTCTGTCGTCTTTGTTTCCAATCAATTGTTGAGAAAATTCAAAACCAAGAACCCAGAACGCATGTCGCATTATACCTTTCTTCCGACCAGCATCCAATTAGGCGGAGTCGAAGCTGCAAAATTGCAAATGAGACAAATCAGAGAGTCTAATGCGAATTCCTCGAGGTGAGACATATACGCTCAGAAGTGCAATGGGGCGTGCAAAATCGTCGCTCGAAAAAAAGAAAAAGGAGTTGTTCTGACCTACAGCGCGAAAGCGATCCCCAGTCAAGTCAGCAGCCAACAGAAATTTATTGCCTATAGACAAAAAAAAGGGGGGGGGGGGTATTGACTATTCACTGTTTTCACTGTTGGCTAATTGTTGTAAAGTAGTAGTACAAGTGTGTTCAAGTTTTTTTATTTTTTTTTATTTTTTTGATCAGCCAGTGTAGCGTGTTCAAGTCTTCAACATTGAAGTTTCGCTCTGCACAGCAAGGCTGGCCGCCAAACCCAGGAAATCCAACGGATAGAATTACTTCTCGAGATCGAACGGCTACCTATGCTCAGTTACGTGGCGCCCAACCTCTTTTCACGATGAAGTGAAGAACAACCTGCGTGAGTTCTGACTCCCGAGTTCTTACTTCTGAATTCTGCTCCTCGGTTTCACACTGCTTTTTTTTTTTTTTTGAAATAAAGGCAATTTATTTAACCAGATAAAACAAGTACAAGATTAAGGCCGGCCTGCTAAAATTGAATAATTTGAGCGAAGTCTATTTACATCGAATTGATAGGTCAATCCAGAACTACAAGAGCAGAAAAGCAAACATAAAAAACAGTCGGCATGCAAGATGGGAATTTGCTTTACTCCTTTCTCTCAATGAACAAATCGGACCCAACTTCTTCAAACAAGCTTCCTGAAGCCCATGATTCGATCCTCACCCCTTGAACCTCCATTCAGGATCAGCTTGAGAGCTCCAACATCTTAGGAAAGTCTTACTGCGAACACTCGCAAAGCTCTTCCTAATGAGTAATGCCATCACGAGGCATCGATCTATCCCGATGTCTGCATCCTTAATGATGTTGAAAGAAACTTTGGTGCCACTGACTAGAGATATTAAAGTAGTGTCTAGCATGACTCTTTGCTCAGAGAGGCCAAGACGAAGCAGATGACAAGAGCAGACCACAAGCTAACCAGCTATTGAGTAAATCTTGGTGGGTGTCATAATGGGCAAAGCATATTACCCACAAAGAACCAGTTGCCTCCACATACCACACCAAAACTCATGCAGATAAAAAAGTTGATAACAAAAACACAACAGACAGAAAATAAAAAGACCCCAAAATTGCAAGGCAGCATCACTGCAAGATGAGCCTCTAGGTGGCTGCTCATAACCTTAGAGGTCCTCGATACAATTATGCGTATGTACAGAGCTTTTTGACACAAATTCCCCAGGAATCCTAAAAATGACCATGAAGCTCATCTCGTAGATGCTTTCTTGTAAAGCAACGATGCTTCATACTGTAAAAACTCAGCGCCTTGGGTATAATGAGTAGCTTCCATCGATGCCTCTTTATACTCAGGAGATTTACTAGCGACAGGTTTTAAAGCTTTTGCATGAAAGGGTCGTCGTTGTCGCTCCTTGGTTACTAAACAAGAGGCATGGAAAGCAATGTAGCTTGGAGAAACTAGCTCGGCTCAGCTCCACAATTTCACTTCTACGTAATAAATTATTTTTATAAAATCTTCAAAATATATATATATATAAAAATCACTTATTTTTTAAGCTGAAGCAAAACTGCAAAAGTGATGAACTGATTGTTACAATGGTATTTTTAAGAAAGACGAGGATATTTCATAATAAGCAAAAGAACTGTAAAATTAATCAGTTTGAAAAACGAATTATCTTACCGTTACGAAAGTCGGAGCCAAAACAACTCGACACATAGTATATAAACGAATTAAAGAAGTTGGGGGAAAAAAAATAAGCACTCTTACATGCCCATTGACTCATCCATGAATGTTTTAGTGCAAGCTCGATTAATCATTGTGCATTTAAAGCCTGGCCTTTTCATAAATCTAATCAATTTTTATCAAATCCAATTGAAAGTAATCTTATAAGCCTTCCCAATGATTGAAGCTGTTGTTCACCCTCCTCAGATCATCTCTACAACATTAGAAATTCCTATCCCAGTAGTCAGAGTAAATTAAATGATAAAAGCAGAAACTAGAACATGCTAGATCCCATTGAATATGAATAGCACCAATTAGAATAAACATAAAAGAAGAAACACTGTTAAATTCTTCAAAATAAATCCCTCCTCCATTACATTCAGTCACCTTAAGCAAACCAATGTAAGGTAAATTTAGAGAATAAACAGAATGATAATCTTGCAAATGGGTGGGCACAGAGTCGCAAGTTACAGAAAATTCAAACTGACTTCGAAGTATGGCTTTGGACGAAACAGCAGCAAAAAGAAACAATAGATTCACTTGTATCTTGACTGCAGAAAGGTAAAAACGCAAGAGGTTACACTACATCATACCCGCTTCAGAGGCAGCAGCACCACCATGAGCCCAGCCCTTTGGCATCAGAATGACGTAGTAAGAGGCAATGGTGGGGACTGAACCAGAAAAGGAAGACAAATTTCAAAAGATGGAAAAGAAACTCAACTTCCAGACACTTCTCTTTTCTGTTTTTTTTTTTTTTCTCTTTTGACAAAGTATTTAGCACTTGTAAGGCATGGACCAGACAGACGTTAATTCATTTTCAAACAAGGTATAGGCATCGTTATGGCCCAACATTAACGCTGGGATGCAGTCTTAACAGAAGATCCTCCTTTATCCAGTTGTAACGCTCTTGGATCAAGTGGGATACTCCCAACCTTCAAAATCCCAGATGAACCGGCATACCCGTTCACTTTGACTTGCATTGAGCCAACTGTTAGAACATCAGCTGGTTCTTTGTTAGCAACACCAACCGCAGGGGGCTTAGGATCAACCGGTTTTGGGGTGATGGTGACTGAACCAATCTTCAATGTAGAGGAAATATCTCCAGTGTCAACTGCAATTTTATCAGCTTTGTCATCTACAGATTGTGGACCGTTGACATCAAGATTACTAACAATCTGCCCAGGGCTTGAATCTGAAGTCTCATTAAATCCATTTGAATCATCAATTAGCTTAGAAATCTTCTCTTCTTTGCCAGGAGGTGTCTCAACAACAAAATTTAATTTCCGGGGTGGTTCCAATGTTGGTATGAACAATGGACCCTCAAAACTTCTCATAAGTAATTTGGCTTTCTCTTCCTGCATGATCTTCTGACGATTTTCATAATACATAAAGTCGTCAAGCAAAGATGTCTTCAAATTATGATTTTTGAATATCTTCAGCATTTCCAAACCTTTTTTGTAAATTATCTGCGCATAAACAGACACATTTTATAGTCAAAGTAATGACAGATAAAATGATAGAACTAATAAAAATCTCCAATGCACATCACGTTCAAATAAAACCACGATATGACTGTAGAAAAAAACATGAAACAAGCAGAGAAAAAAGGTGTTAAGAGTAACAGATATTGTCTTAAATTAGGAATGAATTATAGAACATATTTGGGATTGACTTCTTTTCATAATATAAACAGCTAAATTAATACAGGAAAATAATAAAATATATCCACCTTGAACACAATCAAATATGATAAACAGCTGTAAGTTTATTGAGAGAATTATTGAAGCACTTGAAGGTCTCAAAACCCTACTCCAGTCGCAGGTAATCTTCATCAAAAGGATGCCAAATTGCAACAGGAGTAACAGTAACAAAATTAAAACAAACTTCATGTGGGGTGGATGAGGTGCAGAAAGGTTCAACAAACCTACAACAGCGACACCACTGTTTAACATAAAATGACAGCTTATAAAGAGTTCTCTACCTCTTGTGTATCTCTACTATTAGTCACTGGCTTGTTCTCATTGTTCTCAAGTATAATGTGCCTAAAATTTGCATTCGGCACATCTTTGATGATGTGCCACTTTACAGGGAAGCTGCCACTCCATTTATCCTGCTGCCAAAAGTCCATATCCTTATTATAGTCAACTGGGCCTACCATCTCTGCAACACCACAGAATTGTCCACTGGCATTAACCTGCATGGAAAAATAATCAACAGTAAGGATGGAAAAAGATGTGACAGACTTGCACAGAGATTTTATACATTATAAAAATAGGGGGGAAAGAACTGCAACACATTGAATGCATCAGCACAATAATAACTTACAGAAAAAAACAAAAAAATAGGACAGCCTCCAGTTTTTCCCCCAGCTATTTTCTTTGCATCTTCATAAACACTCTGCAGTTTCTTGTTTCCATGAGGTGTTGATGACCAGACATTATATTTAATGCTTTTGTGAACATCATCCTCGCTGTATGACTTTATGACAAAGAACTTGGCATTTTCATATTCAAGAGGAAAATCATCCTTGTTATACTGATCTGTATAGATGGTGATGTTCCCCTGTGCATTACTGTCTCCTGCCTTGGTTGTATAGGCTTTCACAGTCAATTGATGCTTTGATTTATTGATCCTAGGACCTCGATTTTGTTCACCCAAAGCATCAGAACTTCCATTTACATCACTTGGCACTTTGCCAATGTGAATCTTTGGTCTAAATTTACCGACAGCAGATTGCCCATTAGCACTGGAACCAAAATCAGAAGATCCGGTATTTGAAGGAAGAGCCACTTTCAATTGATTATGATGAGATAAAGCGTTCTCATTTGAAATATTATCTACAGATTGGATTGAGGCACCAGCACCTCTAGCCTACAAAACAAAAGGCAAATATAACCATAAAAGGACCATTTTACGAAATTCTGAAATTTCAAAGAGCAAAGGATCCAAGGTAAGCCAAAAGCAAAAGGCACCCTTAAGGGTACTCGACCTCTAAAATGCCTTAAACATCGCATTAACATAAGAAGAAAATAGGATATATAAACAAAACGTAGAAAATGATATTTTCAAATAACATTTGACATGTAAATTTAACTACCGAAGCATAATAATCATCAAATGCACCAAGTCATTAATATTATTACTCAAGAATAATAATCATTAAATCATATTATTAATTGCACTCATAAAGTCATTGCCATAAGTCAAAGTATATACTTAACTAACTCAAACTATCAAAATTGGCGTGGCTGCAATCCCTTATAGGTGACTTTGTTTGTTTGTTTTTTTTTTTTTTTTTAAGCAAAACCATAGCCTAAATAATATTTTCATATAAGAATAAGTATTCTGCCTCATTCTTAAATCAAATCTCTAGCTCTAGGTTGGACTTCTAAGACAGGGCCGATGCGCAAAATCTTCCCTTTCTGCTTCAAAACACACAAAGACATCCAAAGTGCTAGTCTGGAAGAACAGAAAAAAGTGAAAAGGTGCCTGCATGGTAGTACTTGGTATGGTTAATGCCTCACATGGTGTGAGAAGCAAGCACTAGACTTCAATAGCATGTTGCCTCATCATCTAAAGAGCTGAGGTGAGCGCCCCAAACCCCCCACCTTTTTTCAATATTAATAGAATACCTGAACTTTAACCAAACATGGGAGGAACTCCTACCTGATGAACTGGTGAAGCCAAGTTGAGAAAACCACCGCCAGAAACACCACCATGTGTCACAGCTTGCTTCCCACTTGCATTAGCTCTAGGGCCTTCTGATATCCTGGTCAAGGAACTTGCCTGATTTGATAAATATTTTGGAGAGTTCATATTAACAGCACCAGAAGCTGAATTGAACTTATGTTTCAAACCTCTTCCATCAGATCTACCTCCAGAAGCACCAGTATCAAACGCGGAGTCAACAGAACTATCTGGAAAAATGTCCGGTTGAACAACAAGAGGAATGTAAGCAGGTGAAGAAACAGGGTTTTGATAATTGGGGAGGGTATAATACTGATGTGCCCCCCCAAAGGGGCCATCAACTCCTATCATAGCACCAGGAATGTAAGGATTGTAAGGATTGTATGGAGACTGTGCATATCCATAATTAGGTGTATAATATACATAAGGCATACTTTCATTCTGAGCACCCTGCAGAAGAAACAAGACCGTTTAGATCAATGGCTCTGACAAAATAGGTCCAAAATTGTTAGGGAAGCAGGGAGTGGGGGAAGAGAGAGGAGTTCTACACACCGTATACTGGATATCAGGACCATCTGCGCTAAAAATCCTATTGTGGTCCTCCCATTCCCCGGGTGGTTCAAATCCTGGCAACCAAAAATGGGGGGGAAATTACATATGAAGACACTACCATAAGATCCATCTGAAGGACAAATACAAAACCTATTATTCACCTGTACAGTAATACCCATAATTGGTGGCAGCAGGGTAATACATATTCTGATCAACAACAAATTCAGGGACTCCTTCGTTGTACATGACTTCAGATTGCTCAAGATTTGGGCTCCTCAAATGTGAGTTTAAAACAGCACCTTCAATCTACAAGTAAAGTAATAAAACATTGCTGACCATCATACAAATAACATACAAAATGCTTAGGTTCAGCAAATTGCCAAATTATTAAGCAGCCTGCATATGATAAAGGTCAAGAAACACAAGTTACAAGAACTAAAAAATTTACCAAGTAAGAATCTGGGTTTCTAGTTTCAGAAACATCATACATTTCCATATCAAAACTGCCACCACTGCATAATGCAATAGACAAGAATAAGCTCACAAAGTAATTAAAATTCAAAACAAAAAAAGAAGGCAAGAAATAACATTTTCCAAGAATCTGATTTCCGTTAAAAAAAAAAAAAAGTTCTTGTGTATGTTTGGAAATCAGTTGGTCTTGGTCAAAACTGTGAATGTAGCTTTGTCTTGAAAGGTGCATAAGCCCATTTCCAACGGATTTCCAAACAGCTTTAACATGCTATAATCTACAAGACTATAATATGTAGATAAATAAATAAACTCATGAGCCACTTCCTGGAAAGCACCTATTCTTCAAAACGGGCTATATGTGACCTACATGTAACCAAGCTCAGTACACATCCTAGTACCTAGCCAAGGAGCACCCAAGTTAAAAAACATGAAAGATAAAATACTTCCATAACGAATAGAGCTTAATGTTTCCAGATGAAAGCTTGGACACCTCACAATAATGCTTCACTTTAGCTATTCAAAAACAAGCCTTCTCAATCTTAGGGAACAACTGACACTGTATTCTGACTTTCTCTTGCATTCCTTCTCGTCTCTGTTCTCCATGATTGTACACAACGTTCAGCAAATATCCACTCTTTCTCTCAACTCTTAATGAACTGATACAGTAATTTTAATACATTTTTATCTTTTCAGTGCTTGAAGTTTTCACTCGGCAGAAAGAGGCACCCACTACGAACCCCCAATTCACTCCATACTTCTACTCTATTGCTTACTATGCGGCAACAGATGCACATACTAAGAACTCCCAATTCACTCTACACTCTAATCTACCCACAATGTATTTGCCAAAAGTTGCCAAATCCTGTGTCTGTGAGTCTATGCCATACTAAAATCATAATGTCCGTGCTTCAAAGAACCACTCATACATCTAGTATCAATACTATGCAGCCCCAATGAACATGAAAGACAGAGTAACAGACACGGGCATCCCCAAAAGAAACAGTGATGTATGTGTGAGAATCTATGGAAATATATTTCACTACTCACTTCAATCTTTCTCGTACTCCCTTCATATCAACTGAATGCAGTCTATTCTCAGCGTTGGCAGTTATCTACACTATCTCTAACTCTAAATGCACACCTCATAGATAGTTTTAAGCTGTGTTAATTTCTGATAATTTAACTAGGCAGAAAATTGCCCCAAAGATGCTTCAATACACCCAAGCATAGGTGTATAATTTTCAGTTCCCCAGAACATTAATGAACACGAGAACTGCACGAGTAAGAAATACTTTTTCAAAAACTTTTTCAAAAACTGAACAGTAAACTAAACCAAAGATAAGCATACTGCTCAACTGACTACAATAGAAAACACCGGCATTAAGCATTTACACAATTCGTCTCATTTTAACTTCCAACACCAAAAATCATTATTTTTTTATGAGACACAAAACCCTTCAACAAGAAACTCTAATATCGAGGTTCTTCCACCTACAAATCAGGAAAAAGTTCATAAATTTACTAATTATGAAACAAATTTCACTACAAACACAAGAATCTAGCCAGTAAACCCAGAAAACAAACATTCACTCACAAATGCGACACTGAGTAGCCAAAGAATTAAAAAAAAAAAGAAGTAAATGACTCAAATCCACCCCAAAATAAGCCCCCTTCAAAGACCTCGCATTCGTGGAACATGACAGAAATCCACCAAATACAAGGAATGAATCAACAGAGAAAGAGAAAAGGCCAAACAAGGAGGTACCGTAGAGAAGAAAAAACCTATTGAATCAAGCCATAAGTGGCACCAAATGTTCCTTAAGATTGGAATTGAGTGCTCCCAGCAGCGAAGGAGGATTTTCCAGCAACATCCTAACAGCAAAGAAGAGATGACTAAGAAACCCTAACCATCAATTAAACCGAAAGAGCCTCTGGCGGTCTGGGCTTGTGTAAAAAAACAGAAGAGAGAGACTGTCTGTTGTCGAGAGTACCGAAGAGAGAGAAAGAGGAACAGAGAAGAAAAGAGACGCGCAAATTAGATTCCTACAATATTTAAGTGACGAAGCGTTTCGAAACATTATTAAGATTCCATCAGATTTCCGAAAATAGCCCTTCCTTGTTTTGGATGCAAGAAGAAACGCCACTGGACTAATTCAAATGGGGCAACCACGTAAAACACCAACAAGACCAAAACGGCGCCGCTTACCGTGGTTGCTTAATACGCAAGCTAGTAAGGCTTACGGTGACAGTCAATGGCACCTAAAAATCGTCCAATGAGCATCCTTCTTAATTAATTGATTTGCCCATTCTGTCCCTCCACTTTCGGCCAACAATGTCGGTGAACACAATGTCGCTGTCAAAATAGCCTAGCCCCTTTAATGTTCGGCCCAAGGAGCCAGAAATGGGGGATGATCTCTCGCCTTCTTTGCCACCGGCGACCTCATGCCATTTTTTCCAATGTTGGTACTATTTTATTTTTTTTATTTATTTTCATGTGGGTTTATTATTACTTTTTGTTTTTTTAACGTCATACTATCTCCGGTCCTAATTATAAGAGTCAGTTGACTAATTTGAGGAGATTAAGGAAGTAAATTGAGTTAGTTATTTGTCCTAAATAGGTGTTGTCTTTCCTAAAATATCCTTGTTAATCAAGTGTATTGACTAGAACTATCATTGTTAGAAGGGTTACTTTGAAAAAAATTGAGTAAATATGAGAGACAAAGTGGATTAAGATCTTATATTTATTACCAAAATAAAAGTCAAATAGACTCTTATATTAAGGACCGGAGGTAGTATTATATTTGGTCAATGGATAAGTTGCTTGGCGTGGTGGCAGTTCAAGTTACAAAAATTATAATATCTTGTTCGTTTGACCCCTTTCATTAAATGGGAGGTTCCAGAAAATTATCTAGTGTGATCTGCTTGGAGAGGGGGCCAAATTATAATAACAAAAGAAAATTCAACAAGCATATTCCATTCTTGAGGAACAAGAAATCAAACCTAAAATTTCTTTATTAAAATACTCGTCCGATCCTAAATATAAGACCCATTTTGTAGTACTACAAAATAAATTTTATATTTAGAAATACATTATAAAATGAGTCTTATATTTAAGACGGAAGAATACATGAGATTCGCGCATCTGACTAAGAGCCCAGCATTTGAGCATGCAATAAAAGAAAAATAATAATAGTACTCAAAAATTAAACACGTGAGAATTAAGGCACTTGAGGCTACTTAAGTAGTAATGGTCAGACTGAACCTGACCTAGACTAGGATTGAGCGCGTGGTGAATGGCGGTGAGGACGTAGTATTAAACAAACATGCAAATAAAGTCATTAACATAAAATTTTGAAATCATCCGCCAACTTTAAAAAAAGAAAAGGCTAAAAAAAAAAAAAACACCCTTGTTTGTTGGGTAAAGTCGCCTGAACTTCATAACCACATTGATTAAAGCCTGAGACGGCAGGAGTGAAATTATTTCATCCCAAAACTTTGTCAGAAACAACTAGGCAAAAATCATAGAGAATGCAACTTTACTTAATGGAGATGGAAGAAGATGCAACACCAGAATAGCCAGAAACAGAAGTTATTTCAGAAGCTTATTTCCAGGTTTCGTTTCGTCAGCAACCAATTTTATGTTTATTCTCATTTCCGCCACCCCAAAAAGTATGTTTATGCGTGTATGCGTGTGTGTATTCTCCAAATCTAGGGTAACAATACAGTTATTCATCTCGTTGGCAAATAATAATAATAATAAAGTTATTCATCTCATGACATAATTTTCTAATACACGGCCTGAGGCAATGAAAAAATTAGCAAGACCAAGATCCATAGAAATGCATCAGGTTAAAGTCATGTACATTTTATGCAGTGCAAATACCAGCGTTAGTCTTAATATAAGTTTCAAATAATCAAATCCCGTTTAATAAACTGGGAGTTAGAATTAGTTTAAAATAATAAACAGATCAGAAATATATTTTTCATTTTCAAATTTACCCTTATTTATTAAGAAAATAAATAACAAAAGTAATAAATGAAAAAAAATGATAAAAGAGAACGTAAAAGAGTAATATTAATTGGGGGGGGGAGGAAAAAAATAATAAATGCTCGGACTTATATGTTGAACCAAACACTTCTCTAAAAGTGAATAGGACCAGAGGGAGTATTTTCTAATATGATGACAAAATGAAGGAGAATGACCCGTGCAAAATGCACAGTACAGGGTAGATGTCGAGTTAGTTTCAGGGAAACAAAGGAAACAAAAATTACCATGATAGTAATGTGATCCGATACAAGAATGCAAGAATTGCGATTCAGTAGTCTATATCCCAATGCCACGATTGATACAACAAATAAGATCAAAATAAATGTCAACTATATATTTTAGCCAACCCAAGATTTGCTACTTCCACCGAGATGTGTGAAGCTTTTAGCAAACCTTCAGATAATCAACCTCGATTCCCGTAAGAGCATGCAAAGCCAATAATCCAAATATGTGAGAGGTTAACATAGCCAACCGGTGGACAAGTGTAGGACATACCCTTCCAAAAACGGGAGAATCAATTAAAGCACCACTCTAGACATTAGGAACTGATTGAAGGCAAGGGTCTACTGCAGCCCCTGAATTAACTGTCCCAACACTACCAGCAACAGGTAGCTGTTCCACGTGTTCACTTCCCAGAAGTGAGTTCTCCCGGGTACCAGGAGACATGGAGAACGTTCTTGGTTCAGAAGCTTCTGCTTCTTGTGCTCTATGCTCATTCTGATCAGAAACATGTTGATCTGGCCTATCACGTCTATCATGGCTGCGGCTTCTACTACGGCTGCGGCTGTAACTTTGACTCCTGCGGCCATGGCTCCGACTGGGACTCCAACTCCGGCTGTTGCTACGGCTGTAACTGCGACTCCGGCCACGAGACCAGCTGCGACTTCGACTGCGTCCCCTACTCCAGCTCCTGCTCCTGCTTTGGGTTCTACTTCTGCTTCTGCTTCTACTGCGACTTCTGCTATAATCCCATGTTCGAACCCTTTCAGGGCTGCGACTGTAACTTCTGCCTCTATTCCTGTAACCAACATCCCTTCTGTCGTCGAAACGCCCACGCCCACGCCCACGCCCACGTCCTCGCCCGTCCATGTTGTAACGATCATGAGAATTACGTTCACCCCTACCCCAGCCAACCTGACCACCTCGAGGGCCACCCATTCCCCGACCCCTGTTGCCCCTACCAGGAAAGAAATCACCTCTTCCACCCTGCGCACCTGGACCATCCCTCATGCCACCACGACCACCAAACCCACCCCCATCTCTCATGCCACCTCGACCACCAAACCCACCACCATCTCTCATGCCACCTCGACCACCAAACCCACCACCATCTCTCATGCCACCACGGCCACCAGACTCCCAACGGCCACCACTAGAGTCAAAACGGCTCATTCCACCACGATCCTTTCCAAAGTTAGATGGCCCACGCAGAGCCATCTGCCGTAACTCTGGAGGCACAAGCTGGTTAGCACCCTCCAAAACTTTAATCAAGTCACCTGCATGTTTCCAGTCCTGCTCGGAGATAAAGGTGTATGACACTCCAGTGGCTCCAGCCCTTCCTGTACGACCAATACGGTGCACATAGTCCTCAATTCCAGTAGGGAAATCATAGTTGATCACAACCCTGCAAATAGTAATTTCAGAAAATGTAATTAGTAACATATGAATGACACAAAGACCATCATAAACTCAGAAGATAACTGTAATCTAATCACCCAAATATCATATGAAAAACTAAATAAATTCCAGTTATTATAGGTACAATTACAAAGTAGCCAACCTTATATCCTTAATGTCCAGCCCCCGGGCAGCAACATCAGTGGCAACTAGAACCGGTGACTTCCCAGTCCTAAACTGATTCAAAACCCAGTCTCTTTCACCTTGAGACTTGTCTCCATGGATTGCAGCAGCACCAAAAGTACGGCCAATGCTACGTGCAAGTTGATCACATAACCTCTTTGTGGAACAAAATATTATGACCTTGGAACCTCGTTCTTGGGCTCTGATGATCTGCTCTAAACGCCTTTGTTTCTCCATTTGTGGGACAACTTCAACATACTTCAAGATTACAGTACATCAAAAGGAAAATAAGTCACCAAAAACAAATAAACCAATACAAAAATAAAATCGTATGGCAGTGATCTCTCCATAAACAATGGCTTGTACATACTGTAGAAGAAAAATCACAGGAGCATGCACAAGAGTTAAGCAGATTCCCAAAAGATCTTCTCAGCATACAGAATTTATTCATCACACAATATTTCTTACACTAATAATACTTGAAACACACCTGTCAGAGCAGCAATCAAAATTTACCAGGAAAGGAAAATACAAATTGCTCACCATAGGGGCACTAATTATTATACCTGTGTGATAGCTTTATTTGCAGCAAGCTCATCAACATTTCCAATATTAACTTGGACAGGATTAACAAGGAGATCACCAGCAATTTTTCGTACTTCTTTTGGCCATGTTGCTGTGTACATAACAGTTTGCCTACGTGGTGGTATCTCATTCACGATCTTACGGATTTGAGGCTCAAAACCCATATCAAGCATTCGGTCAGCCTCATCAAGCACAAGAAGTGAGACTTGCCCAAAGTCGATTTTCTTCATTTCAAGTATGTCATTGAGCCGGCCAGGTGTAGCAACAACAATGTCTGCTCCGCGATCTAACTCCTTTAGCTGAAGAGCTTTTGGTGCCCCACCGTACAAGCACTGCAGAGAGGAATGAATTTGAGAGACATGGCAAGGCATGTTGAAAAGTCAACAGCCTAAAACTGAGCAAGGATTATATATAAAAATAAGGTTATGATAAATAAAAAAATTGAACACAGACCGTGCAGGAGACCCGTGATGATCGGCCAAATTTTATGGCCTCATCTTGAATCTGTGTTGCAAGTTCACGTGTAGGAGCCAATACCAACACTGTGGGTCCATTCAGGGAATTGTTACGCCTCTGTCTAAGAATCATAAATGCTGGTATTAAATAACCCAATGTTTTTCCAGAGCCTGTTTTGGCAATAGCCACTATGTCCCTACCCTGTAGGGCAACAGGCCATGTTTGAGCTTGAATAGGTGTTGGAGTTGAGAAGCCAGCAGAATAGATCTGAAATAAGAGCATGTGCAGGTAATAAACAACATGAACATTGGATACATCCAGTTCCTCATGATTTGCAACAAAAAATAACATTCAAGGGTGCACATAATTTAGCAAACAACAATAAAAGGACCCATAGGTTATGGTTGCTTACTGAAGCAACTAAAAAGGACATTAAAGACATAAGAGGCGGAGCCAATAAGCAACAAATCCCACGTCACACAAGGTGAAATTTGAATAAAGGGCCAACCACCCTTCTAGAAGATGCCCAACAAAGGCTCCAACCATCCATTTTGCAGGCTCCAAAAATCAGGATAGTGGTTGCACATGTAAGTGTGACAATAGCTGCAGCGTACGACATATGCTCCTGCACTGGAGCAGATATCGCACCTGCGACAAGTGAGAATAGATGAGTTTAAAAGTGAAGTTTACCAAAAACAAACAGAAAAAAGAGAGCGGACCCATTACTTTATTAGGGATTATCAAAACATGCAACACCATTTAACAGAAGAGGGTAAGCTTACCTCTCTCAAAATCTCTGGAGGAAACCCAGCAGCATCAAATGTCATGAAGGGGGGAGGAACATTGTCGCCCTGCCATGTAAGACAAATATTGATGTCAGAACAGCCCAGCCAAGGTAATGCAAGAAACAGAAATTTAGACAAAAGCCAGTAATCTACAAGAAAATAAAAACAATCAAACACGGCCCAACCCACACCAGTGTGCTGTGAAAAACTGTGCACAGCACTATCCCTGAAAAACGCCATATTAAACTGAACAAAGACGCATTTTTTCATGTTAAAAAGAATCATAATTGTAAACGCCAGATAATCATGATACTGTACACGTTCAAACAAAAATAACTTCAAATATTTCTGATGATAATAGCACTTCAAATATCTCTTCGTATCCAGATATATTAACAAAAATTACAAAAAATAATCTCAAAGGTAAAAATCGCACCATGGCTGTAACTTCATGTTGCTGACAGTAAACTTCAGCAGGTGACAGATCAGTGACATGAGGCCTTGTCAAAGAGTTGCTAGCGACTGGTGGAGGTCCTCCAATCGGAGGATTAAACATGTTATGCATATTATGCCCTGGGACGCCATTTAACCCATTCCCACCAGGCATTGCATTTTGGAAAGGGGAACTGCCAATCCTCATATCCTGCAATGAAGTATAATAGAATTAACTTCCTAAGATCAACATTTAGAAAATCAAATGCACAGTAGAGAAAATATTAAAATAGAATGATTAATTAAGACAGCAACATAAATGAGAACAGGTAATATTATGTGCAGACAGCAATAATGAAGTAATATTTTCCTAGAAGTGCAAAGATACCAAAAAAGATACATTTCCCAAACTACTACTTATTCTTCCTTTACTAATAGCATATAATCAGAAACATGAATATAGTTTTCAGAACAGTATAACAGCAACTGCAGTTATTTAGAAATACAAATTTTCACTTGGTTATTAAAAGCCAACAGAACTTTAATAACATTCAAAACACGAAAATATTTTCCCGTATCAGTAACAGTCAAACACCACCAATAAATATTTTATTAAATAAATTAGTATAGCAATGGTATAGACTTGACGCTTGAAAAAACCTGCTGATAAGCCTGCTGATTTCTGGAAATGGGTATTGGCGCAATATTTGGCTGCTGAGAACCCATTGATGGCATCTCCTTGCCAGAGTTGTAGTAATATTCATTCACAGCTCTACCACGCAAGTTATCCTCATGTCCCATCTTTAGGTCACCAGGATGAACATTAGATGGTTGACCATGCATCATTCCTGGGGGCATCTGGTTTTGAAAGCTATGACCATGTTGATAAACTAAATCAGCACTACCCTGCTGTGATTGCATTGCTGCAGAGGGTTGTTGCATACTCCCAGGCATAGCACCGAATGGTTGTGATTGGCTAGCATTAACACCAACACGTGGCATCTGGACAGAGGAAATTCCAGCAGGAATGTTCTGATTGCTTTGCAGGGGCAAGGCACTCTTTTGTTGATATTGAGATGGTGAAAGTCCAACTTGACTTCCATTTTTAAAATCTACATCCTCTATCTTGGGAAATGCTGCTTTATACTCCTGTTGATTTTCCAATGGCTGACCGTGCACGTTATGCTGGATTGGTTGGGAACTTTGCTGCCCATTTGAGTGCATGCTTTGTGCATAGGGCATGTAATGTACGTTCTGGTGACTGAATTGATGACCTTGTGGCTGTCCCATATATGAACCATGATCCTGGGTGGCTCCTTGCCCAAAAGGTTGTGACTGGATGGCTTGTTGAGGCATCTGATGATGCATTTGCTGTGGCGGAATTTGCTGACTTAGAGGCTGCAACATCTGCTGCTGCCTGACTTGTTGCAAACCTGGTTGCGGCATAGACTGCAGTGGCTGGGAACTCTGTTGTTGTCCAGATTGTGCTGCCTGAGAAGGCTGCTGCTGAGCAACCTGTGCTACCTGAGGACTATGTTGTTGGGATAGGTGGCTCATTTGCTGTCCCTGTTGGTGAGACGTTTGCAGTAACTGCTGTCCATGTTGTGCCACCACCCCACCAGGTTGCACTGAATGAGCCACTGGGATAGGAGCCAGCTTGGGTGTAGAAACAGCAGCAGGTGGCCCAGCAGGCAAAGGTGGTGGCAGAGCAGTAGGCTTTTCATACTGGGTAACGTTGGTTTCAGGGTTCCAATAGTATAATAGACCCGTACTTCCATCAATCAGTCCCTTCCAAGGTTTTGGAAGAGTGGGGTCATCAGGTGCATATCGGGGACCAAGAGCAGCAGAAGCTGCCTCAGCTGTTGCCATGTAAAATATGTATTTCTACAAACACAAACAATAACAACTGTTTAAATAGATGCACAGTAAAGACAATAAAAACCTAGAATTTCCGTCTATACCTGCCAGAACCCACTAAATACAAAAGACAATATGCGATAACGAGTCAAAAGGCAATAGAAACTTAGAGACGCGTCATGCTAGTCAAATAATAGACCTCACATAAACCAATAAACAGAAGTAAAATCATCAGAAAGAGGAGCAATTCTTTTCATCATCATCTCTCTCCTAGTGTAATCAATATTTCTCACAAAAATGAACCCAGGAAAACGTAAATCCCAGAATAAATCCAATCAGTAGAAATAGGAACCAATGTCACGGTTCAAAATACACCCAGAGAGTTGAAGCAACGATGAATACCACGCCGAAACACGAGAGGAGAGTTGACCCCGAACGAAGAGGGAGACAGGGTAAAATGGCATATCAAAGAAGCAGAATGAAGATCAAAGAAGAAGAACTACCACGCCTAGAACGGGGAAGACGATTCAGGGATTGACGGTGATGACAAACTCAGCGGCAGAAGGGGCTAAACGGAGGCGAACTTCTGATCTGTGGCAAGGCTCAGACGTGATGAGCGTCGAGGGTGAGGACGAGGAATGGGGGATGCAGCAAGTGAGCAGGGGAACTGAGGATTTTGGGAATTAGGTTAGGGTTGTGTGGGCAGTGGGCAAATGACTCTCCCCAGCCCTCCTATTTCATGTTTCAACCCCCTTGTTCAGCCAACTTGCAATGGCTAGTTAGTTTTCTTTGCCAAGTGCTGACCCATGAGGCCACAACCCAAAAATAAATAAATAATAAATTTTCCAGTTAAGATAAAAATCGATGGAGGCCCTCGTAGTTCGCGGCTCCCCCCCTTCCCCAGCGTTATCGATGGCTCAGTGGTACCGACATAAATAAATTACTCCTCCGATTCTAATTATAAAACTCAATTGATTTATTTAAGAAGATTAAAGAAGTAAGTTAAGTTGGTTATTTATAATAAATAAATATTATCATTCCTAAAATATCCTTACTAATTAAGTATATTGGCTAAAACTATCATTATTAGAAGGATTATCTTGGAAAAAAATGCATAAATATAAGAGACAAAATGAATTGGGGTCTTATAATTAGGACCAAATAAAAAGTCAAACGGGGTCTTATAATAAGGATCGGAGGAGTAATATATTTTGAATAATATAGGTTTTCAATTCAAAAAAAAAAAAAACTCCCATGGTCCTTAATATAAAACCTAATTATTAAATTGATTTTAGTCCTAAATATAAGACCTATTTCACATATTTATCAGTTTTTTCTAAATTATCCCTATACATACTCCTTCAATTATAATCAAGTAGAAAAAAAAAGAGGAAATATTAAGAAAGATGATTATGATATTTTAGGAAAAAAATGTCACATTTCTTATAATTAACCAACTTACCTAACTTTCTTAATCTAATCAAATTAGTTAAATAAATCTTATACTAAGAATCAAAGGAGTAACATAGGTTCAAACTATACAAATATTTATAATAATAAGAAAAAATATTTAAATTCAAAGAAAAATTATATATATATATATAAATATTCATTAATAGTTCATTATTTTCATTCGAAATACATATATCTATGATAAAACCCTTTTAAATCCAATTGAAATGTTTAATGTAAGAATTGATTCATATTAAACAAATATTAAACAAGTCTTAAATCAATTCAAGAGGGCTAATTTGATCTTTGTAAACAGCATCTTCACTTAAAAAACCAAAAAAGAAAAAGAAAAAGTCACCTTATCAGTGCCTAGCAGTGGTCGAAACTTTTATAACCACCCCTTATCAGTAACTTGAAAATTATAGATTAGCTATTAATAACAACATTTTCAATATTCACAATTACATATTAAATATTTACTGTCCATGCAACATTCTCACCCAAAAAAAATAATATTTAATAAATTTATGCAAACCAGTCACAATGCATTGTTAATTATTAACAATAATAGATATTCACAATAACCGATTAGATATTTGTAGTTTCACTCAACACGTTTACAGTTTTTTGACCGGAACAACACGTTTACAGTTAACTCATAAAATTTCTTAAATCCATAGCGTAAGCGAATCACAATACATGTTTAAATATTAACAACACTACTTTTTTTTTGGGGTGACATATTAACAACAATACTTTTAAAAGCCGGTATTAACAGCAATACTTTAGAAAGTCATTCATAATATCATTAAATACCTCAGGAATTGGCCGTCATTGTGGCGGGGGAGCAGCATCAGACTAACTTCCAGAGCTGAAGTCTTGGCTGGGTACCTGGCCTCATTGCAATGTGCCCCCGCCAATGGTTCATCTCCTGGTCAAAGGCAGATATTACCACCTTTGATTCTTACCGTGTAAACTAGATAATTAATTTGTGAATATTAAAAAAATTAGTCTAGTTAGTTATTTGTAATAAATAAGTGTTGTTTTTTCTAAAATACTCCTCCGGTCCTAATTATAAGACCCAATTGACTTATTTGAGGAGATTAAGGAAGTAAGTTAAGTTGGTTATTTATAATAAATAAGTGTTGTCATTCCTAAAATATCCTTGCTAATTAAGTATATTGGCTAAAACTATCATTATTAGAAGGATTATCTTGAGAAAAAATGCATAAATATAAGAGACAAAATGGATTGGGGTCTTATAATTAGGACCAAATAAAAAGTCAAATGGGGTCTTATAATAAGGACCGGAGGAGTACTTCAGAAAAAAACTGAATCAATGTGGAAGGCAAAACAGATTGGATTTTTATATTTGAGACCAAATTGAATTTTTAATTAATTTTTATATTTAGAATAAGAAAGTATTTACTTTTATCTACCTATTTATCCAAAATATCTCAACCTCATTTTTTTCTACAATAATATGACGCTAAAAAAAATAGTCATGTTGCTTGGAATGGTTGGATTCTTTTTTGACGTGTACCTTTTCAAGTCACAATTAGACACTCCGAAAACATTTATTTACATAGTTAAAAGTAAAATTTTCCTAACATAATTAACTCATACTCTGTAAATCATAATTAGAAATGTGGTTTTGAATCATCTTCCACCGTTACAAACAACTACACAAAGTGGTTAGATTCTACGTGCACCAACAAAACCATCACAAACAGAAAACTACAACACAAGATTTTTGGTGCTACCACACAACTGAAAGAAAGATGGGAACCACATCCAGAGAACTGTGTCTGCCTGGATATACATAGATTAGTCAATCATCTCCACCTTGCAGCTGGCGGGGGCATTATCCGAAACTCAAGAGGAGAATGGCTCCTGGGATTTCAGAGAAAGTTGGGAATGTTGCAGCCTACCTCGCCAGAGCTGATGGCGTTGTTAACAGGGCTTAAATTGTGTAAATCACTAGGTTATACCAGTGTAGTCTCGCATACCGACTCTTTGGAACTCTTCCATTTGATAATGTTTGATGATGGGGTTAATCATCCACATTGGGCGGAGATTAATGATGTTAGAGAACTGCTATACTCCGATTGGGACATATTATTCACATACGTCCCCCATTTAGCTAGCTATACAAGGTGCAGATTTTTTGGCTAAAGGTGGTGTTGTCATAACCACCTACTGACTGTTTGGCTCGTTTGCAAGCTGATATGAAGTAGTTTTCTGGAGTTTCTTGTGCTTTGATCTCTCAAGCTTAGCATGCCCTCTTGTATTTAAAAAAAAAAAACAAAGCCATCATTGAATGGGCCAAACGTGGGTGGCTATTACATTTGCTGTGATTTATGGGCTAATTTAATCTAACATGGACCTAAGATCACATTGTGTGACTGCGGGCTAACGAATGAATAAAATTCAGGCCGAAAAAGTATATGAATAAAATAAGAGTGTTATCAAGAACTAGTTGGGAGGCTACCAACAAATCAATGGGGAAGTAAATGGTCTCCTCGTTCTCCTCTTTGTGATTTTTTCTTAGCGAGGGCTAAAACTGGGTGGAATTCTTTTGCTGATCCGAAATCTTTGAATATATTTTCTGATCAGCCTCTGAAAGAGTGGATCTCGATGAATCTTCAGGAAATATGAGCAAAGATAGGAATGCACATTGGCATTTTTTGTGGGGAATTATGATTTGGAAGCTCTGGTTTTCGAGAAATGAGACAGTTGTTGATGATAATTTTTGGAAACCTTCCAACCCAACTACTCTGATTTATTATAGCTGGAAGAGTTTAGTTAATATTCTGGATTTGAGGAAGCGTGATAAAGCAGCAAAGTGTTCAAAAAACTCAATTATTTGGGCTCCTCCTCCTGAAGTTTGGGTGAAAATTAGTGTTCATGGAGCTGTCACGAAACATTCTAATAAAGCTGGATGCGTGGTGTCATTAGGGATCATAATGGACCCTAGATCGTTGGATTCTCTAATCAAATTGGTAAGGGCAATGTGGTGGAGGCTGAAACCTGGGCCATTTTCAAGGGTCTGTATCTAGCGTGGGATTTTAGCTTCAAAAAAGTCATTTTTGAGTCCGATGCTAAGGGAGTGATGGCAAGTCTGTTGGAAAACAACTCCAATATTTATTGCAGTCTCATGGTTATGCAAATCAGGAATTTACTGACATATAAAATTGGGAAGCTGAGTTGAGATACACTGCAAGAGAGGGAAATGGCGTTGCTGACGCCGTAGCAAAAAAAGGAATCTCTACTTCCTATTTTGATGCTAGCCCAGGTGATCTGACGGGCCTAGCGCACAAGGATAGTTCGGAATTTATTCCCTCTCGGACTTTTTTTGTTGTTGGGCGGAGCCCTCGTCTGTACCCAAAAAAAGGAACCGGTTTATTTCAAATAAGAAAATTCGAAAACTGTGGATCAAAAATCAAAAAATTCCATAAAAAGTCATTCTTAATTACACATGAATGCTCGATTTTGTCGCATTAAATATGAGATAACTATTGACGATCATATACATATATATATATAATATTAAAACAGACAATGCCACGTCACTTTTGGTCAAATACGCAAAATTGACAGCTGCTGAGGCGGGGATCCGGCTTCTGGAAAACTAGAAACATACTGGAAAATTCTAAACTGCTCGCCACGTATGAAATCAAACGGTAAACAGTATAATCACCGTCAGGCATCCTTCAACCGCCTTACGCGAAGAAACTCACCAAGGAGGAAATAAATGCGCGGCACCAGCGAAAGAGAGGGAGCAGTCATTTTTGTTTCTTGATATAGTAGCACGTATAGTTGAAGGCAATGGAGGCCAAGGCTGCTACCACAACAGAGTTTGCGCTGGCCGATACAGATATCAACTGGGACAGGTTTAGTCACAAGCATCTTCACCCATTGTTCTTCCCCTGATTTTATATGAGACTTTTACCCGGAGGATCATAAAGGTTTCTGGGTCTATGCGATTTGGTTGGTCCAAATGACTCTGTTAATTTGGTGACTTCCATTGTTTGTTATGTGGGGTGGCTTTTATTTGACGATAGAAAGAAGCAGAAACAGTGTTTTGCATGAGGAAATTCATAGGCCTGGTGTTAAAGCAGGAGAAGGATTATTGGACGAAGGAGAAACAAAAATTGCATAAATAGGTCTTTTCTCTCTTTATTTTGAAGGATTCCCACCACTCATTTCCTTCAATACATCGATGTGTCTGGGATTTCGGATTTAATGCGCGTAAATACTTATTGATATCGTACATTTTCTTTAAAAGCGTGAAAAAAGATGGTAAGATGGGATGCCATGCTTGCGTATGCTTGTATGTCCAGTTTACTTTATTCCTACATTCCTATCTCTTCAGTGAATGCTAGTTAGTTGCTTTTAGCTTTTCGTCTGACTGTGCAACGCTACAGTCTACACTACTAGTTGGTTCCTTCAACCTCTAATTTGATGTGGTTGAAAGTAGGCTTTGAAGTATGAACTAAACTTTCTTATAATCTCAACGGTCTAATCAGGTTGGATAAGACCAAATTTCACGTCATCGGTGCTGTTCTCTTTACTGCTCAATCAGCCTTGCTTCATCCAACAGCGGTGGTAAAGACAAGAATGCAAGTAGCTGGATCTGGACTCTCTCAGATGAGTGGAACATCAGTATTTACTCACATATTAAAAAATGATGGTATTCCTGGACTCTTTAGAGGTTTTGGTACTTCTGCTATTGGATCAATGCCCGGTAGGGTCTTAGCTCTAACATCACTTGAGATGTCAAAAGACTACATGTTAAAATATACTGAAGGTTTTGATATGCCGGAAGCATCACGTATTGGCCTTGCAAATGGAGTGGCAGGCATGTTCTCAAATTTGGTATCTTGCGTATACTTTGTGCCTTTGGATGTGGTACGTAATCCTTCTCCATTTTAGTAGTTCATCACCCTTCATCTTTTCTAGAATGTGTTATTCTATACACTAAAGCCAATTCAAACAAGCATTCAAATCCATGTGAGAAACTTGCTAAATCCTGATAATTTGTTCCTTAACCTTTTAGAGTTTGTTTATTATCTTCTCAGATCTGTCAGAGATTAATGGCACAAGGTATTCCTGGGACTACATACTGCGGCAGGCCATTTGATGTTGTTCGTAACGTTATGAAGGCTGAGGGTTTTCGTGGCCTTTATAGAGGCTTTGGATTAACAGCTGTAACACAATCACCAGCATCTGCACTTTGGTGGGGTTCTTATGGTGCAGCACAACACATCATTTGGAGGCATATTCCCTCTTAGACCAATCTGATCAAATAATCTTTTATAGCTTATTACTTCCTTTGTCATGTTATATTTATATATGCTTATTGTTCAGGAGTTTAGGCTATAGAGATGGCAGAGAGAAAAAACCTTCACACACAGAAATGGTGATTGTCCAGGCTACAGCAGGGATGGCGGCCGGCGCTTGTTCCTCTGTTATAACTACCCCCATAGACACTCTGAAAACACGGCTTCAGGTATGTAAAGCTTCTTGTTCCTTGACATTGTCACATCGGCAAGATAACTTTTGTCTCTATTTGAATTTGTATTTGTATGTCAATTAGCTGAATGTCTCAGTTACAGAAAGGCACTTATTTCTTTTTCAGTGTTGATCTTAATATATAGTTAATTTGGGTTTGTCTCTTTTGACTCGCGCAAAGGTTATGGACGACTATGGTGGTGGAAGACCATCAGTGTTGAAGACAACAAAGACGCTTCTCAAGGAAGATGGATGGTGGGGGTTTTACAGGGGATTTGGACCTCGGTTTTTGAATATGTCACTCTATGGAACTACCATGATTGTTACTTATGAACTGATAAGTATGTCACGTCTCTGTTTAATTGTTTATTTATTCTGGCGTGACAATTTTTCGCTATAATGGCTCCTTGAAATGATCCGCCCTGTCTTTCTCCTCTTGACATTATTTTTCACGAACCATCCGTGACTGCCAGTATGTGAAGTGACTTTGGTATTATTCTGTTTCTGAATCTTATCATTCTGATTCAGCTAAGCTCTATGTTCTCATTCTGCCTCCCTTGTAACAGAAAGATTATCTATACAACCGAGTCTGAGATCATTTGGTTGAAGAAGCTGGATGTAAAGTAATGTAAGGCACAAAACCCAGATTACATTCCACTTCCCACTTCGCTTGACAAGAATGATGCAACCTTATAAGCACTGCACAATGCAGCATGGCAGTAGCTGATGAAGTAAACCACGTCTGAGTTATTCTCGATGCTCTTGTTCTGGTTCTTACATGATTTTGGCACCTTTTGTTTCTTAAAAGATGTAAATTCGCGGGAATTCTTGCTTCTTGTTTTTTAGCGGGCCAACCATTCAGAGTTCGTGGGTGCTAGTTTGGTGGTTAGAGGCTCATCAAACGTTGTTCAAAAGTCCCAGAATATATCTGGGGAATTTTGTACATAATTTTAGTCTGGTAATGAAAGGAATTCATTGTCTTCCTGGTCTCTTTCGGATTTTAAGCAGGTAATGGCATGTAAAAGCTCTCTCTCTCTCTCTCTCTCTCTCAAAACTCTGTCCAACATATATACTAACACAAAACGAAAGTGCATATATAAAGCCCAAAATGAAACATAAAACCTGAGCAGTGTCTTACCATGGACTCCCCAGTATCTGCTCAGAAGCTTAGAAGCCCTTGAAGTAGCCGTTAGATCATATCCTGGAGCTCTTTGGCTGGACCCTCCTAGAAGAACCAAATTGCACTCTTCAAAAGAAATTATGAGAATTTACATCTTTTAATACAGACTATTCGAACCCAAAAGACTTCTGCATGAAGAAAACCAAGAGCATAATCCGCAGAGAGAGCAAAAAAAGTGTCACCTTTTATATCTTAACAAAAGTTTATTTATTCGTGAAGAACCAGAAGTTGTCTTTTCTTCCTCTGGACGGGCCTTGACTAATGTCTTCAGTGTTTGGTCAATTTTCTCAAAATATAGCCATCAGAATAATAGTGTTGCAAATACACATTCTTAAATACTTTTAACAATTAATTAGACTTATATATATATTTATGTGCATACACATTTAATATATATTGTATGAAGTTTGAGTTTGAGATAAATTATAAAATTCTTTTGACAAAAAATAATGTTTGTGGCTATATTAATATAGCTAAAGTATACACTTGGCCTTTTAACATTGTATGAGGTTTTAATTTAATCCCTTAACTTTAAAAAATATACTTTTAGTCTTTTTACTCTAAATTTTTTTTAAAATGATGTGATTAAGATCTTAAATGTTGATAAAATATTCTTAAATGCTAACATATTAAGTTTAATTTTTAAAATATCCATGATTGTTATGAAAAAAATCATTGAAGCTTAATGATTTTACAGTTAAAAGACTAAATGTATACTTTTTAAAATTAAAACTTTTTATAAAGTTAAAGGACTAAATATATATTTTACCTATTAATATTGATAAGAAACAATTTTGAATTTCGGTATATTTTTATGCAACTACAGAATAAATAATAATTTAACATTCAAATCAAATATACAGAAAGTAAATAGAACAATGATTTCCTGCATTGCTGGCAAAAGCCCTGAGGAACCATAGCCATTCAAGTTTGAAAGGAGGAGGGGGCTTTCAAATCATACGTACTCATGGTCACAATCTGACGTTGCAATTTTCATTGCTTATTCCTCTGTTTTTGGCGTGGCCTTTTATAGACGCTGAAGGAAGGCTTTCGTTGGCTCTTCTGAATCCGAGTCTATCTCAGCCTTCGGGTTAAACGACAGCTCATTTCGGTGTCTCTTTCTCTGCTCTCTGCTTTGCTACCGTTTTGTAAGTTGTTTCTCTCAATTCTAGGTTCAATTCTTCTTAGATGATCGATTTGATCTCTTAATGTTTGGAATTGGGTTTGATTCGGAATTATGTTGCTTGCAGATTTTTTATTTTCATTTAGTGATTGGCATGATTAGATTCGGTGGTTTGATCTAAGCTCTTTATTTTTCTCCTGATCTTCTGGTTGATTGCCGAGAGATAAACGACGCCACTGGGTTGATTTTTCTTGTTTGGATTGAATTACTATGCCGACTTAGCTACCCTTTAAACTGTGTGCATTTTTCCCCTTAATGCTGGTTTTATAATTTTGTTGAAGATTTTATGTATCTCTCCATAGCATCTGAAATATGCAAGGGACTTTGTGTTAAGATCGCATTATTATGCGGTCTGTACTTTTTCTTGTTGCTATGTTTTGATTTTTTTTTTTTTTGGGTTCTGATTCAAGATATTCGAGTTCTTCCCTCTCAAATATTCCATGTATTGCAAATATCGGGGTTTGTCTGTTCATACCAAAGAAAAGTTGTGGAATTTCATCACTTGTCTACGTCGATGAGTCATAGAAAGTCTTTCTATTCTGTTGTTTTCTTTGTTCTGCTATCCTGTATAACTTACACATGTTGCAATAAGACACGCTTTTCGGAGATTCTTGATCACAGAGACGTTGGTTTGGCTTGACAATTGAGAACCTCACCTATTTGAAACGAGTGCATCAAAAACTCATGCCATGGACATGTTCATTGACTTTTTCATGATCAACAATAAAAGATGATAGCTGCTTGAATTGCTGGTGAATTCTTAGAAAGTTGAAACGCGAATTACTAGAGAAACCCTTTATTGCAACTGTTTCTCTATAGTGTCCGTAGCATTTCCATTGCAGATTCTCTTTCGAAAATAGTGATTTTAAAGCGTTTTTATGTCTTCTTTCATATTACATCTTCTGAACTACAGGTGGGACTTTTTCACTGCTCTTAAGTTTGTTAATGTTCATGACTATACCTTACTTCAATTTGGATTATTGGAAATGCCAGATAAACAATGGGGCTGTCTTTTACCAAGCTTTTCTCTCGTCTCTTCGCTAAGAAAGAGATGCGCATTCTAATGGTCGGTCTTGATGCTGCTGGTAAAACCACAATCCTGTATAAACTCAAGTTGGGAGAGATTGTCACCACAATCCCCACTATTGGTAAGTTTCCCCTTTAACCATTTCCAGAATGAATCACGGGTATGATAAATCAAACCGAACTAAGAAATTATTTATCGTATCTTCCTCCTCTTTAAGACTACTGCCGTTTGAAACTGATTGTTTGCTAAATCATCTTTGCAGGATTTAATGTGGAGACTGTAGAGTATAAGAACATTAGTTTCACTGTGTGGGATGTTGGGGGTCAGGACAAGGCAAGTAGCGTCTCTTGCAAAATTTTATTTCCCCGTATTATTATCTAAGTTTTTCAGAATAAATATCACCTTAAAACCTTCTATTAATATAGTTCATCTGAGTTCTAGACTTTAGCGGCATGACTTTCGGCTTTCGTGTTTTAAACCCTCTTAGGATGCCTTTTGGACTTTTTCGATAGCCCATTATTAAAAGTTATTTTTTTCATCTGAAAAAAGAGTTTTGTCTTGGAGTTTAATTTACTCACATCAAACACGAACATGTATAAAATGATGGATCTGACAATCGCCCTTTCCTATATTTGTCTACCTGAAAACACTGGTGTGTTTGTGGTTTAAGATGTGATTGATTTGTCATTTCTAAACTATGATTTTATTGCATGAATGGTTTTAGATTCGACCTTTGTGGAGACACTACTTCCAAAACACTCAAGGGCTTATCTTTGTTGTGGATAGCAATGATCGAGATCGTGTTGTTGAGGCTAGAGACGAGTTGCACAGGATGCTGAATGAGGTAAGAGAACATAATCAGGAATTCAGGCTTACCTCTGCAATATCTCTGTCAGAAATATGCATCCAATTAGTAAAAGTAATTGGATTGGGAATTCCTTTCATGGACAGGATGAATTAAGGGATGCTGTATTGCTTGTTTTTGCAAACAAACAAGACCTTCCCAATGCAATGAATGCTGCTGAAATCACAGATAAACTTGGTCTGCATTCTCTCCGACAGCGCCACTGGTAAATTTGAGAGTCCACTCTTGGCTCTGCTCCTCCTCATCTATCCACCACTATCAATGGAAGCTCTGTATCATCACTTACATGTGCATAATTATTTTAATCAGGTATATCCAAAGTACCTGTGCTACTTCTGGGGAAGGATTATACGAGGGACTGGACTGGCTTTCAAACAACATTGCCAGCAAGGTTCTCCTCTTTCCTTTTCATTTGGCTTATAACCGGCATGGCTGGCTTACTTTAATTTTCTTTCCAAAGTATATGTGCTCCTGCTGAGTCTGAATAGAATGTTTTTTCGCCCATTCTTGTTCTTGTTTCAGGGTTAAAGGGACGATGGGTGCTGGTTATTTTTCTCAATTATGATACCAAGCTGTGGCCTGTCAACACTATTACAATATTTGTGCCTTTTTTCTATATACAGTGAAATCTAGTTTTGGTTCAAATAAAGTTCATGCAGACTGTTTGGCTTTAAGTTTGTGTTTAGTGTCTTTTCTTTTTCCCCGTTAATTACTCATTCTTCAGGGATGTTTAGCTGGCGCTATCTGCTTTATGAATATCGAGTATAGTTTTTTATTTGGCAGCAGAAATTTATGTGGAAACTGTGCTTCGCGCTTTTGTGACAAAAACTGTACTCCACAATTTTGTCGCTTCTTGGAATTGACAAACTTCAAGTGTCATATAACCGTTGTAACCCTCTAAAACATTGAAATTTAACGATATGTTCATGTCATCAGTTGGAAACTTTCCCGGCTGCATGAAATATTTTTGTTTCTTTATATTACTCTCCCCCCCCCCCACTTACACTATGTTTGGTTCTATAGAAGGAAGGAGAGAGATTTTAACGAAAGGGAGAAAAGAAAAAGATAAGGAGGGGTAGTTAGAGAGGGGAGGGTATGAAAGGGGAAGTGAAGGGAGGGATGAGGAGAAAGAAGGAATTTTAATAATATCTTGTTCGGTTTAGAAAGGGAAAAGCTCATCAAAAATTGACTATTTTAACATATACAATTAAAATAGATTTTTTCACTTTTCTATTCTATCAAGATATAAATATGTAGAATGCAATCCACCAAATTTAATAAAAAATTGTTGAAGTTGCATGAAAATTAAACTTACAAATTATATACTAGTTATTGTTCAAAATAACAATAGTTATAATATTTTTAATTGGACCATCCTTCTTTAAAAAACAAATTAAAAAAATAGATAGAACTTGTCTAACAATAAAAATTGCAATTAAAACAAATATACACATTTCCAAAAAAAAAAAAAAATCCATGTAAAAAAAGATGCATGGGTGAATATATCATCCACATTAAAAAAGAATTCAAATAACAATAACATAACATAAAATTACTTCTAATGAGAATATGAAGAAGATCCAAACACTA